ATGAGTTCCAGTCTGAAAGAAAACATCTAAACGTTCATTAAACGGTATTGACCACTGAGTGGTGATGCTGGAAGTACATGTATGTCGTATGAGGCAGTGCACCTTGTACCTGTGGTGTGGTGTGGTGTGCTAGATTTAGACTCGTGGTATATTTAGACAGAGTTTAAGACGTGTCCACGGTGTTCTGACCCACAGAATGTTATTGAATGATTTGGAAGAGGCTGCAGTTATTCCAGAATGGTCTGTCTGGGAGAGGCATATGAAGGGAGGCTCTCATCTCACATTACATCTCAAGTTAGCAGGAGACCAGTTTTGTATCTAATGATCTTACCCTGGATACACTCTGCCTAGCCCTTCTTCAAAGTTAGATTACTATTGCTGAGCGGTGACCATCATTTTCTTTATTGCTATAATCCCTGCTCTTGCAAAATAGTACCTCTGAACTTGCACTGCCATGTGATACCGTTGTATTGAATTGTGAACTGGGGCGGTGGGGTAGCCTAATGGTTAAAGCGTTGGCTCGTCACGTCGAAGACCCGGGTTCGAATCCCCACATGGGCACAATGTGTGAAGCCCATTTCTGGTGTCCCCCGCCGTGATGTTGCTGGAATATTGCTAAAAGCGGCGTAAAACCAAACTCAGTCAGTCAGTCAGTGAATTGTGAACCCTAATGACAGCACGTTTCTTTGTTATTTGTTGGTTTCACAGATCTGTTACGGTAAACTGTTCAGTTTCAACCTGGCAATCAACATGTAACATGTGTGTATACGGGATGCTGGAAGTGGCAGTTCAGACTGGGTATGTATACTGGCAGTGTGCGGGTGTAAACCTAAATGGTAAAACTGGCACTTTGAAGGTAAATTGGTTTGTAATGCGTCTCACACCACTATGTGTATAACAACTATCTCTATAACCTATAGCATCTGTGGTTTAGTAACTGCTCGAATATTTTAGGTCTATGTACATACAGAATCTCACCCGAGTGTCTTTTGATATCAAATATATCACCACGAGTTGATAAAGTAACAAACATCCGAGGCTTGCCGAGGATATTTTTACTTTTATCAACGAGTGTTGATATATTTCATATCAGAAGACACGAGGTTGAGATTCTATTTATCATAAATAATCACCCTTCATTAGTTTTCAATGAAAAATGTACATCTCTGAACACAGTACTGCCATTAGTCATCAAGTTCATGACGTCATAGCATTGTTAGGGCATTGTACAAAATCTACTGTCAAAGCGATATCTCCTAGGAGATATCATCTGATCTCACACAAGCAATATCTCCTGTGGAACACAGTTTTGGATGATAAAGTGGACAATTGCACTGAACAGAAAATCTATCACAACTACATATCAACAATATGTACTGACTTTAAGTTCACAGAGGAATAAACCTTAATGGCGTAGGCTCCGATTGTATAAACGCCGGCGCTTTTTCTTTCAGTTTTCTTCACATTTCTTTCAGTTCAATCATACCAAATACATTTTTTAAAGATCACTAGATTAGAAATGTACATCAAAAACATGAAAATGGCCAACACAACGAAAGCTGACGTTGTTAATATAGCAGTAATCATTGATCAGCTGGGATCACTATGTAGAGGTGATTATGACTGTGGCAAATAGATACTGTGGTAAATTCACAGAATGCTCCCGACTGTAACACTCAGTCTTGTCACAGATCGAATCGACAGTTTGACATGCATGTCTTCATTTTATTCACTACGATGGGTTTTGGAATGGACATTTGTGAAATACCATACAGTGGAACTCTCTCACAGTTTATGTCTTAACACTAAGTTGCAGTTTAAAGAGTCTAAATGATAATACACAGCGCTTCTGCGTGTATTCATGCTGGGGAATCCCCAGGACCACCAGACGTGTACGGAATAACGCATAAACGTCAACATGTGATGTCACGGTCATGTGACCAGCCTCTCGTCCAATGAAAAAGCCATCTATCGTGTAAGCTTCATTTGGCTTAAAAATATATTATATATTATTCAAAACTCCTAAAGGATGGCGCGAATCATGACGTTGATAAAAGTTTGAAGTTTGCTGACGAGTTGTTGCAGCGATCGCATAATTGTATCAGCTCGTATCCACTTTGAAAGGGTTGTTTTTTGGAGAGTCAGTTGTAAATGTGTCTGGATTCTCAGTCCTAGTTTCTATTCCTACCCTGGATAGTCCTTCCTCATTATCCTAGCAACAAAAGACATTGCCATAGCAACAACAGACGTTACCCTAGCAATAACAGACATTACCCTAGCAACAACAGACATTACCAGGAGAAGATGTAATAAAGATTTATTAGACAATATCAAGATGTACAAATGTGATGTTTACATAGTGCGCGTGGTGATCACGTGAAAGATGTGCGCGCATGCAGATCATGTGCACGGTTCATACACAAATCTACATCCTACACCCCGACATCTACATCAACGTGGGCGTCTGTGACAACTCCTTGTCCGGCAGTAAGAGTTTACATCATTGCTTATCAGATACTCCTGGCTTTAGTAGCTGGGCTTATACCGGACAAACGGATGTACATATACGTCGGGTGAGCATATACCCGGGTAGTGAACGTGGGATTGCTTTTAATCAAGTATACGCCAGTTATTGCAGTCATATATACATGTATACGTAAGACAGAATATATTGGAGCCATATTTATATAAAGAATCGTAAAACAACATATTCATTAGTGAGGCTTTTAGAGGGCTAGCATATACACGTATGCGACAGATTGGCGTATAAAATTACGAAGGACTATACCCGAGCGACACAAAACATATATACGCCAGTCTGAAACGTGTAGATAATATAGATGGGCTAATAATGGAACTTAAACGGCATACGTACGTCAGATGGGCTTACAATTTGTATCAATGTGCTATTCTTGATCAATGTATATACATGTACAGACGGCGTATTTCAGACTAGCGTATACATGGCTATGCACTTACACTGGTCTTACATATACATGTATACAGATGATTGTTTTTGTAGGCCATGGAGACCAAATGTGACCGGAGAAAAATGCAAGATGAACCCATACTTGTCCAACAAAAGCATCTAGACATAATGTGTATATAAGTCAACCTGTATATTCATTTAACATGTAATTCTACATATCGTATTTCGTCTAATAAGCGCCCGGGTGCTATTCTTCTAAACGGACTTCCAGACCCAGCGCTTATTGGAGACCCGGCGCTTATTGCGGTTACGATTACACAATATCCATCAACCCGTGCCATGTGGAGGACAGGAAGTTATGACTAAAGGCACCATTCCTTAACTAATCTATTTTTGGATCAAGGGAGAATACATTTATAAAAAAACGTACCCTGCGCTTATTAGAGGAAATAGGGTACAGTCTAAGACGGTCTTACATCCAGATGCCTCGTGAAGACGTAGTTAACAGATCTGATGCAGGAATGTACATAGCACATGGAGACATCCTTTTCTTACTATAGTAACATCTTTTGTTTAACTTTCGACTGAAAATTTGTCCGTCAACTTTGGGAAATGCCTTCAGTGGAATATGGATGCAAGGTCTGCAGAATAATGGCTGTCATGGAAACGGAGGTCTGTATTTCATTGAACCATATTTACACGGAACGTAACTTGTTAAAACTGTGAGTCAAATAAAACCGGCCTCCTACTGTCAGCTCAGGATATCACTAACAGAACCAAAGAACTGGAACATCTATTTCCTAGCAAAACATCACAACTAACAACTCGAAGATCTGCTACATCAGCCGGTTACTTCGGCCCGAGGGGTGTGCTCCATTGGACAACTGACGTAAACACCCGAGGTCGACCTTCGTTCATTTCCGTAACCGACCATCGGCTTGTTCCGGAATGAAAGATCGGGGTGGGTTATACGAGTACAGATGATGAAATGGCATCTACTGTATCAACAATCGAGTCGTCCAGACTGACCCATGGTATTAAGCTTTCCACGCGGGGAGAGAAACAAGCTTGGGCGACGGTAGATAAACAGAAAACAATAAGCTACGTAAACAGTACGTCTGAAAATGTCTCTGTTATATGTACAGATCATTGCATAAACATAGTCATGCTCGCATTTCACGGATTTCAGAGAAATATATCTTGGTGAAAATATCGAATTGGCAATTAAAAAATGGTAACAGGTGAAAGAATGAAGCCATCATATAATAAAACCTTTTTACTACAACTGTTTGAGTACACAACCATATGTATAACAACGTGTCTATGACGTTAAAGGAACTGACGCTGTCTAAAGTTCTATAAACAGATGAAACTGGTACGTAATACAACTGGATACTTACTAATGCTTTATGGAAGGTGAAGGAACTATTCATTGACCAAGGCGCTTGTAGCATCTCACCTATATCAGGGCGTCAGCTAAATATAGGCACGCTGTTTAACGCTCTTGCTGAAACCGACAGACATTATCCTAATCTAGGCTACCCCCGACCAGCGGATCCTTGCGTGGCAAAAGGACAACACTCTGCAGAGGTCTGTGGCGTTGTGGGCACCGGGCCAACCGTTAAGAACACCCAAACATGCTAATGTTGGGTCCTAGCTGCTGCTTCAGGAGTACATGTACCAATATTTGAATCAAACACAAGCTGGAGGGATATCGTATTCGTTATGCTGCAATTCAAGATGACATGATAAAACATTATGGATTGAATAAATAACTGTTAATAGTAAAGATTCATAATATTAAAAAAATGCATTTTATGGCGTCGAATGTTGGAGAGATCGCCGGACAAATATTTTGACATAAACGTGATTAAAAAAACACTTAAGGTACAACAAAATAGTTCGTAGTTCGTCAGATATGATTTGTTTAGTAACTTTATTTATTTGTTTATTTTATTTGTTTATCCCCCAAACCCCATATTTCCTTTCATGGTCAGATTTCATTATATCTCAGGTCTGGAGTTTTGGTTAGAGATATTGAAAATAAGTTATTGGATATTAAGTAAAGTGACGGGTCCATTGCAAGTATTTGTGTACAGAGAACAGGACCCGATTTTGGGGCTGGACGAACCATCATTTTGCCATAGAAAAAAACAAACACTTCCAATTCTGACGAACAAGAACTGCATTGTTATCACCTCATGTGTTAGAAATGTTGGCATTTGTTTGGCTGCGATGAATGCATGAATTACGTGCAGGATTATTTACACCAGTACTATTTACACAAATCATGGGAAAGAATGAATGACTGTTAAAATGAAGAACTTAATAGAATGAGATCATTAACAGGGAGCACAAAATGAGTGATGGTATTCCGTGGGCATTCAAGCAACAGGAAATGACGTCACGCAGGAGGTTCCAGCAGATACAGCATAATGCGCAAGTCAAGCATCGTGGAATGATCAAGGTATGTGATATACAAGGGTCAGATTGAGTAGTATGAATTGCTTCATGTCGGGAAAAGTCTAGTTCGGACAGGAAATACCGGGTAGGGACAAAATGGAAGCTCTATACTCATCCTAACACAGTGTGAGTGTGTACCTTCATTAACGGGTAAGGAACGGTAGTTGATTATACTACCAGTGACACGGGGGTTATTGTTAGTTCACAGAAATACATAAGTCTAAGGTCAAACGGGGAATAAAACACTACATTTCTAATAACTACGAATTATTCTCAAGCAGGTAGGCTACTTTGTTCAGGATACTCCCCATGGAGCTGAAATGGAATTTTGAAGCACATTAATCTGGTTATAATATGTGCTTTAAGGACGCCTGTGTTATCCTCCCTTAAATGAATTGTTTTCCTGTCAGTATTCTTGTTGGTGGTGGTGTGAACGTATTTTTCGTCAAGTAGCCACCGACTGTGGACATCGATACCGTCCTTGAAGGCTTGTCCTTTAACCATGATGTACACAGTGATGCTTGGTCATAAAAGAAAGGTACTGCTTGATACTGTTGAAACATCAAACACCACACTCTAGTATCATTACATCGTTTACAGTGCACCTGGTTTCAGCAGCGGTTGTCTCCCTTTTCTGATAAACGACCAACGGCTTGTGTCAGTCCTACCGAGGCTTGAACACAGACAGGTCATACTGGAACTACATCTTACACTACGACGTGACATTGGCATTTACATACATGAATAACAGTTTGGTAAGCAATCACTAGCTGGCATTGACCCCTGAGAAACGCTTGCGTTAATGTTTATATTCTTGTCTCATATCTGCCGTAGTCGCCACTGGCGGTGCTGTCGGCGTCTCCTTCTCGCTCCCTCGTGGGCGCTTCCTGGTCAAGGCCGTACACTGGACCTTCGAGAGGGTCCGGATACTGCTCTGGCATGGCGCGTTCAGCTCCCTCTCTCAAACTGTGCAGCGACTCAGTTTCTGGGAAGAAAACAGTAGCCCCACGTGGACTTGTAGACCTGCTGTCTATCCATTTAGGACTGAGCATGCTCATGGCCTGCATCCCCAGATCCCGAGATGGAGCTTCTCGACGTGTATGTACAGGGCTCAGGCCCATCAGATCGGTTTCGCTCCCCTGCCTGGACCGAGAAGGGCTTCTTGTTCCTGCGTCATATCGAACTGGACTCAAATTTCTGACATACGGCTCCTCTGAGTCAAACCGAGATGGGCTGGGACCTCGGAAGAACCTCGGGTCTGCCTCATGTCGGAGGGGGCTAACACTTCTCATCGCTCTGTGGCGGTCATGGTGGCGGTGGCGATGACCACTGATAAATGCTGCATGGTCAGAGATGCTTGGCCTCCGGTACATATCCGAGTGATCTGAGATACTGGGTCTGCGAATTGGGAAATCTGAGTGATCGGAGATACTTGGCCTCCTCAGAAGATCTGAATGGTCAGTTATGCTAGCTCTTCTTAGCTGGAGTTCTGACCCATGGCCGTGTTCGGAGATGCTGGGTCTGCGGTGAAGGGGTCCAAGTCCAGGAAGTGGGCTCAGCTGCATCATGCGACTGTCATCCCCGAGCTGTGCGGTTGCGGCGGCGGGCGAGATCTGCATCAATGGATCTGGTTCCGTTGGGCCAGGGAGACGGGCTCGACGGCGGAATGATCCCAGACGGTGTTTCTGCTCCCAAATCTTTTGACGCATTTTTTCTTCACGTCTCTTCTTTTCCAGTTCCTAGGAAGACAGAAAGGATAATGGGCGTTACGTATGTTACAGATATTCAAATGTCTTTGATGGGCATTTTAGAAGTTAGGTGGTGAAGAATAATGACAATTATTATGGATATACAACTTCTTTTATTCTGTGGAGGCGATGTTTCGACATAGGTTCACTTGCTTGACAACGACATTAGAATCTCTGTCGAAACGTCGCCTCCACAGAATAAAAGAAGTTGTATATCCATAATAATTGTCTTTATTCTTCAGATATTCAAATGTTTCAAAAACTCAAATTTAAAAAGCCTAATATTCAATATTTGAAAATTAATCAACAAAGCCAGGGATTTCCGATTTTTGATAGGATCCTGGTTGAAACTATTGAACAGCATTAAAACGACACCCTAATATTCAAAACAGCAATCTCGAACAAGAACATAGAAAAATGGTGTGTTGAATGTATAACCAATGTCGCGTTATCACTGTATCCATGGTAACCGTAAGTATGTACTGGGAGAGACCCACGCCCCAATAATACTATATTCATGAAGTAAGAGGAACGAATCATATGGTTCTTAACCTTTTTCGAGCAGTGCACCTTCTTGGAGATATAGAATATAATAAAAATGAAAGAAGCATATTTACAATCCCGCATAAAACGTTTACAAAGACGTATACCCCCAAACCTGGACGATTTAATGTCGATACCCCAAATAATGGCGCCATTTCAAGCTGATATCTCCATAGCTAAGAGAGTGATCTCCCTTACCTCCGTCCTCTGTTTCTCCACTATGGATGTGACCTGGTAGAGGAGGTCATCCAGCTTGGTCTCCGTGGAGTCTTTACCCATGGAGGCCAGCGACAGGGCGCGGTCCAGCGGAAAAAAGTCGAAGTTCTCCTTCCCCAGCTGCAGAAGAGGAAGCAGTGTTGCATATTATCATGTAGTGAGAGACAGGGCAGTCACTTTTGAAGTTATTGAAGAAACGTCCATTTTCTTTGGAAAATGTGGGGACCTGTCTGACTGGAAATCACCGTCGGGAAAATGAGTGTAGAGAATGGACATGTACGTGAACTGTTATCAGAACCAACGTTCATGCGACCAGTATTGTAATGTTCAGGGTGTCAATATTTCATGGTTGCTCAATTCTGGTTGGTCAGATCACAATTAACATCCTCAATGGTCTTATCACTGGACGATGCACGGTTCCAGATTACTGCGGTTATATCGACATATATCCTCCCCATATTTCAAACACAGTATACTCGTTTACCAAAGTCCAACCCTGGCACTTACCAGCTTATAGACGTACATCTCCATGGCGGTGTAGTCGTTCACCTTGGTGCCGTTCAGGTGGATGAAGAAGAAGATGTAGGCCCACATGTTGTGTTCAGCACGAACATGGTGCTCAAATCCCTGGATGTTCACAGAACAAAAACTGATATATAAGAAAGTTCATTTACTGTGTTCAAGAACATCACGGTCAAGAACTGACTTCGGCCATGTAGAGTGTTTCCATGGAATCATGCCGAGTGTCTCATTAATGTTACTTGATAAAACATTCACTATCAGGTTCCCTTTTCTCGAAACAAGTAATATTATGTTGGGCCCCTATTTTCAAACCTACTTATGACCGTTGATAACAATCGATCGGCATTTTCTTAAACTGAAAACGAATTCTGGTTCAAAAAGGAATTCACTATTCATTAAGTATTATTTAGGGGACAGAAGCTTTAATATTAGCGGCTGATGATTATAGACGTAACTATTTAGTACTTAATCTCAAGGAAAAGTGCTCATCTCATTTTCAGATAATCGATTGGGGTAGTTATTTCCCTTACTCTTATTCCGCATGTTTTTGTGGAAATGTTTATTCGTTTATTAATTCAGAGAACAAGTTAAATGTGTTTTAGAGATTCAATGTCACTCGTTATGTTACCAATAGGTAGACTGAGATAGCTGGGATACAGTGTGAAGTGCCACTGCGGCCATTACCTTCCCGTGATGCTCGAAGTCGTAGCTGTTCCGGCTGCAGATGAAGCAGGTATCGCGCATGTCAGACTCGGCAGTCCACTGTGGACACACAATACATAACACACTTGTGAAGTGGACAGTCAATACAATGTACAAGATGAACACAAAAGTATATGGCAATACGCAATACATGGCCAATTCAAGGTCGAACGTTTCAGTAAGCATTGACAATCAAACTAGGTCTCAAGCCAGCAGGTCTTGTCACACCTCAACCTATAGCTACCACAATGGCTAACATTGGAGCTATTCCGTTGCTTATCTATTCAGAGGACAATATGACAGTTCTTCTTAAACGGATATATTTCATTAGGTATAACTACAATAGCACATAGAAGATGGCACAACTAGTACCCTCTTGCTCATCACACTTTCAGGGGTCCTTGAAATTGTATAAAATTCAGGCTTGTTCTTTTACAGAGTTAAACAAATAAATAACATCATTCTTGTGGAGAGGTTTGTAATAAGCTCATGCAGATAAACTTTTCCATGATTATATCATCGGCCATTGGTCTTAATATATTGCTGTGTTTATCGTGGCTTTGAATACTATATCAGTTATTACTGATGTCAGCTTGTAAGTTTTTAAACTGATGCTGGTCTTAGCTGTGTACCACTTTGGTGAAACACAAGAGCACAGGCACTTTGCTGACCCAGAAACACAGTCGCTGTGAACTGGGATTCGATCCCATGATCACAGGAGGCCATTCGGCCGTGCCTCAGATGACCTTGACTGCCCACAAACGTTGCACATAATAAAAGATCGGCACATATGTTGACAACGAAACTCCTTTTTCTGGATACCTTGAGATCTCTGAGCTCTGAGAAGGTGTCGACGATGATACCGAAGATGATGTTGAGACCGATGGTAGTGATGAAGATGAAGAAGGAGACATGGTAGACGACCACCAAGCCGAACTTCTGGAATGTCTGCTCGTTATCATGTGGTACGAGCACCTGGGAGACAACAGACATCAGAACATTACTGAACCAAACATTTAACACAAAATACAACTGTGGTAGGAAACACTCTTTAATCATTCCTATGTGACTTTAGTATACATGATATTTTGAAGCAGAAATTATGTGCTATCCAAACTGTTCTCCCATCAATGCTTCACTGTTCTCCACATACATCTCCGTGAACAATGTTTTAAACAATATTATCAGCTTCTTTAAGTGTTATTTAAAACCGAAACGTTGCATCTATTGCTATAAAGAAGTTGTCCAAGTTGTGGGTCCTGGCGCAGCCAAGGGAGGCTACTCTGTACAGCGCGTGTTTTAAGGTCTGTGGCCGTGGACATGTCTGAACTCATCCATGCCGGTACTTACCTCGAAGAGATCTCCTATCAAGCCGTACCGGATGACGGTGATGGTACACTGCCACAAGGTGTCACAGTACAGGTTACTTTCCGGGTTGAACATACTCCTCATCAGCGCGAAACCAATGATAGCATAGAGGTAAAACACTACCAGACCCAGAATGGCCACCCACACCAGGGACTTGGCTGAAACACACAGTTATTGGAAATAGTTACAACACAGCCTGGATAAGGATTTACCACCCCCGTTCATCCAGGGCATTATAGCGAATTATACCCTGGACCCATTCTATACAAGATCCTCGTCTTGAAACGTATGAATACCGCTAGAAACGGCTGCATAAGCAGATGGGTGGGAGGATTCAGGTTAAGTTAAGGGAGATGTATATGATGGCGAATTAAAATTTTATTAAAAATTATTTTCCGACCTCCTACGTATATACGGTTTGTGTGGAAAATAGCCGTTAACCGCGTGAAATGTAAATGGCGGTTAATCATATCAATACCACATTTCACCCTCAGCAGAAGCTACTTCAATCGGTTCCCTAATTTCAGATGAAACTCAGCTATTTATACAAAATGTCCATATATATTTTTGTAAAAGCTAACTACATGCAGTACAGATTGAATGACTGCAAAGACACTACAGAGTGATGATACAGTTACTGTAGAGTAACTGGGATCTTATGGTAAAGAGTAACACAAATCATGCTTCAGAGAAGGAAACTGGTTGTCCCTGAGCCGCCTTCAACACACCTGGATGAGTAACGGCCTTGATGACTCCGCTCAGCAGCTGGTTGTTGTTGACGATGTTCAGGAGATGGAAGGCGAAGCAGTAGCCGTTTGAGAACGTTCCTCCTATCGACAACGCCAAGAATGCCTGTAGAAACACAACGCAGTGGTTTAGAAGGACAATCTTATAGAAGCAGGGTGAGAGTAATACTGACTCAGTTAAATCATAGAGGTTTATAATCGAATCTCATTGTAAGTTCCCGGTGTTTAAACGTCCAACTGATCGGTAAATATCCGGTGATTAAGCCACACATGAGCGCGGTAGCAGATCATTGTTTGCTATTGGAAGTCTGCAGGTTGATTTGGTCTGCAACTCACCAGGTAGTAGAACGTGGTGAAACTGAAGAATCGGGCGTCCAACTTGGACTCGTGCTGCTTCTTCTTCCCATCCTCCTCTTCGTCGTCCCTCTTCTTCCTCAACGCGCTCCTACAACATGGCAGTGATTGTAACACCTACTGCTTGTCTGCATACGAAATAATAATCGGTAGTAATGATGATTCGATATTGTGTGAGCCATAGTGACATCTATTGTTAACATTCCGCTTTTTTATGGGAAATATATCCTTAGAAATATATTGATGATATTATAATTTTTAAGAAATTCCATTGTGCATTGCCTATGTGGACATTCCAGTGTCACAAAGGCTCCATTCCACAAAGCGATTTTAGCACTAAGGCAGTCGTAACTCACATACTTTAAGCACCAACAATGAGGAGTAGATTCCAGGGCCTTCTATATAGCACACCTAGCTATCCTCCTATTATTTTTCAGATATTTGCCTTTGTTTCGCTAAAATCGTTTTGTCGACCCTGGTACTTCTGAATATACGTGTAAAATATGTTTCCATTTACATGTGACAGACTGTAAGAAATTGAAATTTTCGCTCTGGTACTTCATTTCGCAAGAAGATATCCCCACCAGGACTGTTTCAAATGTGTTATACGGCTGTCGGATGAAGTAATAATGAAGTTAAGACTATAGTGTAGATTCTTACTGTTGTCAAGGTAAAAGTTCTAGCTTGAAAACGGTGTAAGAATCTACAAGTCGCTCTGTGCAATAAACAAGAAGCTGTTATCCATAATGTCTTATGCTTCCTTATTGACTCCCCAACTTCTAGAATGCTGATCAAACAATTAGTCGGATGAAGATTGCAAGGACAAAGCCAATAAGAGACTCATGGCTACAAAGATTGTAAATATATGTTCAAGGATGGACGGTGTTATGGTCTTAGCGCTAAGATGTATTTGCGAGACAGGTCCCAGGTTACACAAACATCCAAGAAACAGTTTGAAGAGTAACTTGCTTGAGATTGATGAACATGGTCTTAGGGTTTGGCAGTCGCGGATGGTTGCACACGAAGTAGCTGATGAGCACGAGGAGGCAGAGGACGTTGTGGGTGAAGCCCATACTCTTTAGAACCACGTCGTAGGTATCTGCCCCTAGATTTATGATGGCGGGGACTGGGCTGAAACAGACATTGCAGGGTCGCAGACATCACATGACACAAAACTGGATATATACACAACCATTTTGTGTACCTACCTTCTCAGTGTAGGAGAACTGCAAGAGGACATATAATCAGGGCAATGCTCTTACTCGTTCCTTCAAAAGTTCCCGGAGGAGTGCTGGTCCCAGCTAATACCAATTTTATATTGCTAGCCAAATGAAATACTTCAAGCCGGCCAGTCCTTATATCCATCTATTCATATATAGAGATTGTGACGCTTTTTACATAGGATGTTAAACAATAAAGATGGTAGTCCTATTCTGCAGTGAATGAAGATGTGTATGTTCTTACAGAACAGAACTATTCTTACTCGACAAGTAGCGGTGGCATCCCCGTGGTGTTGCCCGAGAAGATGTTGGGTGTCTCCATCGACCCCTTGGCTTTCCATGTCGCCAGCATCAACATGTTGATGCCAAAACTCAGCAGCGTCACAGCATGATTCCAGATGAGCCTGGATTGGGGAAATACAGAGGGTTACTACAGGCACACAAACAGGGGGAAATAAACAGCTGTTATCCTGGCACACAATCCAGTGGAAATGGAGAAGGTTCTACACACCTTAGTGATATTCTCACGAGTGAGTGTGTCATTTTGAAACAGTATTTGCTGATGTTAGTTTGTATGGTTTAGGTAGTATAACACACACACACACACACGCACACTCACGCACACACACGTACTCACAGACACACAGCAACGACAAGCAACACCAAACCCACGACATTTCAGTTAAACTGCAATGTATCTGGACTTTCGCCTCGAAAGCATACATATGATGTACGTCTACATGCTGATTGTTTAAACTTGATTCTTTCCCTTTATCAATACTTCCTGTACAAACTCTAAGTAGATGTCTATCAGGTTTAACTGACCATCCCTTGGTGATGCAGAGCGCCAGGAAGTTGCTCAGGATCCGCTGCTGGTAGGCAATGTCCTTCATAATGTCCTTGCTCCACGCCATCAGGTCCCTAATTTTGTTGCTAGGCGACGATCTGTCCACACTCCATTTGAGCTTCTCCTTGATTTCTTCCCTTAGTACCCTCTGTTGGAGTAATGAAAAACAAAGATTGGATTAAATCTGAAATGAATATATAAATATGAGGTGAAGTGAAAGTTAGCGTCATCAAGATAATTGCATTTATATCACTAAGTGCTTGTGTGCATGCATGTGTCTGTGTGTGTCTGCTTGTACTAGTTTTATAGTGTTATCCGTCTGAGATACCATGACGCAGTCGAAAGGACCGACTGAGCCATGTTAGAGCCCTTCATTGCTGCGCGCTAGGCAAGGTAACAAAGTGACGTCATTCTTGTCCCTTCGTCTGGGGCTTTCCAGATTCAAACCCTCCACTTTCCGAGCAGATTCTCCATCTATTTGACAGCAGTGATAGTGGGATACCCTTCTAGAGTTGCAAACATATAATGGGGCAAACATATAATATGCACATTGAAATATCACATACAGAGAAAACGGAAATGAGGAAGATTGAATGGTGGGTTAAAACGTTCGCAAATCATATACACAAAATCAGGGCTTGATTCCCAATTCGGGTAGCTATGTAAATGAGAAGCGACAGTGTGGGGGCATGATGATGGACTGGTGAGATATGTAAGAAATAGCATCCTGTCACATCATGCATGATTCGGTATTTTCCTCAAGGTGTCATCATGTCCTCCCTCACCTTGTTCTTGACCCGGAAGTTAACCTTCTGCAGCTCATCGTCCTTCACGACCTCTATTGACATGCAGTTCTTCTTGTAGAAGGTGAAGGCCTTTTGCTGGAGGGGTGTCATTCGCACTGGAACAGTGATACACTTACTTCTGACATGCTGTCACCTTGGAAACGTGCCATTTGTACATATTGATCAAATTTCTAATCGAATACACTGACAGAAATTAATTACGATCCCTATACCAATAGAAGAATGTATTTGACAAAACACACACACCTTCAGGTGCTAAAATGTCGCTTCGGTCCACATGAAGAGAGTATGTCTAATATGTCTGTACAACAAGCGTTCCGACATTTTTAACATGAGTATATATGACAGCTTCAGTGGCTATAAGCAATTACAGTATTGTCGGCGACGTGTTTGCTACATGCATGTCAGAAACTGAAGCATCACGCGCACGTTAACGGGAATGGGAGACAGTTCGTCATCATAGGTTCCTGCGACATAAATTGATTATATTGAACAAATAACTGACTTTCTGTAAGAATGTGTGTTATTTTACGCCGCAACCAATAAAATACAGGGGACTGCTTACAGACGACTCTAGACCAGGTCAATTAGTCTTCGATAGTGTGAACAAAGACCCATGCAGTCGACTAACACTAACTCAGTCATTTCATATCTGAACACTAACTGTCCCTGAATTCCCAAAGAAAAGAAGATCATCGCATTGATTTTGCTTTCTATTCAGTATGTCACACTTAAATCTGTCACATACAATAAATATAAAATAGCTCGTATTATATTAACGTTCGTAAAAACATTCGTAAAAAATAAGATAAATAAATTATTTTTTTTAAAATACCAGCGTCTTGTGCATGCATTAGTGCGTGGATATGTGCGCTATATAAATATCCACTAATATCTACTGTTGATGCTATATTAATGTTGTAACGTACGCATGTCAAGGATCTTGGGATCAAGGTCGACCATACGGGCCAGGATGAGATAAAGGCTGAATCCGACGTCCATGTAGTCATCTGCGTACTCCATCTTCTTCTTGTTCTGTGAAATAACAACGTCAGCAGTGAGTACATATTCAACGCCGTTGTGAACAGCCGCATCGTGTTCGGACTCCTCTACTAGAGTGAGTGAGTGAATAGGTTGTGTTTAACCCTGCTCGGAATAGGATGTTAGACATATCATGGAAGTCAGCTTCATGTAGAGCCTGAAACGATGCAGGTCTTAAACATGTATCACACTGATGAAACCAACGAGAATGGTGCTGACTAACCCAAGATCATAATCGGTGAGAATCTGGTATTCGAACCCCCGACTAGCGGATCCTGACATAACTATTGGCCGCCTTAGAGCACAAAGGCATCAACCAGCCAATTATTTCGTGTAAGCCCGTGTTGCAAAACTTTATATTTAGATAGTATTGAGGGCTTGCCCGACCTTTTATCAACAATCATGTGTAAGCCTGGGCTTTTTTTCATAATGGTAGCTACGCCCCTGTCAACCTTCATATTTTACGGCCACAATAGCCATAGTAATGAATGTCAACTGAGCAGCATATACCTACCTTTTCCCTGGAAACTATATCACTTGACACTAACATGCCAATCATATGGTACGGAGATAAACAATTCAAATTAGCCAATACCATTCTTTAAAAAATATGTATTGTTACCTATTCACAGTTTTGAAACACGGATATTTACCAGCATTTTCATAAAACTACATCGTTAGAATATTTCACTGTAAAGTTCATCTTCCTTTGATACAGAGATACATACAATAACACCGAAAATACACAAAATAGGTCATTCTCCTCTCTAAGAGACAATCATATTAAGTTTTGAGAACTCGTACAGTAACCATTAAATATACAACTGAATGACGAGTAACTTCAGGGAATCGTACTGTATCTATTTCATTTCAGTTTTACGTTCAGGAATAGACAGATGATCAGATATTTCCATATTGTATATTATTAACATATTTATTAACATTTGTAGTCCATCATGGGTAAAGTATATCTACAAGACAACGACATTGACGTCACCACTGGCACAAAGTGGAGAAGAATAGAACACAGTGTTAAAATGCTGTTATCATTCTGGATAGCAACAAAACCTTGTAACACAGCGACTTGCCCAACACTGTTTGGTCTAATATATACTGTATATATTACACAAAATAAGTTAAACAACACCCAATCTTTCATGTAGTGAATACGTCAAGGCTGGTGGGTGTGGCAACACTCTAGTCCAAGAACCCGCGGCCGGGGGCGAATTTTGTACCGAGAGAGGCCAAAAGGTTTGAACACGTATTCTGATGTAGAATTGCCTGACGAATCCAAATATTTCAGTCTTACAAACCAAAGCGTTGCTTCAACCAACTAGGGGTCGTTGAAGCGATAACTCAGCATTCTGTGGGTGGGTGGGGGTGGATTCGTGCGGCAATTTTCCACAAGACTACATTTTCAAACCTTTTGGCCTCTCTCGATACAAAACTCATCCCCGGGCTCTTGGACGACACAGCCTTCCGACTGGGTTTTTTCTTTAGCTTGTTTTGAGCAGTAAATAATATCATGCACTCCTAAGCACTTCGCCCCGTCACCCCCCTAAATGGCCAACACACTTGTCTCCGTTGTATCGTTGTGCGGTGCCAGCATTTTATTTCGCCTCAGGTTGTCTTGAGGCGATAACGTGCAAATCAAGTATAAGGATTATCTCCCTTGAGAAGAATCTTTGCTATTGGGACACATTGTTACCAAACAGACTTGGTCAAGTCTTAACACACGCATTCCAACGCATGATGGTTTTGTCATATATATGATGTCCACAGTTCAACATAAATGAGCATGTTAGTGTATGGTGATTATATGATACAGGTGATATGAGACAGGAAGTATAGTATGACCAGAAATTATTGAGAATTTTAGGAATATGTTTAATTGGATTTCTAGTATAAACAACCTTGACCAGCTATCAAGTGCTTGGTTTCATTCAAGAGAGACAACTCCGTTAATCCTTTTCATTAGTTTGTGAAGAGTTATCCCCTTTGTTTACTTGCTAGCAGACGACATTTTCAGTGATCCTCAGTATGGATGATTCAGGGAAGAGGAAGTTGATTTTAGAGTATTATAACAAGGACATCAGATCAGCTAAAGTGATTTCAAGTAGAACAGGCATCCCTTTGTCCACTGTTTATCGTGTTTTGAAAAATATTGCAAATGGATATGGCATTGAGCACCAGGGAGGCGCAGGTAGGCCCAGAAAATTGTCTGTCGGTGAGAGGAGGCGGCTTGGTATGCTTGTTTCTAAAAACAAACGAAGGAGTTTAGAAAACTTAAGGCTGGATATGTTTGATAGAGGAACTGTGGCTGCCTGTAAGGGGACAATAAGAACTGAGCTGCATGCAATGGTTTGGCAGAAAAGTCGAGGAAGAAAGTAAGAAAAATCTGACAAATATTGCTGAAATGAAAGAAGAGGTGGTCCGATATTGGGACAGCATGGACCACGACTTTCTAACTTCTTTGATCAGTAGGATTCCCCGCCGCATTGAAGCCTGCATTGCTGCCCATGGTGACTTGACAAAATACTAACTGTTCACCTGTCTTTGAATCTGCAGTTATGTTCTGCTTATATTCACATTTAATACGTGAGTAATGAGTGAAAAAAATAAAAAAAATAAAATCTTTAAATTCTCAATAATTTCTGGTTGTACTGTATATACACGTGAGTCAATGAATGTAGATGTGGATTTGAAAGCATAGTGAGGCGTGATCACAGATAGTTAGTAAAGCGATGAAGTTACAAAGTTCATTTGAAAATGCGCATGGCCACTGTTTAATTGGTTTAGGATTTGTTTTCTTCCAAAACGAGCAACTGTAGTTGGAATAGTATAGTTGCTTTGGTAATCACTAAAAGCAATGGTGGTTGGAGAGGAAAACATTACAGAGTTACTCCCCTTTACATATGTATTTATATATTTTGAAAATGTTTACCGTTTCTAAAAGAGAAGGTTGTTTCATAATATAATTATAAATGTCTTGTTGGTAAATCCGTAAACCAATTAGTTGAAACAACTGAAGTTACAGAGTGTGGTTTAACTGTTTACAGAACAGTAACCCCGAGCCGTATGAGCCAAACAGGTAACGCGAGAGATCTGTTACACCAATAACATCCCTTCAGTGGATGGTATTATGAAGACCGCCATATCAAGACTTAATGCAGGATATAGGCAATAGAAAAACTTACTGAAGTTTATAAACGAACTACAGCTGTAAATTCAGTTTAATACTCCCCTGTTTAGGTGTCAGTGGCATGTATATCGTGTTGCTTCACTGAGAATCAGATAAAGTGATGGCAGATCTGGCCTCGTTCTATAAAGTGACCTTAACGCTAAGAGTGTCTTAACTTTAATACTTTTGCAGACGTACCGTAAGCGATAAAGTTACCTTCTTGAACAAGACCATTAGGGTGAAGTTACATCAACGTGAGATCGATTGTCAAGGTTGTTGAACATATGGAGAGGATTGACCCGACAGAGGTGAGGTTGCTTGACATTCTAAAAATATTTGACTCGACAGAGGGTGAGGCTGTTTGGCATATTGAGAAGATTGGACCCCTAGAAAATGAGGTTGTTTGACATGATGAGAAGATTGGTCCCCAAGAGGATGAGGCTGCTTGACATACTAAAAAGATTGGACTCGACAGAGGGTGAGGCTGTTTGGCATATTGAGAGGATTGGACCCCTAGAAGTTGAGGTTGTTTGACATGATGAGAAGATTGGACCCCAAGGGGATGAGGTTGCTTGAAATACTAAAACGATTGGACTCGACAGAGGGTGAGGCTGTTTGGCATATTGAGAAGATTGGACCCCCAGAAGATGAGGTTGTTTGACAGGCTGAAAAGAATGGACTCCTAGAGGATGAGGCTGTTTGGCATAATGAGAAGATTGGACCCCTAGAGGATGAGGTTGTCAGAGGGTGCGTCTTTGGCATATTGAGAAAATTGGACCCACAGTGACAGAGGATGAGGATGTTTGGCACATTGAAACGTTTTGGCAAGACAGAGGGTGAGTTTTATCAGATTCAAGGCTGATAATTACAGACTGGTGTAACAGCTATGTTGACTGTTAATGAAACGCACAATTAAATGACCAATACACTGTGCATTAGTGGGTGAAGCGCTGGGTGATAACTGGTGATTTTAACGCCTTATACCATGGTAACCATTGTAATTTGTTAAAACATTTAAACATTCGGGGTAAAGCTGTAAAGACTGAGTGACGTATTTCCACACTGCAGTGTAAAGTGAGTAAATGGTTTACAGCACAACATGCAAATGCTACTGTAATAAACCCTATTATTGTATAAGTTTGACCCTATATAAGGAATCTGCGTTAGGAATTACAAAGGTCATAAACGGCCACCAGTGTGGTGATGTGTGAAACGACAACTGACGTCATGTTTTACGTATCTGTGTCAGTGTGTGTGTCTCTCTCTATCTCCCTCTCTCCGTGTGTCTTTTTCTACTAATGCCCAATGACATGTAATGTTGGTTTTTTTGCACGGATAGACCAGTCAGACACAGTACACTGACTCCAAACCAACAGTCCTTGTTTTATATAATTAATGGAGAGCGCAAGGCAGGGTAAAAATCATTATTTCACGTGTTTCAGTGTAACGTGGCCGGAAATGGAACCCCATGTTCTCCCGACAGACGCTCTATCCACGACACCGGGACGAGGTTTAACACTCTGGTGACTACCACAAACCACCATACACGGCTGACAGACCAAGGGTCGTGAACCTCGGATCTGCAAAGGGACGTAACTCTATATTGAATTGCGCCATCTTAAACAAGAGGACGATCAATCCAATTATAAGGTTTGTGACCAACCATTACTTAGATTAAGTATCTAGTCTATCTATACACCACAACTACACACATTATCTCAACTAATCGGTTGTACAATCCCGAGAATACAACAGAACACACCACACAGGACGTACCCCATGACAGCTACCCATAGACAGAGACATGTGGAAATCAACCACACAACACAGACCCAGCCATCTACCCATATATCAGAAACAATGGAATCTACTGCAGAACCCGGAACAGCTACCCATATATCAGACATAATGGAATCTACTGCAGAACATGAGAACGGGCGGTCTAAAGTTTAGAACAAAGGATTTTAAGGGAGATTTGTGTTAGTATGTTTGTCGACATGTTACTTACTGCTGCATCCTGTAAACACAAACGGAAGACATTACACGTCTAGATTACGTGAGCATTGAGACCACCACAAACACACAGAGAAACACAGGTAGAGTCGAAAGTTGTTAACATGAAGTTCTACAAATATTTCAGTTGACGTTAAAACAATTTCCCCATCAGAGATACTGCCGTACTTTACGTAAGATAACATCCAATATATAAACACAGTCACAGACTAAAACTAAATATGTCTGTATGATGCGCAAACTAATATTGCGCTTCTAATAAACAGCCATGTTACACGATGCTTCGTTTACATAACAGTTTGCTTTGAGCTAGTAATAGACTAAATTAATGTATACTATTGTAAATAAAATGATAGTTATGCTAAAAGAAAACCATGAGACTGTTGGACCATGGTTATATTGAGTGTTCCTGTCGGAGCCGATGATCCATGCTAGGATTATGATGGGCTAATGAGATGCTTGTTTAACGAGTAGATGGGTTCGATGAGTTAGTTCGAGTTACGGTAATGTAGTTATAGAAGATGAAATCCAGGGTAGAGTGAAGTGCAGGGAAAGGTGAGTACTTACTTTGTCCTTTAAAAGAACAATAGAACAAACAGTATCATAATAGTATCAATACTGTAACACAATGTCTGTTTACACTAGATATATTTAAAACAGATTTCCAGTGTTGTGTGTCTATAGTTCCAGCTTCAACAGAACATTGATGATATGAAGCAAATTACAACAGGTATCGGCTTCCTTATACTAGGAGGCACTAAACGTCTACTTACAAAGAAATAATATCATGCAACTTCTCGACAAGCATTAGGCCATGCATCTTTATAAATTTATTCATCTTTTAGCTTTAACATAAGCATGCTGCTTTGACATTAAGAGTTTTGATAAATAAATAAACAGCTTTCGAAACTTCTAATATAAGCACATGCGTTTAATGAAATAAGCACAATACGTACCATGACACCTGACAGGAAGCTGCTCCCAGCAATGGCAAATGATTTTGCTGTTGCTAGGTAACTCTGAGACCCAGTCTGCGGTGCGCCCATTATCGGCATATTTTTCAGTTCCTCAATGGCTTTCTTGTCTGTCACGTGATTCTCGTAGCATTCTGTCATTAAGGCCAAAACTGCTTTCTTGTCCAAAGTATCTTTTACTTCCTACAAAGACAAACGTGTTTTCATATAGTGAACATTGGGGTTAAGTACCTCACATGCGCATTAAAGGGAGATTACTCTCCGTGGTCTGCCTATTTCCGGTTTGCATCTGGAAGTTGTAATTAGTGATTTTTGCCAAAAAGGCATTGTCTTTTGTGCTTTTTATCAACCACGAGTGGTAAAATGTAAAATTAAGTTGGTATTTTGAAAAGAAAGAAGTAGAGGTGAGCCAATTGTTCTAAATTTCGAGCGTGAAACAGGGCAATAAGTGGCACATTTTGATGTTGCGCAGTCTGGAATGGATCCTCTTGCCATCCGTGCTTCCAAACTAATCATCGCCATGAAGCTGCGGCGCAATATAGCCTGACCGTGGCATCGTCAAGAGCAGCACTGAAACTTGAATCACCCACCTTCGCGACTTGTGATGCGCCGGGACCATTTTCCTCCACCAGGGACATGACCAGGTTAGCTATACTACTCCGAAGTTCCAGGATCTGCAAGCAGCAACACACATGGTCAACACATGCAGTCAATAGACATGGTCAACACTGTTGGTCAACACACATGGTCAAGACATGTGGTCAACAAATGCGTTTTTCATTTATAACGTTAAGAATTCTATTGATGTGACATTCAATGTTCAAATTTAGCAATTTAATTCCATTTCTTCTGGAAGTAATATAAAGTGTTGAAAGAATTTAAGAGTTTTCAACTATTGTCAGACCTTCTCAATGGAGCAGTTCTCAAAGTCGGCGGCTCTCAAGATGAAGTTGATGTAGTCGATGATCTTGTTGTCATAGATGACGATGCGGTTGTCTTGGTTACCCTTGAAGGAGAATAAATACATGACACCTTCCTATAGATAGCTCTTTCATTTTCCGACGTTTACGGTATAATTCTTGCTCTTCACCTGATGAGCATGATGGTCCAACATCTAAGTGACCATCAAAGACTACTTCTGTACATTGGAATCCCCTTATTCTTGCTTTTGTCTTAGTATGAACAATATCAAGATTTGTATGGAAGGTTTGTTAATTTAAAAAATCACGAAATTCAAACTAGATTTTGATATACTGAGCAACTATAGACGCCGTAGCGGTGCCATGACCTGCAGTGAACGTGGTCGCCCGCGATCCTGACCATCCCAATCATGAGTCGTCTCTTACCATCAGTATAGACTAGTGTGAATATATTTTGGTGATATACTTGGGATCTAAAGCAAACATATCTATACTGGACAAAAATAGTTAGGAATATATGAAAATTTTGAAATTATGAATAATGATCCATTCATTCATTGACACACTGATAAAATATCAATCTGTAAAATACCAATATCCCTCACTTAGTCTGTCCGGTATTTATTAACATGATCGGTCCGAATAGTATCGAGATCCGTATTTGATGTAACTTACGGCTGTGAACTCGTTCATCGACTCAAACAGCTGAATAACGAGGTCAATGCTCTTGCCGTTGATGTTGGAGTACACGACATTGAGGAAGCGGGTCACCTCTGCGATGATGTCAAACGATTTAACGTTGTCTGGTTGTTCACGGAGATAGTCCTGTCAGTAAAAACGAAATGGATTTGAAATTCTAAACGACCTACACAAAAGATATGATTGTGAAGGACCAGTATCGTGTTTTGTCTATTAGATGCCTGGATGTTGTTAAATGCCAAACAGAAATGAACAGAAGAGAAGATATAAATATATCATTATGAATATTTGAAATTAAACCATTATTTCACCCCTTTGTCTGTTTTGGGCAAATAGCGATACATGCCATCACCTGGGAAGACAGGAGCCCAGTCAACGAGCCCTACCTGCAAGAGCTTGTTCTGTCCGTCACACATCCGGGCCATCACCTTCAGAACCAGCTCGATGTAGCCGTCGTTCCGGTACTCGGCGGATGCGTTGGTCTCCGGCGCTTCCTCTTCCTTCGCTTCCGGTTCCGGTTCCTCCAAGAGACAAAACAGGCAAAATATTAGGACTATAACTACTTATGCTAGTATACTACTGGAAGGACGGGGAGTTATGGATGTCGACTTCTGTATAATGAACAACACAATGTTTCACAGTGGACCTACTCCTTGATCAGGTGAATGAATTTTAGGATATGGGTAGCATGTCAACATTGTAACAAGAAAACTGTGATACGATGCATCGACACGTCGGAAACGAAGTAACAAAGAAAAAAGAAAGAAAAAGAATAAATAAAAAACATTTAATCATGGTTTGTAATCAACACAGGTATGTGTAAATTAATATGAACAAAACTGTTCAATACCTAGACCTTGTTTGGGTTTGCTGGCTGTGCTTGTGGCTGTGACTATGGTTGTGTTTGTGTTTGTGGGTTGAGTGGACACACAGGACGGCACTCTTACCTCTACCTTAACAGTAAGTTCCATGTCGGGTTCCTGCACCGTGTCGATGAGAGCTTCGTTTTCCTTCACAAGCGGGTTGGCGAAGTTCACTTCCTTCTTGATGCCGTTGGCCTGCGCCGCATCCTTCTTCGACTTCTTCGGCTCCTTCTTTTTCTCTTCCTTCGGTTTTTTAGGCTTCTTCTTTTTTTGTTTCTTCGTTGAGGCTGTTGCCTTCTTTTTCGTCTGTAAGCATAATGTTGCCAGATCTTGGAGTATTTGGCGTGATTCCGAAAAGTTCCGAATTTAGAACCAGCGATCCCTAACGGGGATGTATAGTTAACGTATATATTTTCTCTAATATTGCATAATGCTATCTATTTACGTCAGTGTTACTTGATTCCAATGCACTTTCAGAACGGGGCAAAGGTCACACTAGTAGAGCAAGTGACTAGTGGATCACGACAGGCGGAAAAGGGACCCAACTTTAAGAATTGCAGCTCTTCGGACGACTGGGCCAAACCTGACCAAAGTTTGTGTCAGAAACAGTGCCGACAATGGTATTTCTGTAAATGTGCCATGAGATTAGTGTTCTGAAACCATCACAGGTTAATTTCTCAGGCATCTGGTGAGAATTTGAGAAAAGTGCTGCAATGCCGTTGTGTATTTCCAGTTCATTTAGTTGAGTGTAGTGCTAGTTCTTAAAAGTAACTGTACAAACCTACCTAGTCAGGTCTTCCTTGAATGATAATAATGAGGAGGGGGGAACAGGGTGCAATGAGGAACTGAGGGGGAGGACAGGGGCAATGAGGAACTGGGTTCAGGGTGTGGGGGAAGAGAGGGCAATGAAGATCAGGGAACAGGGGCAATGAGGAACTGAGGTGGGGGCAGGGGTTTAAGAGGGGCAATGATGATGGGGAACAGGGAGCAATGAGGAACTGAGGTGGGGGGCAAGGGGAAGAGGGGCAATGAGGATGGGGAACAGGTGGCAATGAGGAACTGAGGTGGGGGCGGGGAAGAGGGGCAATGAGGATGGGGAACAGGGGCAATGAGGAACTGAGGGGAGGACAGGGGCAATGAGGAACTGGGGTGGGGGTGGGGAAGGGAGGGCAATGAGGATGGGGAACAGGGGGCAATGAGGAACTGAGGTGGGATGGGGAAGAGAGGGCAATGGGGATGGGGAACAGAGGGCAATGAGGAACTGGGTGGGGGTCGGGGAACGGGGCAATGGGGAACTGGGGTGTTGGAACTAGGGACACTGATGATCAGGAGGCAACTGAGATCGGGGAACAGGGGCAGTGGGAAAAGGGACAATGATGATCAAAAGGAGAATGAAGAACCGGTGCTAGCCGGGGAACTTGTATTCCAGGACTTTTAACGGGACAAGCAATCTAAAAATAGAACGGAGAATATTTTACCCATCCACTGAGCCTCTGCTGTCGTAGGGCGTCCTCATAACTTTGTATTTGCTGCAACAGATAGAAAAAACAACGTATTCAGAGCATCCTGAAAATATCATTCGGATGGAATCCATCATGCAAAGGATGAAGAATTAAAACCAAAAAAGGAAATGAATTATGAACATACAATTTCCTTTCATCCTCTCTTAAATCTTCTTAACGTTGCATATTTAATTACGTCAGTTTACACATTTCCGACAACCCTGAAAACAAAGACTGATGTATGTGACTCTAGTGATGTATGTGGAGTTTGGAACCGTACATATCACGAGGGAATTATTAATACCAAGCGGGAACAAGGAACTTCTTTCATCTGCAGAGGGTCAAAGCTCCCCAGAACGCTGAACCATGCTTAGAATTAAATTCACTGCCAAGGGAAATCCATTTATGTAATTGTGAAGTTTGATGAACACAAAGTCAAGAAGTAATGGTCACCTGGGGAATAGTGATTTATAGTAGAGTATTGGTCTGCACTGGTGCTTTGTTGACGTATACCCGGGGCTCCAGCTTCAATTAAGCCAAGTGAAACATTTCACCCATGGCTATTTATCAATTTGGAATTAAAATGTTCCATGTTTGTGTTTTCTACTGTCAATGGTCGTCTGGATGGATACACAGCTTCTTTCAGTGATGGGCGGTGGGGTAGCCGAGTGGTTAAAGCGTTCGCTCGTCACGTCAAAGACCCGGATTCGATACCCCACATGGGTGCAATATGTGAAGCCCATTTCTGGTGTCCCCCGCCGTGATATTGCTGGAATATTGCTAAAAGCGGCGAGAAAACCCAACTCACACTCTTTCACTGATGGACGATATTCGTACGTGTCCTTGTTTTATATGTACGTTGTTCCTGTACGTTAGCTCAGAGAATTTAACGTACAGAGCAAACGTCCTAACGTAACATACATACCAGTATATCGTCGATATCTGACGTGTCTACATTCATATGGACCCTTTCAAAACAGTTTCTTTCTTTAAAGTTTTATAAGATAGATATGATCTAAATGTGGATCCATGGACAAGTAGAGTGAGATAAACACAAACGTGAATGGAACTTGAATGTGCCCCTAAACATGTTCTTATTAAATTTAGGTACAGACAGACCGTTCAGTGTGAGTGAGTGAGTGAGTGAGTGAGTTTAGTTCTAAGCAATTAGCAATATTCCCGCATATCACGGCGAGGGACATCAGAAATGGGCTTCACACAATATACCCAAGTGGGGAATCGAACCCGGGACTTCGGCATGACGAGCGGACGCTTTAGCCACCAGGCTACCGTTCAACACCATGTAACCACGCACTTGTTTTCATCATGCATGTGTGCAAGCATTGATTGTCTAAGTATATGCTATATAACTGTCTCATTACGGTTTAATATTATAACTCTCAGCATACTAAGTTGGTGAGGATAATGTCTCAGACAACACGGATCGATGAGCATAACATCAGACAAAGTACATTCAACATAATTCTACCAGCAGTTTTACTAAATTCAATGGTAAAACATATAATATGTTCTAACTGGTTTTAATCTGAAACCACCCACACATAACCCCATAACATACCTTGAGAGCCATGAGGCTGATGACGAATGTGTGAGTGGACTTCTTGGCAACTGCCTCTGGTGTGTCCTTCAACTTGGCCTCCTGCTGCGCCTCCAGTGACCGCCTGCAACGTGGTGACACACGTGTGAGTGAGGGGATAAAACGATTGACTTTGAATATTTTTTGTGGTTGTTGTTTAACGCTGCACTCAACAACATTACACCTATATGATGGCAGTCTGGACCAGACAATCCAGTGATCAACAGCATGAGCATCAATCTACGAAATAGTGATACAATGACATGTGCCACTGCTTTATATAAGTGTAGGTGTAGGTGTTGGGTGGAAGCTCAAAATGACACAGGTCGAGGACACTTTTACACGTTGTCAGGGTATGATGTCAGAGCATAGGAAATAATATGGATGAATACACAATTCGTTTCTGTCAGCGGAACCTTGGACAACAGAAGGACGTACGTGCATTAGCAGTGTCTTTGTCCACGGTGCCCAACGTGCCTCGTCGTATTTAACTCCTGTGAGACATATCATGGATATGAACCACAAACATTGTGATAAAGACGTAATACCTACAACATACACCGGATTATACACGAGCGACCATTCCACCCTTCCTGTCATCTCTCTGAACAATTTGTTCCCAGTATCAATACTATCCAAGCGGGTATACTGTTTTGTCGCGTTTAGCAAAATGTCAACCTAATCGCACCACGGAAATATAAGAAAGGGGTCACAAGCCAACGTATTAACCACTATGCTAAACCCACCCCACCCCCGTTTGGTATTATTGGGAAGACTATGTATTTGTATTGAGAATGATTGATCGATTGATTGATTGATTGTTGTTTAACGCCTCACTCAGCAATTTTCCAGCTATATGGCGGCGGTCTGTAAATAATCGAGTCTGGACCAGAAAATCCAATGCACAACAGCATGAACATCGTTCTACGCAATTGGGATACGATGAGTTATGTCAACCAAGTCAGTAACCCTGACCACCCGATCCCGTCAGTCGCCTCTTACGACAAACATGGGTTACTGAAGACCAGGTGTAACCCGGATCTTTACGGGTCTGTATTGAGAGTGAATGATGTGATGTTGTACACTCACTTCTCCTTGATGGAGTTGGTGGACAACGCCATTCTGTCTCTGACCGCCATGAAGAACACCTCCTCCCTCGTTGACAGGAAGTACTTCAACATTGATTCCTGGAAATATCACACTGATACCTTCAGAACTCAGTCACAAAGGAAAAATAATATAACTTAACCATTTCGAATATAAAGTTGATGATCATTATTGTAACTCAATGGTCATAATAGATTGGATACATTGGATTCAAGAGGTTAAACCGAAGCGATATAACATCATATTACACTGCTGACGTCAGTATTCCAGCTCTCACAGGTGGAGCAGAGTGGTGCACTGTCGGGGTACTACATAACTCAGCATGATGGTGGTTCATAAAACACCCACTATGAACTAACATCCTAAAATATCTCAATGGACTTCAACAATGATAGAGACGACACGATTCCCTTTCGAGATGCTCAATGTCAAACTGTTTTCAGAACAAGCCATCTAATATTTCTGTAACATTGATGTTTATTCTACAATACTAACAGTTGTCATCGTTACCGATGATGTTCTTAACGAAGTAGATGCAGTGTAGACAATGGCACTGATTTGATGCTGAATAGTACGCCATGGCTTGTACATGGGAGTCAATATACCGCAGATCTTAAAGAGTGCCAGTTTGCTTAGTGAGAGAGTGAGTTAGGTTACTTTTACGCCGCTTTTAGCAATATTCCAGCAATATAACGACAGGGGCTTCACACACCGTACCGGGGCGGTGGGGTAGCCTAATGGTTAAAGCGTTGGCTCGTCACGCCGAAGACCCGGGTTCGAATCCCCACATGGGCACAATGTGTGAAGCCCATTTTTGGTGTCCCCCGCCGTGATGTTGCTGGAATATTGCTAAAGGTGGCGTAAAACCAAACTCAGTCAGTCAGTCAGTCAGTCAGTCACACACTGTACCCATGTGGGGAATGAAACTCGGGCTTCGGCGTGAGGAGTGAACGCTTTAACCACTAGGCTACTCACCGCCCCACCAGTCTGGTGAAATCAAGGAACAGGGGTATAGTGCTGACACACCAGGAATTATGAATAACGATATAGAATATCATCCGCATGCTCACACATTAAGTAATCATGTAATATAATCACGCACAAAAAGCATTTAAATGTATTACATAAATATCATTGACATGGAACTAAGAGACACATACATCACGCCATGAAAACGTTAATCCCCCAACTGAATTATTAAAGTGACGTGATAGGATGCTCTGTAGTGGTGGCATAAGTGATAGGAATGTACCACGTGACTCACCTGAACCTGTTGGTTAGCGTTAAACAGCATGATGCACAGGAAGCCCAGCACCTCCTTGGCGATCTCGTCATTACGGGAGGCCAGGTGGGGCAGTGACTTCTTCATGGCGCCATTACACTCGTAGAAGTTCTGTATGCATGCTATCAGCTTCAGGGCTCTGGGGACAGAGCTTGTCTTAGTAATAGTGAGGGGAAACGAAAGAGTTAGTGAGTTAGTTTTACGCCGCTTTTAGCAATATTCCAGCAATATCACGGCGAGAGACACAGAGAAATGGGCTTCATACATTGCACCCATGTGGGGAATCGAGCCCGGGTCTTCAGCGTGACGAGCAAACGCTTTAACCACTAGGCTACTCCAACGCCCCAGAGACGAAAGCGACTACACAACATCTTTAACATATAATAATGCCTGAAATACTACCGGCAGTTAATACGTGTTTAAAGGCCTCGTGCCCATTCTTAAAACCATATATGACAGATATTGCCCAAACGAAATTAAAAACGCCATTTTCATATGACTAGTTAACCTCACATATAATAAAGCATACAAATAGACGTAAAATTACAACATGATACATTATGGAAAAATTCGGATTGTTTCCTTTTTATTCTGTATGGGGAAAACTACATCAGTGAGGGTAAAACGTTCCATGTTTGGTGCCGACCTGAGTATCTTGGTCTCCGTTGTCCGTGTCTCCCAGTCGTCCGGCAGCTTCCTCTCCTCGTTGTGTACCAGAGCCCTCAACACCTGCAGACACTTGATGTTGAGGTCGTCCATCTCCTGTCTGGCAGCCTCCGTCAGTCGCTTGTACTCCAGGGATATTCTGTCGGGGGGACAGATATATGAGTAAGTAAATGTTGCGATCACTAAAGGTTGGCCGGTTGCATCTCTGAGGCGTTTAACTAAATGTTATGCAATGCCACCAGAGGTTGGCCGGTTGTATATCTCTAGCATGCAAATACTCGTTTCGGGATAGGTAAACCAACGTCTTACAGCATGAGCAACATTCAACACAGTCAGGGTACCATGAGACCAGTATGATAGGTTTGACATACTAGCTATCATATACGTGACATGGGGCACTCAGGGCGCAGATTTTCGAAGCTCTCTTAGCGCCATACATTAACATTAACTTACGACTATCTTAGCGCTAAGAGAGCTTCGAAAATCTAGGCCCAGGTCTGTGTTATATATTAAAATAACCCTTTATGACGGATACATCGCAATAGTCATAGATATGAATACATTATTCTTTCTTGATGAACGTATGAACATATTTTTATTGTTTTCCTGAAGTGACGATGTTTGAACTTACGCCAGTTGCTCTATGAGTTTCCCTGACGGAAAGAACTTCTTTTCCGGTTTCTTCTCATGAGACGCAATAAAACAGCGGACCAGGCTCTGGAACTCCTCTCCGAGGGCAGTTCCTCATCTCCTCCAAGGATCGTGTATTCTGACAAGGACATACGATGAACGTTACTTCAATTGGAATAGTGTCCCAACGTCTGTACATATATGTGGCATAAACTGAATGTATCTACACTACGATAAATACGTCATTTCCATTTCAACCCTTAGTCTGATGAACATATGACGTCGGCTACATCAAGAATCACCTTCATACATTGTTCATAACGGAGAAATGAACCCGGGTCTTCAGCATGGAGAGTAATCGTTTTGTCTGTTCATGTTTTCAGTTTCCAGTTGAACACCTGCAGAATTCGGGATTCGAACCCATAAACAACATCTGCTGGTTCCACTTAAGAGCACAACACTGCCTATTGATTCTAGTATGTTGTTGACTGTTTAGGCAGTGTGTTTTTCTAATTGACAATGATTGGCAATGACTAGGTGTCACCGAAGGAAACATGTGGTATCCAACTGACCTCTCTTTGACTTGAACTTGAGTTGTGCCTGGACAGTGTTGTGTCCGGCAAACACAACAGCACAGCCTCTGGCGAATGTCCGGAATTTTGCGTTCAATTCCACTTCGGACGAATAGTACTCGATATTACCCTGAGACGGAAATGATGTGATTAAGGTAATGGCTGGGAGGTCATTACAAGGCGTGTAATATCTGCACCAGATGACCGCCACACATACAGGACAAATACCAATTATTAGACTGAAGAAGCATCACGTGGGTGGATTATTTTCCGACATATACCAGCTTTACATGTCCGTGCAGTGGCCTCGGTCTGTAATAAACCTAGACCCAGGATCGTTTTATTAGAAATGACTTTTCACATGGGCGCGGTGGGCGAACTGGCTAAAGCGCCAGGCTAGTGATCCAGCGAGCTTGAGGTGCCGGGATCGAGCCCACCTGTGACCGGGTGTAAAAACCTGGGAGTCAACTTTGTGTGAAGACTCTTTCAGTGTTGTCACAACCCCCTAGTGTACAGTACACAACCCTGTGCACTTAAAAGAACCCACGAATCCGTTGGTATATGACCAGATGGTGGCCACATGAGTACGTGCAAACACCCAGTTGCGGGTACAGCAACGTACAGTAAACATGGACAAAGTACTGTGACTATGTGTCCCAGTCCACCCAGCTGTAAATGGGTACCTCGTAAGGATGGGAATGCCACACTAACTCGGTGCGCCTTGTGGCTGCAAGAGTTGTATGCTCCCCAGGGAGTTGAGATTGATAATACGATGTGCCATTGAGACTGACATCCAAGGATCGAGGGAAAAAAATACCAGCGCCTTGAGCAAGCACTATATGCCTGGATATGTGCGCTATATAAGTATCATATAATAATATCACAGGTCTATGTGACGCTTTACCAGTGACACGGGTACACATCAGAGGGTAACCCTCATTGTGTCGGCACTGGGGTGGTTCGTGTGAAGTAATATTTTGTTAGATTTGTTTTGAATGAATTGAATATATAATATTTATTCCACACATTATTATAAGCTTACCCTGCGGATAGCGCTGGACGTGTCCTCTACCGTGATACCAGACGCGAACCTCTCCAGGATCACCTCCAGGTTCTGCAGGGAAAGATGTGAACATGTGAGGTGGCCATGCATGTTGACGGTACAGGGGACACAAAGCAAGAATCAATCAATGAGCAATGTTGTAGTTTCACAGACTCATCTGACAGGGCATGTTGGAGACTCACCGAGTCAGGCATACTGGACAGTGACTCACCGAGTTGGGCATGTCGGACACAGGGACTCACCGAGTTGGGCATGTTGGACACAGGGGACTCACCGAGTTGGGCATGTTGGACACAAGGACTCACCGGGTGGGCATGTTGGACACAGGGACTCACCGAGTTGGGCATGTTGGACACAGGGGACTCACCGAGTTGGGCATGTTGGGCAGAGTGACTCACCGGGTGGGTATGTTGGACACAGGGACTCACCTAGTTGGGCATATTGGACACAGTGACTCGACGGGTTTTCCATGTTGGACACAGTGACTCACTGGGTGGGCATGTTGGACACAGGGGACTCACCGAGTTGGCCATGTTGGACACCGTGACTCACCAGGTGGGTATGTTGGACACAGGGACTCATTGGGTGGGCATATTGGACATAGTGACTCACCGAATGGGCATGTTGGACACAGTGACTCACCGAGTTGGGCATGTTGGACACAGTGACTCACCGAGTTGGGCATGTTGGACACAGGGACTCACCGAGTTGGGCATGTTGGACACAGTGACTCACCGAGTTGGGCATGTTGGACACAGTGACTCACCGAGATGGGCATGTTGGACATAGTTACTCACCGAGTTGGGCATGTTGGACACAGTGACTCACCGAGTTGGGCATGTTGGACACAGGGACGAGGACGGTCAAACAGTTGACCATGTTCTTCATATGGCCAGGCTTGTACAGGAGAGGGCCGACGATCTCGCTGAACATCTACAGCATTAAGACAAGTTTAATGTACAAGTATTATCTAAGATATATTAAACCCTGCATGTATCTCACTGGCATACATTCAACGTTTTTTCCCAACATTATCATGACACAAAAGTATTGAAAATTACTTTAAAATATAAATTCCCTTTACAAAAAACCCAACACAATTGTTCTAGTTAATACATGTTAATTGCTTTAAACCATCTTCTTTGGCTCCTAATTTCAGACAGACAATTGTATTCAGCTTTCCTTTCAGACAAATATATTGTACGAAGCAGTATGATAGTGTATGTAACTGTACTCATGCCAATAATGGTTGTCACCCCCTTCAATTTATTTAAATGAGGAGGGGGTGTGGGGTGGGTCGTGAGCGGTGTGTGGGGGGGATTGGTGTGTGTGTGTGTGTGTGTGTGTGTGTGTGTGGTGTGACAACCATTATTGGCATGAGTATATATTGTGACTCTTTCTGACAAACATCCCCATTATTTCGGTATGTAAGTTGAGAGTAACAGACCGACTATTCGCTTCATACGACGTCGTCAAATAGTTACACAATGGCTCCTCCACACTGCACTGCTATCGTCACGTGACCAGATCAAACTACCAACCAAAAGGCTGGTCACGACCACAACGTCTCCGTCGTGTGCAGTGAAGGTGCAACAGAGTGGTGAAGTGACACGACACATCTGAACATAGTATTGATGGGGTACACCAAACCCGTCACACAAGGTATTGTAGTGTTATATGTAACATGGACGGGACAAGGGCTAAACAATCACAACTGCAATGTCCTCACCACTCCGGCCTTGGCGAGATGGTCAGTTTCGTCTATTTCATTGCCGGCGGGGTTGATCTGGTCAGGGAAGTAGAAGTCGCGGTAGAACGTCTCCAGGAACGGACACACTCCCTCAAGTATATACAGCACCGTGCCGTACGCCGAGGACTCGAAGAACTGCGTCTGAGCCGTGCCACTGTCAGGAGACATAGGGTAGGCGACGTGAAACACCGTCTCTCAGTACCAATTAAACTATGACTTTGGTTTCACTTGGTGTAAGCATAAACGGGTAACACATTAGTGATAACTACATATTTAAACATACATGAATAATCAGTTCTTATCAGTCTTAATGACGCACATCCAATTATATCACTTATCATCATGATAACAGATTTAACGTCAATCTCGTGAATGTCAAGAATCTCAGGAATCATACAAAATGAGAACGCCATGGAGTGAAGCCTGTTTTAATAGATTTTCTGAAACGAACAACCATCCGTACTTCGAGACTACATAGCGTCAATATCGGACAATGATACCGTAACGATTCACAAATTCACAACGTTAAACGTCTCGACCGTCTACAGTCACAGATTCCATAGGACGTAAGAGGCAAAACAGTGATGAATCAAACATTTAAAATCAGTGATGGTAACACATTTTCGCGAAGAGGTCGATCATGTCCTACTCTAAAGTATCATCTCAAACGATCTATGGAACGGACATGGTTTAAGGGCGGACACTAAGATTTAAACAGTGCCAGTTAGTGATACATTTTCTGGGAAATGCGGTTTTCTTCCTGATGTACCACGCACTTACCTTTTCTCTGGAGCAGTCTTGAGATAGATGGCTATCTTGTCAGGATCTTCCTTGATGCTGTCGGTCAGTCTGTTAATCTCGATGGACAACGAAGACAAGTAGTCCCACAGCTCACTGGAGGCACAGAAGTAGATTTACACATGGACACAAGACGGCAAAATCTATCACTACCTCCAAGACGTCATGGCCGGTGCTTTACACACGTCGTAATGAATATGATTCATGCCGTTATGTATTTTAATGAGTATATTGAAGAAACAAGACATGCGATAATGAAATATATAAATGACATATTGATGCGGGCACATTAACATATTTTTCTACGTCAAGCCGAGAAAATGTTCCAAAAAATACTATAGATACACCCTACGAAATCAAGTCAAGATAATAGTAAATATGTCTTAGACAATATCCAAAAAGCGTAGGAAAGCATTCTGTTATTCTATTCAGCTCACACCTGCAAATACCAGAACAGGTTAACTCAACAAAACGCTTCATATCTAGGCTACTAGACAAGTCCTTCCTGAATCTATTAATGTAAGTCCAATCAGTTATTAGTTTAACTATAGACTGCCATGCGACATAGTTACATATAGTTCATGTCAGCCACGTCTACCCTAGCCATGACATGTTGGTCTAGATGATGTCCTACAGCGAGGCCTAGTCCTATTCTACAGTGAGTGAGTGAACTGGTTCACGCCTCAGTCAGCAAATTCACAGCTACGTAGTGGTGACGTCGACTATAACAAGGTCAGAACAGACAAACCTGGTGTTGTTACTTTCATCTAACTATGTCAACGATGTCTGTGACGACATCGTGGTGATTCCTGTGGTCATACACAACTAGCAACACCAGCTACTCCACGGTGGCCTACAACGTGCACTCAGATCTGGAGCGGACAAACCATTTGGCGCTACAGTCAGCATCGAACCCCAGTTCATCAACGATGAGAAATAACCTCTAATATCACAAGTCTAATAACAAAGATAATGTAAACGAGCACTTATAATTGCCCTGACAATGTGTATGATTATCGCGTATTTATTGAGGTCATGAAACCTTTTAGATAGAGTGAGTGAGTGAGTGAGTGAGTATGGTTTTACGCCGCCTTTTTAGCAATATTCCAGCAATATCACGGCGGGGGACACCAAAAATGGGCTTCACACATTGTACCCATGTGGGGAATCGAACCCGGGTCTTCGGCGTGACGAGCGAACGCTTTAACCACTAGGCTACCCCCACCGCCCTTTTAGATAGAGAGTTAAGTTAAAGTAATGAAACTTACAACCTATTTGAAACCACAAATCAGTAGGTTATGTATAAACGTTGTTTATATGACCATGATCAGTAATTGCTACTCCAGATATCGAGTTCACTATCATTGACCTCCCTAACTACGACTAGCCTTGTAACGTATAACCGTTTATAAGTTCGTATGTCACGAGGGAATTTGGTTTGGTTTAACCGTTCTTTTGTATATTAGATTTTAATACATCTAGAGTTGACTTGATCCATGATAACAGATAACAAAGACTACGGGAGACTGAATGATAACAAACGGCTTGATCACTAATGGCAGAAATCGGAAGGTTTTCCGTCCAAAGTATTCATGCTTGTTCCTTAAACTCCAAGTTCGTTGTTTAAAACCCAAAATAGTTTTGATTACTAAGCAGAAAAGCTGACTCCTTAAAGAAACTAGTGTTAATATATTGGCCTCTCCGGGCCGTTTTGGTTCCAATGACCAGATCAAACTACCAATACTATACAAGCTGGCACAACCTAGAAGTCTAAGACATGTCCACTGTGGTTGTGCAGGTGTGACGGGGTACCGTCTCTACATGACACTGGAAACATCTAAACCAGGCCTGGCTGCTGTCTACCATGCCAGGGTTCGGAGTGCCAGGATTCGCTGTGATGCCGGGGAACAATAGGGGTGGGTAGCGCACACACATTCTCAATGTAGCGGTCTGACAGCCGTTGCTGTCACCTACTACGGCAGGGACTGCTGGTATATACAACAATGAGTCTGCGGTGATGGTTTGATGCATGCACACTGAATGCACTCAGGTAACATTGCATGATAGTTGCATGCGTTGTCTGCACACATGCACAAAAAACACTCAGATTTACCATCGGAAAAAGTCGTGTGCAGGTCGTGCTTTCTGTAAACTGTTAGAAAATGTTAGTAAATATACGTGGGTTCAATTGTGACATTTTGGTCCATGGCATATCGGGGAATATGATGCCTTCATCATTCCCTTCAGCCATGACCTTGAGTTAAGGAATCAGGTCGTGCTATTGGTTACACTGTCACAGAACCGGAGCTGGTATCAATACAGGTAACCAAGGAAACCATTATAATATGTGCCATTTCAGGAGACCAGGATAAAGGTAAAACATCTAATATATAAAACTTACTTAGTGACCCTTGCCGTGTTTGAAATTTCAAATATATTGTTACAAAATTTCATCATAGTTCCTAAGGATTGATGACAGCTCTCTGATGACAGGTGGTACACGGGTGGACGTTACCTGGTGATGGTAACGGTGGTACGGGTGTAATGGGAGAAGAAAACACAAGTGAACAGGTGAGAATCAGACAGACCAATGCAGAACGCTAATATGTCACGTACAAGATCAAGATCAAGTATCAAGACACATGGCTTGATGGTTCCTGGAAACCAGACATTATGAGTTGTATCTGAACAGTACATGGTCAGTCGTTTCCTGAACACCTGACGTTATGCGAGGTTTTGCAGTTAGGTTGTTCAACTCGATATACGGCACCCGTGCATCAGCAACGTCATGCCCATCTATCCGTAGCAGTGAATTTTTAAAGACAACAGTTTACTTTCAAATGAAAGGAATGAGTATTGGAAATCGTGCATTGGTTGCATTACAACATAGATATGTTACTGAAAATCTACCATTACATAAGTTCCATGACACGCTGTGTAATCGGTCTGCATTTTTCTGTCTCAGGGTTAATTACAAGGTCAGTGGTAATGTCTGTGGCAAGGTCAGATACGAGGTCAGTGACAAGGTCAGATACGAGGTAAGTGGTTCAAGGACCATAGGGATATATTACAAACGCCGTGAGAGTTTCAAACGGGATAACTGTCAAACACACACAACTCGGAAGCATTTCTAGGGCAACAGTGTTTTATATCAGAGAGTGACGTCCTATCATATCACTGGAGACAAACAACCTTGAAATGCTTCTACAACACAACACTGAAATATGGTAAGCACACGTGACAGGTGGTAGGGGTCATGGGGTTACTCCAACAGGTCAAGGTCACAGGGGTCGCCATCTTACCACGGGTTGTCAAGTATAAGTGAGGGGTTGCCCTCCTGAGGTCGGCTCTTGAATGAGGGTCTGGTTCGGGTTGGGGTCCTTGAGATTAAAGTGAAGGATGGTTTGACGTGGATAGGGAACTAACCACATAATGACCAAAGAAACGAAATTTCCAAATAGATGTTCACAACAATGACTCTTCTTGGTTTCTTGATGATATGTTTTTCGCCTCAGACAACATTCAGATATTACACACACTCACAAAGGTCAAACAATGTGACCTCTAGTTCCTCATTCCTCGATTCTTACGACAGACATGAGGCAATATGGCCTACCTTAATATACTGAAACCCCATTGGTCACAATAATGTTAATATGTTCCATAGTATCATAAAATCATAGCAAAGACTAGTGACTAGATTCTGGGCGAATAACAAGCTAGTTATTGAAAACAAGACGCTTCAGGGAACTTTTTGCCACTTTATCAGGTAAAGCCCTGGAACGCCGTAAAAATTACAGAATTTGTCATCCATAAAATTAATGTATTTATGTTCTTCCATCATCTAAATACCCATGAAACACTTAGTGTTGATATTTTCAGTTCGTGGGTAATTTAATGTAAAATTTAAACACATTTTTTTACAATATGACAATTACGTACATGTATTTACAGTTACAGGAGACAGAACGTCACAGGTATAGAGCACCAACATTACGGAGTTCAACGTTTAGATGCAAAACATGCAGCTATTGAAACATACGTTAATACAGTGTAAAAGTGGTAAGTTTCAAAATCCTTTTGCACTAAATGCAATGATGTAACAATAAACCATGTTCATGATGTGTGTCAATATGATTCCTTATCGCCATGCAGAAGTGTTAATGGAATTAGGCATGTGTGTGTCTACAGGCCTGCGATATTGGCAAGTAGAAGCGATGTTGTAGCATAGAAGGTAAAACTAAAGATGTCGGTGACTACAGAGGAAACGGAGTAGTAGCTGTCGTTAACGTACCTATCGTGCGGGATCTCGCTGTTGGCCATGTCCACCGAGGAGCCGTTGCTCTTCATGTAGACGTGGTGGAGGCAACGCAGGAATGGTTTCTTCTGGACGTTGTCCACGTTTGGGTTGTTCAGCACCCACAGGATGTCTTCCATGGGGAGGATGGTCTGGCACAGGGACTCGATGAACATGTTCTCCCCCTGAGATGTAACAAGTCACTTCCGGTGTCAGTACGTCCATGAGTTTCTTATTTGGGAGAATATACTAAGACTAGGGTACAGCTATGTCAACTTTACCAGGTCAGAGGTTCTGCACGACTAAAGCCGGTCAATTAACAGCCGGGCAAAAGAAAGTATTTACTTGAAAAATGGATTTGACCAAAACAATTACAAACATCATCAAAACGTTACTTGGCTGAGCCAACGTGCTATTACAATGAAAATCTCCAAAACACAACCATGCTATCCAAATCAAATGCATCTTCATCGTGAAACAGTCATGGAAATTGCATGACTTGATCCCCATAACTGATGCGACCATGTGTTAATTGTTAAATAAAAGGCTATTAGTTCGCTTCACTAGCTTATACACAGTAAATACAGTATGATCACATCGTATACAGGATATAATCCTGGCGGTATCATTTCTAGTTTAAAGACATTGCAAAAACCTAATCTGTCCGAAGACTCACCTCAGCACATGCTGCAAGCAGATCCAACAGACTCAGGTAGTACCTCAGGGTGGACATCCGGTCCTGATCTGTCAGGATCTTCTCCCTGGAAATATCAAGTAGTCAGGCTAAAGACCTGGGTGTCTGTATATGTACACACACCTCAAAGCCTTGAATACAAACACAAAAAGGTGTTCACACAAATTTGCTACTGTCATATTTATGTCCGTCTGTCTCTTAAAAACAGAAATCTGGAATGCATTGGAGCTGTAAGTAAACACCATATAGTTTCTATATGCACCCTGCATTATCCAAAATATGTGGATGGTTTATGCGTGCCCTCAACCATGCAGATAGTCGGCTACTGCTCTTTGTGTAAACCTCATTAAACACAATTTCACCTTTCATCACGAGTCTGGTCGAGGACGTAGGCAAGCTTCTTGTAGTTCTGCATGATGTATTTCATGACGTAAGCCTGGTTCCGCTTCAGAGTCAGGCCAGTGCCCACGACCTTGACAATCATCTGTAGGAGGTCCAGGAACTCCGGAGCCTTCTCCGTCAGCTCTGCGGCTCTGTTGACCACCTTCTGGATCTGGCGGGGGCTGATCTTCAAACACGTGTTTTGGTTGCCATAAAACACCTGAAGCAGACAGTTTTATACATCTGAAGAGGACGTTTATACACCCGACAAAAGAATACGTAAGTCATATATAATCTTTAGTATTGGAGCAGGGTGGAAGCCTAAGACATTGGTTTCTTCCAGACCAAGAGCTCTACATAAATATACTTATCTATCTTGTACCACCACGCTGATTAAGAAGGAAGATCTACCCACCTCTCTAAGGGCTACAGCCAGATCGGACTCCACTACTCGTACTTCGAGGAGAACGTCCAGTCTCTCGAAGATGTGATGCTGGACTCTGTCGTTCTCCTTGGCCAGCAGCTTGAGGAGGTAGAGTGTCTTCCTGAAGATGTCCCGCATGCCCTTGTATTGTTCCTAGAAGATGCAGCGGTCGGTGAGGACCTAGCTTGAACCAAATACACTGATCGCCAACAACGTGGGGGGAGTACTTAAATTGTGTGTTAATCTTATTTCAGAATATTCCATCAGCAAATTCCAACGGCCTGTACATGATCGAGTCCGGTGCAGGCAAACCGATGGTTGACAACACGAGCAAATACCTGTGGCATTGAGGCATGAAACCACACAATCTGTCAGCATTATAACAATGGGATCTAATTCGCGGACTCTTACAAGAACAATTAAATTACTAGGATCTATAGCGAAGGACTGTTATATGCTACAGTGTTACGTTGTACCTGATGCAGTAGTTGCATTCTACAATAGGGGACGCCTTTCATCAAGAAATTGGTTATTACATATTACATAGACAGAGGAACAATGTCTATTATTGTGATACTGAAGTCAGATTAGTATTTCTCAACACTATGTGCCATGCTTCACATTTAACAGAATCAAAACAGAAACACACAGTCGAGTGAGACTTTCATGCAACAGCTTACCAACAGCTTGACGTCGATATCCTGGACCAAGATGTCAAACAGAATGTTCAGTATTCCTGGAATTAGTGAGTAAATGAGTTAATGAGTGAGTGAGCGAGTTTGGTTAACGCCGCTTTAACGCCTGATACTTCACTGTGTGTTAGCCTGATGTGGGTGATTCATGTTTATATATGCTTAGAACCCAGAAGCATGGATGTGGTGCTGATAACACTAGAAACACAATCAGTGCTAAAAGGAAATCGAACACACGATTACAGGTTTCCGTCTTGCCCTCTTTATACCAGCGAATTGCAGCGCCAAGATAGACATACAAATACAGTTACACGTATGTATTACTAAGCTGCATTAGGGGGCTTCATTTAATAAAACTATCACATGTTGATGTCCAACAGGTAGTCGCAATGATGCAAGTTTTAAGGATAGTGATGGTGAAAATACCAACCGTTGCTGATGAGGATGTTCTGGTTCATCGGATGGGGTTCATCCGGCGTCATTGGCAGATGGCAGAACCTAAAGAACACAAAAGCGTATCGTTGGAAATGTTCGTTACATCCTTCTGTTTTTTAAATATATTTGGCTGTGTTGTAATATAACTCGTCTTTTCAAATGGTGCTGACAAGCCAAGAACGATAATCAGGGCAAATCGAGATTCGAACCCACCATCAGATAGTGCTAGTCTACCCAAAAGGACGGAACTCAGCAAAACGGACTGCGGCGTGTAACACGACGTTATTAGAGTCAAGTTGGGTATTTTATATGACGCTCGAGGTGCACAATGTTTCGATGTAGATGTTATATTGACACCAGTCATGAAACAGACAAAGACACTATTTTTCTGTCCTGTATGAGCAAACGGTTACCTTTACTAACATCATGGACGGATGTGTCATGGATCTTCAACATGTACAATGTAGAACCTTTGTGTAGTAATGTATGAATGTATTTACTCATGTGAATAAAATAGTGAAACAAAATGTTCTCACTCTGCTAGATCGTCCAAGATGTCGCTCATGAGTTTGACCTGCTGGTCGTCCAGTTTGGCACGTGCAAGTCGCCGCAGGATGGGCATGTTCTTTAGGACCTCCCGATGAACACGTGCCGAGTCCTGGGTCAGAAGTACCTGCAATGTACACGAGAGTGATAACTGTAAGTAAAAGTAGTAAGGTGTAATTTGAGCGTCACTCTTGCTGTAATGTGGTGTCAACGTACCTGAGCTTTACTGGAGAGTTTGAACATGTTGGTTTTGGAGGAGTACACTTTATTGAGGATATTCAGAGCCTTGGTGATGATTTTGTTGTATTTGTACTGCGACAAGTCCTGGAAAATACAACATGTATTAGTCAGAATTGTACAGTTGTATTTCTTATGGATGTGGAAAGGTTTTCTCGTTTCTATTAAGGATGTGTACAGAAACCAGGAACTGAAACCTTCGAATGAATGCCCACTTTTTGAGACAAGCAGATTGATGATCTGTTACCCCAAAGTGTCGACAGAGATGAGTATGACCAAATTCGACCTGAAAGGCTGAGGTCACGGAGCTGACGCTTTGCCAAAACCGAATTCCATAAACGAAAACTAAGAAACTGGATACCAATCGTTTTATTTTTTTCTTAATCACTCCTTACAATGATGTTGTTTTCATTTTCATTTAAAAAGCAAACCAGAAGACTTTAAAGTGTATTTCTAAATGCGTGCGTGTACACACATATTTGAGTTGGTATCAGAACTACATGTTTCTATGGAAATGAACCTTTTTTATTCTTTTCTACGAAAATGACATTTGAGAAGTTTTAACGGAGATGCATTAGACAATATCTTGTGACGTCAGGAAGACGCTGTGTAGCGGGATAATGACCATTTAATGTTCTGGCACAAATCGATGAGATAACCCTCAAAAGTTTCCATGCTAATAAACACAAGCTTTCAGGTCCGAGCTGAACACTGGTTTGGTGGCGATGAGTAGCTGAAGCTAAAACACCAGCACTCTTACCTCTGTGATCATTGGGGGTGGTGGTAACTCATAGAACGCCCCAGTATTACATTACATTAATAAGCTTTAAATGCAACATGGCTTGAGGAAATTAGCAGCCGTGCACGATCTGAAAGCTGGCAATCTGACCCAGTTGTAAGGTGGTCATCCCCCTATTACCCCTCCCGTCCCTGCATTAGATCAACCTCCAGCTCAAGTACAGGGGATAGAATTCAATATAACGGTACAAAACGGACGTGTGATTTAATGACACAATCGACTATAACCAAATATTTGTTAAATCAACCGTTATGCCAGCACTGCAATCCAGGGATTGGTTCCCAGTAAAGTAAATGTTATTCAATAAAAGCGAAAAATCGTTGCGCTTTCTGATAAAGTTATTACTGATAGATTGCACTTAATTAGGTATATTAGAGATAATATAATTCAGATTAAAGACGGAACAAGTCAAAGTTTCAAGCTCTGGCTGTTCTGTTGTTTAACTAAACAATAGGTTTACAGGGATATTAATGTGATACAATATACTCGATCAGGGCTCGATAAGGACTCGGCTTAGCCCTGATAAATCGCCCTTTTCATTCGTTAGCAAAACATCGGGCGTACTCGGAGGGAAGGTTGGATTGGTGTGTGCTTGTATTGCGAGTCTAATCCTGCTTCAGAAGCAAGTTGATCTCGAATGGAGCGATGGATCAGTTTAAAATTACACTGCATGTTTACTTTTTACAAGATTGTTCAGTACTCTCGGGGACATCCGGTTGGGGATCCTTTAATTTGAGTTAATAATACTTTAATAATACAGGAAGTTAATCCAGTAAGTTGTAACATAAACGATTTTAATGTTGATGAAAGAAATACGTTAAAACAAGATGGTTCGCTCAGATGAACTCTCTGTTCAGGGCTGTCGGCCATTTTGTAGAAATATTACTTGTGGGTTAAACTGCGAACATATTTTTCTGTTTCTGAGTGATTTGATTTAGTCAGCTTTCATGTTCTGCATACACAAGAAAAATCGATATATATGATTTCATTTAACCACGGGTATAGTTTATAGGATTAGACGGAGCTCGGTGCTCTTTGGCAGGAACGTATACCAACTTCACAGTGACCCGGCGGTAATTCACATTCGACTTATATACACCAATAAATTAGAGAAAGGGGCATGTGATATTATCACCGCTCGGTATCAGCCAGCTCCTTTGGTATAATGTCTTCCCATTCTACTCCAGATATATAATGAATGGATCCATATTCAACTCCGGATATATAATAACACGACATTTATAATCGTCCGACATTTAACTCCGGATATATAATGGCCAAACATTTAACTCTGGACATATAATGGCCAAACAATTAACTCTGGATATATAATGGCCAAACATTTAACTCTGGATACATAATGGCCAAAAATTTAACTCTGGATATATAATGGCCAAACATTTAACTCTGGATATATAATGGCCAAACATTTAACTCTGGACATATAATGGCCAAACAATTAACTCTGGATATATAATGGCCAAACATTTAACTCTGGATATATAAAAGCAATGCTATTTAATCTGGGATATATAATGGCTCCATATTTAACTCCGGATATAATGCACCAATGTTTAACTCTGGATATAATAAAGGCGGATAACTCTGGATAATGTGTTAATCACCACTGAATATATAATACCCAAACATAACAGGAACAAAGTTGAGTAGTCGGTTCCCTGATTAATACGGGTGGATTCTAAATATATAATCGCTAGTTTCCACTGCATGGCGCTTTGTTACAGTGTTATAAATGATGTTATAACCACGAGATGTCGTTACATCCTACCATGAGGACTTTGGTGAGAAGATCCACATCAAATATTGCTGACACATTAAACATGTCTCTCAGCTCCTTCGTCACCTTCTTCTGGTGGGCCAGCCCCTTTCTGGAACCAAACAACATGTCTCTGTTAGAAGCAATGTATGGTCTGTGTGTGATGCTGAACATACTATTTCACTGATAACATGACAGTCTTGAACTTAAACAATAACACATGTGGGCGTGACGAACACAATTAGTATAATAACACCCAACGTCACGATCCAGGTGCGTCTTGGATTCGAACTCACTACAAGCGGATACCAGAAGACCCTGTTAGCACATGACACACCTTAGAACATTGGGCCAGCTTGTTCCGTGAGAACTGTTCTGGACGTTTTGTCATGAGAACAAAATAACGTGTTACTTTTCTCCAATTGTTGACTTTACAATGATGATGGTTTTCCAAGATATGAATGCTTTCTTGCTGAAGTACATGTTGTGCAAATTATTGTTTTGGCCCTGGTAATACATGGCTGCGGAAACAACAAAAGGCACGTCCTATCGAACGTTAGCAAACGATTCACGAGAGTGACTTGAATAATGTCAATTATCACGTGCTGTTTTGGAGATAGTAAATTCCGATAGCCATTATAGATTAAAAGTTTTTGCTTGAATGAAAAAATAAACGCCAATGAAAGAGAATAACGAGTCTCAATCATCCGTCGATCACTGAAGATGTAAAACAAACGTTCTGTTTACATTCCCACATTTTATCATGTAATTACCATAGATAAGATATGTGCGATATATACATACCACTTCATACATACAAATACCAGATAGCTGGCATATAACATGCTATATTCATCCCAAATACATGATATTTACATCAATATAACGTACACATTGACAATCTACAAGGCAACTATATTCCACAAAAATGGCATACATGACAAATACAAGATATATACATCAATTATGACGTATATATGAAATCTACATGACATTTATATTTTACATATGTGACACAAAATGATCCATCGCACAATTGTTCAGACCATTTACTCATAAAGAGAACTGAAGTGGCAGCCCTAATGAAATCGTTCTTAGCCCCACTGTGTTCAACAAAGCGTTACTAAATTCCCAGCTGTAGTGTATATTTAATTGTAACGGTACAATTTCTTGTAAATGTACAAACCCACAAAAGCCTCATCGTTAAAGGAGATGTTCCATGCCTATGGGGACGGTGGGATAGCCTAATGGTTAAAGAGTTTTCTCGTCAAAAGTGAGTGAGTGAGTATAGTTTTACGTCGCTTTTAGCAATATTCCAGCAATATCACGGCGGAGGACACCAGAAATGGGTTTCACACATTTTACCCATGTAGGGAATCGAACCGGGTCTTCGGCGTGACGAGCGAACGCTTTAACCACTGGGCTACCCCACCGCCCCCGTCACGCCGAACATGGGTACAATGTGTGAAACCCATTTGTAGTGTCCCCCGCCGAGATATTGCTGGAATATTGCTAAAAGCGGGGTAAAACCATACTGTCACTCCATGATGGTGTCTATTTCAAAGTAGTGCGTCATACCGATACACTGCGTGGATTGTCACTGTGTACACTAGGATGCAAGGACTGATGGACTTAACGCTACTCCAGCTGTATGGAATCGAGTCAAACCAGTGATCGATATCATGACCAACATCAAATGCTGTCAAGATAATCAACCAGGAAAACATAAACAGATAGATATAAGCTGGTGAGCACCTGTTCCAACTCGGAGTCGTCACGGATTACACATCATACATATACGGCTGGCTCAGTCACACGTACGTTCTAAGGCTACAGATGCACCTGCCTCAGCGACATAGAATATCAACCCTAACAGATTTCTACAAAAGTATATGAATAGATCAGTGAAAATCAAGTACGACACGTACTTGTTGCTGTCGTGTGGGTTGTAGACGTCGAACAACAGCGGGATCAGCGACGTCTGTCCACTCCTTTTGGCTGCAGCTGCTTGTTCTGCCACCTTGAACTTGCCCATGAAACTCTGGAAGGACGTTCATATACAGTCAAAGACAGTTATGTTGTAGGGATCTAGTTATCCGATATTCTACGTAACAGAAAATTATTCCTGAATTAGGTATAGGGGCCACGATTTTACTTCGAAACAAATATACGTTCGACACATCAACTTTAGACACAATGGTGTTGGACTGTACTTCAGTAGGACAAGAAACCTTTTTGACTTACATACATACTCGAAAGGCAAAACTTTCCATGCAGATATTGCACACCTGTGTTTAATTTGGTTGATTCTCTGACATCTTTCGTTTTCAAAATTGAAATTGAATGATGGTGTTATAAATTAAATTTGACAAACGAACCCCGTACACGGTAAATGAATACTGTCTAGTTATTTCAGTCCCCATGATGGGTGTAGTGGGTACACAGTGTGGTGTCAACGTGTTCGCGGAAACGCTAATCTAACTGGTGTTAAGCTCCCTTGGTTAGTCTGGTCCGATGTTTGTTTGTGTAAACATGGCACTTACCATTCCGTGAAGCCTTATCCATTTATCTTATCACTGCTATTTTTGCAGTATGTAATCCCGTTTACTCTGCCTTTGACTCAATCATATCGACCCGTGAAGATCTGGGTTAGAATTGGTCTTCAGCATCCCATGCGACTAACGGGATCGGGTGGTCAGGCGCGTTGACTTGGTTGACACATGTCATCGCATCCCAATTGTGTAGATCGATGCTCATGCTGTTCATCACTGGATTGTCTGGTCCAGACTCGATTATTTACAGATCGCCGCCATGTAGCTTGAATATTGCTTAGTGCGGCGTTAAACAACAACGAAACCAAACTCAATCATATCTGTTCTATATTAAATGAACATATTATGGTATTAATCGTGTGCAGAGGAAATGTTGAGATAATGTATTCAAACTAATAAAATTAAAAAGAAATCAAGAAATGATAGTCCGCAGAATTACCGGACATTTAACAGAAATAGTCATCACCAGAGAACAGCCCGATTCGATTATGCATTGTACGTTAAAGGGGTATCTCCGAGGCACAATGCAGTTAAACTGGTCAGTGTTGACCTCAAACTGCAGGCGGTAGAACAATACAGGTAAACTGGTCAGTAGTTTACCTGTAGACGGGAGTTCCTCTGGTACGTAAGCAGAAGGTCAAGCACCTCCAACACTCTGAAATGTTAAAACTATCTACAACATTTGGTCTACAGTGCCAACAATGCTATGGATATATACTCAACCCAAAAAGTTAAGGACCATCCCACTATTCACTATTATCATATGGATCATAACATGAACTATTAAGTACTTTAATATTGAAGTTTGTTGAGTACATATTATGAGTCAAAGTACCTTGACAGTTTACACAGTGGGTTATAACCAAAACACATGTACTGTGTCAAAATGTAGAATACTCTGATAATCTTCTTATCAAGTCAGTATTTGTAGTTGATACTGTTTGGTTTGGTGTAAATATTTACATTAAAAGACTATCCTTCAGACATCGCTTTGCTGTACGTCGTCTTGTCCACATGTCCAAATCGTGACTATCCCCAGAGGAATATCATCCGACTATCACCTACCCTCATTATTCCTAATTGAAATCCAGCCCTAAAGTATTGTACATCGAGAAAACACACACAGACGTGTGCAATATTCCAACAAAATGTAAAATTCTTTACGAAAAAAGATACCTTGGGTTATTGTTTAAAGCAGTTTTCCATGAGTGAACATTTGAAATTTTGTATTGAGAACAGTCGATAAACTTTAAAATGTGATGCTAGAGTACCCATCAACAACAGGCGTGTTTACTGAGCAACAGCTTTGCATGAATATAATATTTTACATGTTTATTGATTATTCGAATGCAAAATGCAACATGTTGTATACCTTGCTATATTAACAGACCAATAATTACTGGTGACATGACGGTGACAGGTGACGGTCTGTGTCACTGATCTAAGCTTGTGGAGAGGATGAGGGTTGTTCCAAGAATCCTTGAATGTGAAGGATTTAAACAATGTCCGATTGAGCAGTATCGTGTACACTCTCGTATCTAGAGATACTAACTCATTACTGACAGTAACTTCATGTAACATTATGTCTTTTATGAATGTCATTTATAGCTTTGTAAACCACCGAGGATGTATTTTAACATTTGAAGTATACCGACTGTCTGCATTCTCAATAATGAGGTGGCTAATGACAATGTAATGATACCAATGGGGTAAATTGGATTAAGAAACTTTAACTGTACATCAGGACGTGACATGGGTCGCCTGTAAATCCAAGCTGAATATACAAACTAAAGAGTATTTTCAAGAAGAAAGCCTTATGTGATACATATGATGCAGTCGGAATCGCTGTAAACAGCTCTGACTGGTTCTGTTGCTACATGGAGGGGAATGAACATACTGGAACTTGGCGTTCACAATGGCTTCCGTCTCTGTGTTCTTGTCGTATCTGTCCAGCGTCTGGTACTGTGTCACCTGCTTCATCGCCTCCTTGGAGTAGCCTGCAACATCAGCAACACAGTCAGCATAGTCTAGTCTTTCACTTTGTTACATCACAGTTATCTGGAACTATTACGTCAGTGTGGCCTTGGAGATTTCTTTTGGTTATTTCTTGATCTTTGAAGAAGCCGACCCAATTTTTCACAAATATAGAAGATATTATAAACACCCTCATTTACTCTTCTCGGGGCTCTTACACGCTTTCTGGAAAAATGAAACCCCGACACCGGAGGGGAAATAACTCTTTAACATAGGGTTCAAAGGAAAGATTTCAGGTAGCATATGTTCATTAAGGACTTAATTGTCCAGATTCCTGCAGACACAGGATTCAGCCAGCCATGCATTACCTACTGTCTCTATCATTGCTCGTATTGACTATGTAAAACATGACCATGAATCGCACACACCCTTTTCCTTGTCCTTGGGGAAGGGGAAGTCGTGTCGGCCGTCAAGGAGGTTGAGGAGCGGAGGCAGGAGTTGCAGAACGTCTTCAAGGTCAAGGTAGTAGCCGAACTTCACAAGATGGTACAGCAATCTCAGCACCTGTGAGATAAGGGTTCTTTAATGGCACAGGTGTATCATACGGAACTCATGGAGCTATCCTACACATCAGTGGGTGTCAACAAGTGAGAATCACTAGCTTAGCTCCATATATCCTTTGAAATATATATCTATTAAAACTTTGACATTCAAATCCTCTACTGTCGACCTCGTCTGAACGAAATGCAAAAGCAACTATCCGATATTCTGTCAGTACTAACAATAAGCGTGAAGTGAGTGACACTTCCGGTGGAGATTTAGAACCAATGCCTTGGACCATTAACACGAGGCATCCAACAATGAGGGAGTATGGGTTTAGTTTATTGTGAGCATATTCCAGCAATATCACGACATGGGGCTTTCAGAAATGGGTTTCACACGTTGTATCCATCATGGGGAATCGAACACAGGCCTTCGGTATGACGAGCGGGCGATTAAAATTGCATAACAAAAATGTGATATATATCATTCCTCATTATCAATGATATTTTTACAGGTTTACTGTATAGAAAATACATCACTCTTCACGTACCATTCCTTACTCCGGAAATTTGTTAATTCAAATTCGATTCATTTGTACTATAGGGAGGAAGGGAGTATGTTTGTTGGTTGTGCAATAGAGGCATATGATTTGTTTGTATTTATTAATGTGGAGTATGTATTGCATGTAAAACTGATCAACATTAATAATCCCCTTCTATGTTGTGATTATATCTACTTTAAGAGAAAATCCTACTGTAGTATACATATACTTTAAAACCAAACACGGTATTCATCCTGTAGTTCATAGTCCTGAGAGTATGACAATGAGCAGGATAAACAAATATATCTTCATGAAATAATCTCAGACCTCATAATCCGCACTTTGCAAACAGTTTACTTAGCAGTTGGAGGTGTACCTGTTCGACGAGCATGTTGTGTCCGATGTCCGAGGCGATCATACAGGTATTTTGGGACAGAAACTCTGCGATCCAGTCTCTCAACACAGGGAAGATAGCGACCAGCTCCTTCACAACCTAGGACATACATATACACCTTTAGAACAGTGGACGAAACACAGCATACAATGATCGTCAAAACCAGTTTTTGTATTACTTGAGATATTCTTACTTTGCCGATCTCGTTTTAAACAAACATAAGCAACCATATTAGAAAAGCCTTTGGTCTTTCTTGTAAGTAACGTAATGAGTGGCTCTGTTGTGGAAAGTGCAGCGAAACGCTTTGTAGAGTTGTGTATCTTAATCACACCATCGGTTGATGCCAAACAAACGCCCCTATTATGGTGCTTTGTTTTAGTGCAATGCACCGTACAGGTACTAGAGGGCTAAACCCACGTTTTAAACATCTGATCTTCATCATTGTAGGTGACCATCATGCTAACACCTGATATACACGCCCTTGTATGACGTGAATGCCTTTCAGAGCGATGTTAAAGCCTAATTTACTCACTCACTCTAAGTGACCATCATGCTATCAGCTGATAAACACGCCCTTGTATGACGTGAATGCCTTTCAGAGCGATGTTAAACCCTAATTTACTCACTCACTCTAAGTGACCATCATGCTAACACCTGATATACACGCCCTTGTATGACGTGAATGCCTTTCAGAGCGATGTTAAAGCCTAATTTACTCACTCACTCTAAGTGACCACCATGCTATCAGCTGATAAACACGCCCTTGTATGACGTGAATGCCTTTCAGAGCGATGTTAAACCCTAATTTACTCACTCACTCTAAGTGACCGTATAATCACACAATTCCGATTCTATTTACATGAAAGCTGTTCAGTGGAGGACAGCCCTAAGTCATTAGGTCAACATTCATTTAATCTGAAGGGCGCGTGTAATCATCTGCACAGACCAACGTGTTGTATGCTCCAGATCGGACTCTTTCACTAACCGACTTCAGTGCAAACCAGAACGGTTCCAACTGACAGTTAGTCAATGAACAGACATTATCCCATTGGAACAACTGTTGGTCTGGGCGATCAGAGGCACGGCCCTTGGATAATTACGTTGTGTTATATCCCAGTATACACTTGAGCTACATGGTGCGGTCTACCGAGCATTCTGTCATTGATAAGTGTTTGTAACACGAATATGATCGTTAAACATGCACTTCACGATTAGTCTCCGTACGTCCACATAGCACGTTAATTAAAACGGTTTCTTTGATTTATACACAGTTGCAGCGCATTGGCCCTCCACCGATGAAGCCAAGCACACATGACTTATTTCATCAATACAATGCGTTTCACGGCGGTTATTGTGATCAAACACATCATTATCACACTGAGCGGAGATCAAATTACGGGTTGGTACTGTCAATATGGACTATGTTGGCCAAATGTACGAGAAGCATTAGACAGTTCATATCGTGAATAGTCCTAAATTTATACTCAATCTGACATGCGAACACAATCCTCATAATACCACAGCCCAGGCTGTCCCTACTTTGAAGTTGAGGAATTCATCGTCTCTCAATTTTTGTAATCGGTAACTTAAACCTGAGTCAAAAGCGTTTTATTACCTTTCGTTGAGAATAATAGAACTTACGTTTTAATGGAAAACAAACAAAGCCGTCTTTTAATATCGTCGGGAAATATTTGTTTAACACCATAAATACGCTGAAGCATAATAACAGTGATGTATGGGATGGCTTGGGGCCATATCAAGTTAATTCAAAGCATGTATTGACCTCCTTTGTGCTATCTCAGTGCTGGAAGCCGTTATAGTTCACTCAATATAAATGTTAGGATTCGAACTGCCAGATGGACAAATACTCGAATATCTAAGCAGGACTTGGTTTCTTTTTGTAATACATTTTTTATCACATTACTATATTTATTTACGCGTAAATTTGGCCTTACTGGATTTCGATTTTTGCTTTTCAAAATTTAGTCTGATGACGGGAAAGCTATAAATAATATACTGTTTGTGAGATATTTGTGCATATTGCCACCGCACCCAACTGACAACGTTAATTAGGTAACTATATACTAGGACCCGAACAATACTAGTGAAGTAGATCTGCTTCCATGTTTCTTTGACAGCATTGCGTCTATCGTTTCATAATAATATCACAGGCTGAGTATGTTACAATTTCAGATCACATCTGCAGTATTTCAGCCATATCGTGGTTAAAAACTACATCTGAAGTACGAGTGTGAATATATTATTAAATAATATTTTGATGTCTTAACATTAGTTTTACCCTTCTCTTTAACACTTGGTTTCATCGTCGATTTTCAATGATCAATTCATATATTTTCCATGACTATTTTACCAACAGAATAGCTTTCAGTGTACAATCAAGACAGTGTTTTCTGGCCATGGTGTTTTATATAATACCAGTAGTTTTAATGAATCTCTTCTCCGGTATGACCACAGATGGGCATACTGATAGAAACACTTACAAAGTCGCCTTGGCTTTTTTCCTCGTCCTTGGAACCGACGTAGTCGTAGACGAAGCAGATGTTTGGATGATCTAGCACCGAGTAGTTGTTACCAACGTCCACGAACAAACCTGGGATGAAATGTGAGAGCAGATTGTAACACAAATTTCTTCCATGTTCATTTAATGAGTCTTTAATGATTTACAATTTGGGCTTGGGGTGATTGTTGTCTTGGAAGTCCAAAGGCTCCTTGTTAATACTACTGGATCTTCTAAATATGGGTGGGGTGGTCCGGTTTGAAAGAGTGTTGGAATCAGAAATCCGCATACATAATCAGTATTGCTGTCTCAGAAGAATTGAACAGACACATACTTTATCAGTATTGGTTTCTCCGAAGAACTGAACAGACATATACATTATCAGTACTGGCATGTCAGAAGAACTGGAACTGAACAGACACATACTTTATCAGTATTGGTTTCTCAGAAGAACTGGACTGACGCAAACGTTTATGGTTATTGACTATCATAGAAGAACTGGACTGACGCATACTTTATCAGTATTGGTATCTCAGAAGAACTGGACAGACACATACTTTATCAGTATTGGTTTCTCAGAAGACCTGGACAGACACATACTTTATCAGTATTGGTTTCTCAGAAGAACTGGACTGACGCAAACGTTTATGGTTATTGATTACCACAGAAGAACTGGACTGAAAATACGCGATGTTTTATTTGTCAAATAATTTAACATTTGATTCAACCAGGAATATACAGAATCTAACCTGGGTGTTTGGCGTCTAGAACCAAAGCTTTAATTGCTACGTCACGGCATAGTAATCGCCATTGAATCAACACTTAATTTACAACGCGCTTATATACTACCGACGCATATTTTACCAAATTCAAATTACAAACCTATCAACACGTAGGAATGCGATTTTCGTCTGTAAAGAATGGAGCCATAAAAACAAAACCCAATCAAACGATGAATCGCCTCTCTCTATTAAAGATAATGACTTTGTGCCTTAAAAGAATGAGTGCAAAAATATAATGTGAAAAATTATTGATTTGATATAAAGTTACATCATAATATTTCATGAAATCAAATTTTTCGTACAGAATTATGTCTGCATGCCTAGGAACTAGTCTCAAACTTGGGGCAATAATTAATCACCTTCTGCCCAACATCATAGAATTTGAAAACTAATTCAATCACTCATATCAGCAGGACCTACCTACACGATGGGGAAATTAATCGACTGGAAATTTGATTTTCTGATGGACATGTAAATTTGTTATTGACAGATGCAAGATAGATTTCATGGGGGGAACTGTTTGATTTACTCTGGTTGATTTCACCAGATGAAACTGACGGGCTTTTTATGTGACAAGAGCGAGTGATCAGCAATCTTGTTAATTACACCAAAGTGGCAGCGGGCATAGATAGGCGAAATAACAAAACACTGCACCAGCATCTTGGATAAAAATCAATTTTACAATAGCCCGTAGCGGGAAATATGAGATAGTATCACGGAATACAGCCATTGTCTAATGGGATTAGAGCGCGAGTCGGAGTACCAGGCCTGTAAGGGGCCTCACATGTGGTAATAGTGGTCAGAACGGGTTTCCATACATTACTGATCCAGGCAAAGTGTTAATTTGTTCTAAGAAACCTTGATAAGCGGAGATATGCAAGATACGTGTCTCAAGTCTTCTTGCAAAGCTGTTATGTTCTTAATGTCGATGACAGATAGTGGATGGGAGGGAAGGGATGGAGACTCAAGCAGACATACATGTTCAGTTCAACATGTTACAGCTATTTACACACAAAAACAAATGAATAATAATAGGATCACTCGAATCACTATGTTTAATCTGTAAAACATAATACTACTAATTTTGATAATAATACCGTCAGATCACATCAAAACGATCATAACATTAAGCTCTCTATCTTTTGGTAATCTCAACATCATTTACAGTACTTTGGGATTTCCTTAAGCTCGAAACATAAAAATTACGAATGGTTACTAGTATTTTGTTTTAAATACGGTTAAAGATACCCGGATATGTCATCGCTATGGTATTACTGTTGTTCTTTTGTAACTAAATTACAAGTATGGACCTGATAAAACGTGTTGAATTTGTAGCAACGCATGGGCACATTTACATCATTGAGACATACTTATATAACAATCGACATTGCAACAAAAGAACACCAAATGTTACTCGCAGATCGAAAACTCTGTCTGTGAAACCTTTTGGCTGTCTGTTTCCAGCACACGCGAACACATCCACAGAAGTTCCCATCAACAACAAACAAATACGCCCCGACTGATGATCGGACAGAAAGCAGGTACCCTTGTAATTATCTGGGCACGAAACGAGAGGGCAGATGGCCGTATAGGGCTGGAGCAGGACTATTGACATCATCATAAAGAACAGAGTAGGCCCACAGTCACTCAAGAAAACGCCATCATATCTGGCAGCGTATATCCATCCAGGTCGAATTAATCATCATGAAATATGCGCTGATAGACTATAACGTTATGTGGAGGATGATGAGAAGGACATTTTGTCATGGGGAAGATAATGTTCGTGGCCGACTACCTTTCGTTGATGTACATTAATGTTTCTTATCTGTTCACAGTTGCCATAGTTTTTATAACACTAATCCTCATTGTTATCTCGGCTAATTTTGTGAATGCCTTTAGAAAAAGGTACGTATTTCACCGTGTGGGTGTTTTGGCAATATGGGATTGAATTAAGATTACGATGCTGAATGGTAAACTTGGCTACATCTGGCTCTTATCTTCATCTTATCCTTCCACATTTGTGGAAAGGCTTCATTGTGATAATGTTTTCATTTCTTCTCTGTAACCTGTTTTGTCGGAGAAGTGATACACAGAAGTAAACACCACCCACACAGAAATCCATCCTCCAGTGCCAGTTAAAAAATGTCCACCTATAAGTTCCACATCCAACAGCAAAGCTGTTCTTATTGCAAAAGACGTAACGCAGATATGCGCTTCAGGAATTCAGTGAAACCTCATCACTTTGACTTAACGTCGGCTCTCGGGAACTGTGGCATTAGATGTACAAATATACACCAGAGTCCACTTGCACAAAGCGATGTTAGCGCTACAACGATCCTAAGATTATGTTGGAGAATGGGAGTTACAATCAGTTAATTTTGATCATTGATGACTTATATATAACTTACTGTTATTAAATACAGTCACAATTTTTTTCAAATTCAATTTTTAATAAGGTAAAGCTCAAGTTTTGTGTTTGGGGTTTCATGGAACTACTGAGCAGGGCTTAGATTTTCGAAGCTCTCTTAGCGCTAAGACAGTCGTAAGTGCCATACATTTAACATTAAGTTACGACTATCTTAGCGCTAAGAGAGCTTCGAAAATCTAGGCTCTGGCCCCGTTTCACAAATCTCACTGTCGTAAGTCTATGATGCAGTATATGACAGTTGTAGCACTGGGATAGCTTTGTGTCACAGGGCCTATAATTTACCACCAGTATCCTTGAAGACAGATGATTGTGCATTTCCTATCAAGTACGGATACAATTTCATCTTCCCTTGACAATTGGAAGTCTGTGTTTTGTAGTCCGGTCATTGCTTATTCAAAATAGAGTACTGTCTTAATAAACATTCTCACTTATTTGTTTCAGGTGTCGCCCAAAACACATTCCCACCCCGTGTCAAGAGTACGACACGTGATCAATCTCTGTTTCCTTGGATTTGTATCACGTGCACCTAAACATAACTAAACATGCTCGTAGAATCTCCACTAAGAAATAATACACAGAATGCACGAGAGCCATTGTAAAGTAACACCTGCAGCAAGATGTTCTCACTTGGCAAGATAACACGTTTCATTGCTTGTATGTCTTCTCAGAGAAAAGAGAAAAAGAGGTTTGCTGTTTTTTTGACGACAGTAACTATAGTTTCTGAGAGACGAGAATGTTTCTTCACCCAAGAGGAAAGACATAATGAAACGTAAACTATATGTGCGATTTTTAAAATGTCGATTTTCTTTCTGCTCATTGCTTAGGTAACAGGTGCGATGCCAGATCGCTGACGTGTGGTTGCATAGTTGCAGTATTGACGTCCACACGCACGTGTTTATTTCAACACATTTCTTAAGGATTGGCACAAAGTAAAATAAGTAATAGGTATATGGCTAGACGGTGCACAGCCGCGAAACAGAAAAAACAGACGATGACGTTATGGTGGAGCCAGAAGAAGACACACAAACGGGTGTAGTGTTCCCAGCATGCTGGAGGTGGATGGTTCATATATATGATGTTCTGAGTGCAAGCCTGTGCTTTTGTTGGTACAGTGGGGAACACTATCTCAGGTAAATAGGTTTATGTCAACCGCATGTCAAACATATCAGAACGTCTTGCCATTTGAAACATGATCCTGTATACTGCCACTTTCGATAATATTCAAAGCATAGACCAAGACGGAGGTATGAAGTGCTTCATACTATATATTCCAATGTGGTTTCGAACACTTGAGGTTGGTATGAGACAACGATTTAGCCACTGATTTCAAATCGTTTAGTAAAACAAATATTTTAAGGCTACGTGATGTTTAGGCCAAAAGATGACATCCACAAGGTGGACTGAGTAAGGTCAAACATTTGAGAAACCATGTGAACAAAAAGCTGATATGAACCAAACTTCTGAAGACATGTTCTTCAAATTCAGCCGCGTTTTGCATGTGTTGAACAGAGGTTAAAATACACATTTGTTATTTGTGAGGTGACAGGTCTTTACTAAAGAGTCAACATGCATGTGATGTGCAGGCATACAACTGTTATCTTACTGGTGGTGAGGTCGCAGTATTTGGCTCTGATGGCGTCAGGTAGGATGTCCGAGCCAATGGACAGGAAGGTTTCCTCCCAGGTGAGATAGCGTAGCTCCTTTGTGATGATGTTGATGGCGAAGTCGTTCCTGCCCTGTCAACAGAAAACACGAGACGTAGTCCAACACAAAGGTGGAACTAAATAGCTGGTACCAGTTTATACCCTGTGAATGTTGGGTAACCATCCCGGAATACAAAGGTAAATGACGACAAACCAATGACGGACAGCAAGAAAACCTTTATGTCCATTTAGTTTTTACGCCTTGCATGTTCGAGATGAAATGAGTGAGAGACACAAACATGCCAATCATGACACATCAAATGTCAGCGTGACCAACTTGAGTTTAGGGGAAAAGAAATTTGAATGATATTTCAAGTAATCCCATGGTCTCTGGTTATCAGATCAGTTTGTTCAGTATTATTAATGAACATAAAACACTGTGTCTCAGCATATTGCATTTAGGAACGGGAATGTTGATACAAAATACATCTGAATCTTTCGAACACATTCACCGTAATCGTCACTGAAACGTTTGGTAGTTATTGTGTATCCTTTTTATCGATTCTGTCAAACATAAGGTCTTTGAAAATAAATGAAGAGGTCTATTAAAAGGTTCTATTAAACAGTTCTATCAAAAATTAGTTCTGTTGATCGACACAGCGAAATCGAAAATCAGTCGGCCCCAAGAGCCCATTTACAAAATGGTATTCACAACAAATAATTGTTAACTCAAGATTATATACTGAAACATAATTTCAGCGTTGGAGTCCTGGGTACAGCTATAGTGGAACTAGGAATATCATTTGGAACAATTAACACCAACAGGGCATAAACCAATCAGTGGTCGCATATATTTCATTGCGACAAACCGATTTCCATAAAAAGACATTTTTTTGCATCACAAAAAAGCGAAAAGATCCTTTCAATAAAATGATTTTTTTTTGCATTACAAAAAACCCACCAGGGGCTACCACTACACACTTCATTGGAGACGTCCCAATTTATGGATAATGCGGTACCCCTTGAGATTATGACTTTGAGTGTCATTATTCATATACGATGACCTGCATTACCTAAACACCCACTCCTATACAATAAGACAAATAAATGAGGTGACCGAGATATTTACTGGAACACTATTTCCATATCATGAAATTAGAACACGAAGTACTATCTCTCTTCCAACACAACCCACCGAATTGAATGTTTGACGACAACAAACCAGTGTCTTCATGGCATATTTGAACAAGAACTTAGTCAAATATTGTTTGGGGTATAACCCCATAGGCAACAAATGTCAATTTCAATTTTTCAGTAGTATCTTGAGGCGTATTTATTTACTCTCTGATAATAGCTTCTGTCTATGCATAACGCGCTAGTGGGACAATGTTATTATACAATTATACGACCAGGGAGAACAGATCTGCAACACCGTATTCACGAGAATTGTTCATTTCATTGTAGTGCGTGCTTTTGAATATTCGAGCTGATGGGATATTGATAAACCTCGCATATACACACACTATCTAGCCGTTCAGCAGAAGGCTTGAGACCAGGGGAATATGAAGGATCAATCTTTCTTTATCAATGTGTCGGTGTTAAAGATAATAACCGTTTTGTTGGAATATGTGTAAGGCAATCTTTGGCGGGAAGTGTTCTAACCAATGCCAAATATTGACGTAGAGTCGGAATGAAGCTGTGTCAGTTTACAGAATAGTTTATTGTGAATGGACGTTGCACCAAGGTGGCACTACGTGTGGTTATGGTTTAAGGAATATAAACACTTGGTATGTCGAAATATGATTGGAATGAGTGAGTGAGTAGGTTATTGTTTTTAATGTACCGATATAAGTCATATCAAGTTTGTAAACGGCCAAACCAAATGTACAAACGTCACTGCTTATTACAGTGTACTTCCTTGGCACGTCATGGGCACGTCACTTTTTGCCAGAAATTCATTGTATCAGGCATGTAAAATCACGTATGGTATCTGTGTTGAACAGATCAGCATTGAATATAATCATTTCTTGTTATTTCAACGTTTACCAGTATCAGAAATGTTTGCTTTCTTTTGCTCGGCAGGTTACAAGAGGGCGGGAGAAACGGAATGAACTGTACATACGGCGTCTTCTCACGCCAGTAGAGTCTCTCTGTCAGTTTATACTTATATGCAGCATTATCCCTTATGTTCCGTAGTTTGTATTGATAAAATACATTGTGAACACACCCCTTCCCACAGCACACATGGACCCACATATATACCTATGTTGTTATACTTATATGCAGCATTATCCCTTATGTTCCGTAGTTTGTATTGATATAATACATTGTGAACACACCCCTTCCCACAGAACACATGGACCCACATATAGACCTATGTTGTTATACTTACATAGCAGAGCGCCTTGTACAGATCCAACTGGTGGATGAGGAAGTCGTGAGTGTCCTTGTCATACACAGCAGACTCTTCCTGGAGACAGAACAGAGCATTGGGTGAGTGAGTTGGGTTTATACTTTGTTGACACCTACCATCATGGACATGGTGCTGACAGACAGAATCATAACACGTCGAATATGGGATTCGAACCTACGATAAAAATGAATAAGAGGGGCAACTCTGCACAGCAAACAACGACAAATAGCGTCTGGACAGGCATCACACTTCATGCTACGTAAGTGGGTTTGTGATATATATCAGTATAATGTCGTATACATTAAGCTATATGATTGTGATCCATCGGGACTATGTTGGAAACATAAGCTATAAGATTGTGATCCATCGGGACTATGTTGGAAACATAAGCTATACGATTGTGATATATCGGGACTGTGTCGTATACATTTAGCTATATGATTGTGATAAATCGGGACTATGTTGGAAACATAAGCTATAAGATTGTGATCCATCGGGACTGTGTTGGAAACATAAGCTATACGATTGTGATATATCGGGACTGTGTCGTATACATTTAGCTATATGATTGTGATCCATCGGGACTATGTTGGAAACATAAGCTATAAGATTGTGATCCATCGGGACTGTGTTGGAAACATTTAGCTATATGATTGTGATCCATCGGGACTATGTTGGAAACATAAGCTATAAGATTGTGATATATCGGGACTATGTTGGAAACATAAGCTATAAGATTGTGATATATCGGGACTATGTTGGAAACATAAAGCTATAAGATTGTGATAAATCGGGACTATGTTGGAAACATAAGCTATAAGATTGTGATCCATCGGGACTATGTTGGAAACATAAGCTATAAGATTGTGATCCATCGGGACTATGTTGGAAACATAAACTATAAGATTGTGATCCATCGGGACTATGTTGGAAACATAAGCTATATGATTGTGATATATCAGTACAATGTTGGAAATGTTACGTGTAAGATAACTGTATATCAAGGAAATGTTAAGTTGAAAACAGATATTCCTGAACAACACCCACACACATACACAATATAACCCAAGAAAGCAGTGTAACCATCTTGACGTTACTGAAGGATAGCACAAAACGAACGCCATTAACAGTGTAAATCAGTGTAAAGGACGGGCCTGCGACAGCTCGGACTGACACCGGGGTCGACGTGATCCTCCACGGATGCAGCGAGATGGCCACAAACTGATGAATCTGTGGGGCGTTACGCCCAACAATGTTATATCACAATCCTGGTCTATTGACAGACTGGGCTGTGCCAGATTGAAGCTTCGCGAATTATTTTCTCCTTTGCTGCTGGCTATAACGACCCGGTTATGAATAATGGTTTCACAATGTCAAATTAACGATTACTAGGCGAATGGAATAAAATAAGGTATGCGTTCATTAACATTTAAAAAAATATTATTGTTTGGCGTAAATGAAAAGGGATTCTATCGTGAAACTGATTAAACAGTTTACAATAAGCAGCAACGTGAGGTGCGTCTGACCTCTTGTCCTACTTCCATATTCCAACTTCAACCATATCCTCTGAACAACGCTGTCGTGCGTAACATGTTTTTTTATATCTTGAATCGATTCTTCAATATTGTGTGTTCCTCATTTGGCAAAGAAGCATTTTCCGAATATAAGACCAAACAACAGCCAGTGGGAACATGAACGTTGAGCGAAGCACAGCTGGGATTAAACCTTCACTGACTGTTAAAGAAAGTGAGCTAGATGATACTAACTAACGCACACTAGGTAACACGTCCTGGCAACACCTGTTTTATGAAAAACTGTTTCAACTTACATCAACAAACTCATGAAGCGCCACCCACGTCTTTCCGGCAGTTGTTGAAATGTACAGGATGTTGGGTTGACGGTTGATGTCCTGGCCCCTGGCGGTCAGGTAGGCTCCGTGCTGGACAATGACCACATGAGTATATTCATCAAGTAGAAAATACTAAAAACATTTCGAGTTGATTAACGCTCCAGAGAAAAAAAGTGTCGAAACTGAACTAAAAGGTCGATAAAGACTTATGGTCGATAAAGACTCCCTGGTTGTGTGAAGTTACATTGTGTTCAAAAACGTCGTGGAATATTTGGAAATGTTTCAAATTCTTTCTTTCTTTTGTCTTTTCAAGAAGTGCAAATACCATTGCTTTAACGTGACTCAGGGTACAACGTCATAACGATTGACTTGAAAAAGAGTCACAGTTGACCATAGTGAGTGAGTTTAGTTTTACGCCGCTTTTAGCAATATTCGAGCAATATCACGGCGGGGCACACCAGAAATGGGCTTCATGACCAGTCTAGCGTTATTATCAGGATCTACTGTGCAGATTTGGTACCTGTTTCTTCTGCAGCCATCTCTCCACGATGTATGATTGGTTGTTGGGAATGGCTACGAAGTCGCACACACACAGCACGTGCAGCAGATCAAGGAACCGGTGATTCTGTAATTCATGATATATACCCATGGGAAATAATAAAGGGACAATATTTAAACATATTGTAAAAAAACATACTTCATGTCAAGAAAGTATTAAATGTGTCTGATGTTTTCATCACTTTTAGTTTATTACGGAATTACGTACCAAACACGTCTCCTTTATCCTTTTTCTGTTCATTATCATGTTAACACTTTCAGCATATAAAATGTGTATCATTTATATTTTGTTATGACTGTTTTGTGAACATTGCTTTACCTGTGTGTTTTCAAGTAACCCAACAAACTCGTCGATCTGCGAATGCGTGATCCTGTCAACGATCTTCCTCTTGTCTCTGATCAGCTCCACAATCATCTGAGCCACATTCAGGCCGATCCCACCCTGGGAGGAAACGTGGACCAGATGTACTATACATTTATCTAACAATGTACTATATAACGCGGGGGAAACTGACACCTCGGTAGGTTATATCTAAAGTATAAAGTAGATACAAAACGATGTCTAGAGGAATGTGTCCCTCCTGTGGAGGATCTTCAGTAAGTAAGAGCTGTTACTCCATCGATAACATCAAGAACGTTGACTGAATTACAATGTTGTCATGAGGACTTTTTATGTCATTGACATATTCTGTCAGGAATGTCTTGTACCAAGAAATGCGCCAAAAGAGAAGAAGGACCTGTTTCTTTCCGAATCGGTTTAGTCAGTGCATGGTGATGTCATAGAATGCACGAACTGTAAACAGGGGGAACAGCACTGGAATAAACTGTTGCTGTCCCAGCTGGCGGTTATCCAAAGTGACGACTACATAAACAGATATTAGTTGTCATGTTGGCAATGCCTGAAATAACCTACCCAACCATCACTACATTACTTTTGATTGAAGAACTTGCTATATGTGACACCAAGTAATGTCACATGTCAGGCAATATGTTAACTGAGGAAGAAGTCTGCAAAACAAACTATCAACTATTAACATCCGACTGGATTATAAAACCTGAAGAAGGTCCATTCCACATTCCAAAGTTCCAAAAACAAATCCGTACACAGAGGTCTATTACTATTTCCATCAATGTATCACCAAAGCCCTGTCTCAAAGATTAATCATTATCCTTGTTACAAGGAGGATAAAGACTTTATATTCACAGAAAGTTCCAGAAAAGAACCAGTTCAATTCTGTCGCAAAATGTGATAGTTCAACTTTGAATTGTACAATTGTTTTCAAGTAAGAGTTTTCAGTGAATATGGGCAGTCTTTTAGTGGCTTTATTAAGTGGAATGAATAGCCATCAATAGGAATTCTTTACTGTAACGGGATGTTGTCAAGACACAACATTTACTGAATAATAAGAAGTTCCCAAAGATGTTTTTACTACCATTGATCGCTGTCATCAGAATAGTTTCTTTAAAACATAAACATGTCCTGAAATACCATGGTCTCCAGAAAGGCGTATTACTAAAACCATTGCTAAAGCAAAACATGTTTCAGAGATGTATAATTATTATCAACGAAAGTCACATTTGTGATGTTTCCTACCTTCTGTGTGAACTGTGTCTGGAAGAAGTCGATGTATTTGGCGAAGTAGAGGGCGTTCTTCCTGCTCTTGCCTATCATGTAGGTGTACAGTATTTCATAGGCCTCCTTGAAGATCTGGATGAGGTTGGACTCGTCATGCACACCATCTAGCGGACACTGGAGGGTTCGAACCAGCAGGTCGATCACCTGTTGAAAAAGGTAAGGTAATTGTTATGCAAACACACTTTACACGTATAACGACTTCAAACACAATAACCTGATAATTTAATAATGTTATACTGCTGATTCAGTATAACTAACTATGTTATTTACCTGGGTGCCGTTGTACAAAGCGATCTTAGTGCTAAGGTGACCGTAACTCCCATACCTTAACATAGACTTAAGGTAGTCTCAGAACTAAGGTTGTTTTGTACAATGGAACCCTGAGGTTATTAGGTGTTAAACGTGTACATATCAGTATCAGCTACAAGACTGCAAGTGACCCTTCCAGAACAATGTTCAAAGGTGAGTGAAGTTTGTCTGACACCACTCGGAAGCAGCCTGTCAGTTATAGTGTGTTATGTAATGCGTGAGGAAAACCCCATGGTGGCACAATTGACGAACACAGGTTTCTGTTCTGGAAGACATAAAATGGTTAGATTTTAGGATTCAAACAATTCGTTTGAAAGTCGTTGATCAAGAATATTACAACAGACATTAAAACGTGAATACAAGTAACTGACCCAATATAATCATACATGTAACATACACAACATACTGATAAATAGTACTGACTGATACAAATACTGTAGAATATCAGATAGAATCTAAGATTGGTTTCTGTTTCGGGAACCATTGAACTATGCTGTGCACACACATACGTATTTTTCAAGGGAACACTGTATATATGTAAATATACTTACTCTGAGATTTCTCATGAGTTTCTGTCTTCCTTTACTCGTCACCCCTTTCACATACATGAACTTCCTTAGTTCCTCCATGGCCTGAAATATACACATTGTAATGACAGGTACAGGTATTGTAACATTGTAATAGTTGTAATAGTCCTGGGTAGAAAAAACATCTTGTCCCAAATGTGATAATCTCTACAACACAGAAAAAGGAGGCCCAAGCAAATAAAAGTTGGATGCCCCTTTTATTTATTCACTCCGGAATATTATGAGATCATGGCCCTGCTTTCTTTATTCCACTGCAAATTAAGTTAATTTCAAAGCAGTTGAACGTAAACCATTCCTTAAAGTTTGTGTTCATTAAGTGCAATTAACTTTGCTGAATGACATACTGGTGAAGTAAAACGATGCTGTTGTTATCACATAGGGTGTGATGGTGCCAATTCTGAGGTAGTGGCGAGCTGAGATGATAAACAGCGTCATCGATAAAAAATATGAAGATTCATTGATCTGTGCCTGTTACTGCGGTTGAGAAATAACATATTTCTCCTGACCGTAGGACAACATGGCCGCAGTATGTGTTGACAGCAAATGCAATTTATGTCAGTTGAGGTGAGAGGACAACTACTTACTGTAAGGACTGTGTGGGTCTTCTTGGAGTTCAACAGGTGACCCTCTTCTCTCTGAAACACGGGGGAGATACAGCTCAGTATCATGCTTAGAGTGACACGTTATATGTTCATAAACACACACACACACACACACACACACACACACACACAAACAAATGTGTTAATCATCCTGTATATATACATTCACCAACATTCATCAAACAATGCACTTATTTGACAACACCCCCCCACCCCCCACCCCAAAACTAAAAAGCACACATGCACACACCTATAGGATTACATGAGGCTGTTGCGGGATTCTGTTCGTCATGTAGAACTGGACTGCTAATGACAAATACGACACAAAACGTTCCGTTCTGTTAATATTGCTTATATTTGCTTTCTGCATTGAGAAATTAAAAACTTTAAGAACTGCAATAACCAGTTTCCATCGTCTCCATCATTCGTGACAGGATAGGTCTTTTTTACGTGTGCTGAGGTTACCATAACGCAAGGTAAATACAATACCATTGTCTCAGGCGTCTACGATCATTTTATGCATGGCCAATTGAAAAACAACAAAGACAGTATATTTTGTACGTGACTGTCTTAAAAACAACTTTTCTCGGGAATGGTTTTTAGTTTCCTTTGATGCCAAACATGGAATGACAAATACAACATTTATACTCATAACAGTATGGGCATGTTGAATAATGTTGTCATATTGAATAATGTTGTCATACAGTATGTCGGATATGCAATAGTTTCAACCTCTAAACATACCGTTCTACCGGATACCATTTCAACAACGTGGAATCGAGAACTGGATTGCCCACTATGACTGAGTGTTTGACCTCTCATTTGACCTCACGTACATCATCACTAGCATGTAACATTAAGGCTAGATCTAATCTGTTATTACTCCGACATTCTGAAATGCCATGCAGATTTTTCAGGATAGCAATGGCATTAGAATCGGTGTCTTATTTGCCCTTTCTTTGTGAAAAAGTCGCGTCCACATTTCGTGAGCAATTCGGACTAAGTTGTCCGGAAACGCGAGGCGGTATCAACTGATCACCGACTGTCGTGAAATAGAATGAAATCGATCATTTCCGTTAATACTGGCCGTGATATTAACAAACACAGTCATGATTTGCAAATATTTATTGCCTTGGGCGCAATGTCAGGTAATCAATATACGGATGCATAATTAAATGATGAAATCAGAAACAATTTCCATTAATTATACAAGAAACAGACTAAAGTACAAACTGTTTGGGGCGTTTGCAAGAAAGCATCACTGATAATCTCTTGTGTTCCTTCTTGAAAAACTCTTAAAAACGTATGTAGCAATTTGATAGTCATCCGTCGTACATTACTGATCTGGTGGAAAGTATCTTCTTTGAAGAGAAACAGAGAAAGTGGATGATTCATTTCCACTACAAAGAACATTTCCTCGTCAGTGGAACGACATTGATGTATTTCCCCGTTCAGGTCAGCAGCTCAGTCTGTTCTACATCCATAGATAAGTGGGATATAAGACAGTGCTGCATACGGTTGAAGGTTTTTATGCAGTGAGACTGATCGTTCAAACTCCGAAGGAACAGTTTACAGGGCTGATCAAGTTATGGTCTGATAAAATTATATCGGAATGTATTTACGCGGAGGAACACTGCAACTTGTGAGATAAAACTGAAATGACGTGGTTACATTCTGTCTGCTTTATCATTACACGTAAGGTGCACATATACATCTGCAGCAATGGGTGTTTGTACTGAACGTTGAAATGCGCCCATTTCTGGTGTCCCCCGCCGTGATGTTGCTGGAATATTGCTAAAAGCGGCGTAAAACCAAACTCAGCCAGTGAAATGCCCGATGCAAACAACACTGGAATAATGATTTAATTACTTCAACGCTATGAAGTAAAAAATGTTCGAAGTATAATATTCGGTTGTAAAACAGGTAAGACCACAAAAAGCGACGTACATTCGGAAAAATGTGCTTGTACAACAGAGCAAGTATGCATATGTGGTTGTATGCACGGACCGATGTTCTGTAACCTGCTGTAAAGATAATACTTTACACCCCTGTAGCAATCAACTCAATACCAGCGGTGACCCCAATTCTATATCAACACGTACTGCCCCATACATCTTGAATAACCACTCGTTCTATACATTGAGAGTAACATCACTCTTGTATACACCCGGCGTTAGACCAACGATCGATATATACCCGTGGTAAGCAGTAGGACCACTGGTCCACACAGCCGTAGTACAATGAAAGTTTTGAACACCCTGAGTAACACCAATGTGTTCCCGTAGTAGGACCAGTGTTCTAGTCTTAGATAAAAACCGATGTTCTGTATTTCAAATACTACACTATTCTAATAAGGAAACTCTAGTACAAATACCGCTTTGTGTGCAGAAACTCACGTCTTTAATGAGACTGTGGAGGAACGGCACCATGCCGCCGACGTAGTTGAAGTCGTCCACGTACTGTTGCTCCACCCACTGTATGGTGAAGGCGTCGTCGTACATGCTCTCCCCACTGGCGGCAACCTGCAGGACACGATACACATAGGGTCAAGATGGGATGGGAACACTAAGAAAATAGTTTTTCAAAATCCTTAAATGCGAAAGATTGAACCAAAATAAACATTGTTTCCAATGGTTTCCAGGTTTCAAATGCATTTGTCACAAAGCAAAGGCAAAGGACAAGACATCTCGGGATTTGGTCATATACTCATGCCAATAATGGTTGTCACCCCCCCTCTCCCCCACACACCCCCTCTCCAATTAAAAAAATTGAAGTGGGTGACAACCATTATTGGCATGAGTATATTTCATGAATTGTATAGACTAAGTGGATAATAGTTCATTCTGGAAACATAACCGCCTCTAAGGGCCATCCCAACAACCCTGTCATTAGGTCAAGTGCCATCATGGCATTATACCTGCCATGTGCCTTTGCACACTCTTTTCTGAAAGTGGTTATGTGCCATGGGTCCATGTTATGTTACACCAGTTGCCTTACTGTCAAGTCTTGTTGTTCGTCAAGGTAAATTTCTGCCATGTTATCAACTATTGATTTCAAGTTTTCCTATCTCCTAGTTGATTTGTGTACAGGTAAACACGTTGTTGTAGGGCCTATATTATCTTACAAAGGCCCTCAAAATGGTATAGGTGAATACATTGCAATCCTTTCTATTGCTGGTGAATACATTGCAATCTTTTCTGTTGCTGGTGAATTCATTGCAATCCTTACTATTGCTGGTGGACATACAGATATTATATCTAACTGCTGACCTGTCGGACTTGAGCCGTGTCCCAGCGGAGCCCCCGCATGCTCTGATCCTGCGATTCGTCCACCTGGCGGAACTGCTTCCTGATGTAGTCTTCATCTGGAACATCACGACAGTAAACACTTCATTCTTCAGTCACAACTTAATTCGTTTTCTGTGACATGGAAAGGGGAGTAAACTTGACTGCAACGGGAAATTGATCAGACCGAAAAGAATGGTTTTATGCTTTAATTGTGACGCTAGTTTTCCAAACGGGGTAAGACTAACCCAATACTGAAGGCAGTACTACCGTGAGGTAAGGATAATAAGGTCACGATGCAGAAATCTTTGGAACATGACAGATCGGGAAGTCAAATGCATAATCAATCTACGCAGCAATAAATCTAAAAAACAAATATCTTAGTGCACATCCTGCAACAGTGACGCCTGTATAATATTTTGAAGACGTCCAAATTAATTTACTCGAGACAAAGTACATAGTCTGATAATGTTAGAAAACAAACAAAGAACTGCATGATTAATTGGGTGAAGATAAGCATACGATTCCTGGAGATGACGCGCTGAAATTGATTGTGCATGATAGCGTTCTGAAAGGACGCCCCAAATACAAATAGACAGACAGTTAAAGTTGAGAAACACATGACGGATCAGTTTGATCAATGACAAGTCGTGTACATATGTACAGTCTTCCCGTGACAGTTAAGTCTCTCCTTCAAAAACAGCCCATTACTCAGGTAGTTAATGTTTTGATAAAACACGTACACATTAAACGCAAAACAAACATTTCAACAAATGAAACAAAACGGTTATATTTTTTAAAAAGGTAACATTTACCATTAAATCAACCGCACGAAACAGCCTATGTTGAACAACTGTCAGACAATAATACAACCCGATCGTTATAGACGTGTCTGTGACTTCTTAACTGGCTCTTTTAAACAGAGTACCTAAGGAACTTTGTTAATTGAGACTAACACGTGTATTGGCTGGACCAATCAGCGTTAAGTACCGACCTTTGAGCGCGTGCAGCCAGAAGCCCGTGAGCACGTGCTCAATACGAGCATAACTCTCGAAATGGATCTCATCCCTCTCCTGAAACAGTGGGAATGACATGGTAATTGGTTACAATTGACTACCGTTCACTTTCTTGCCATATTCTTAATGGGCATAAATATTGGTAATTTACCATTTTGTTGAATACAGTCCAGTTTGGGGCATGTATGTTGGACGTAATAGCATCAATTCAAAGGAAAATGAGGGTAGGATGGAAACGCTTCCAGTCTGCAACAATTGTCGGAAATGAAAACTATTCGTGTGGAAAAAATCGATTTCTATAAACGATCAGATTTCTTCAGACATTTCCGACTTTTTTCTAAGGACAATGAATATGATAACTGTGTATTGTGTAGAGTTTTGTCAATAGAAAAATATACTGGTAGCGTATGAAGGTTTCCCTAATTGACTCTACGGCCAATGTAACACCGCTGCTAGCAAATGACATTCGGACAAGGATTGTGATAAATACATCTTCCTCGAACAAAAACGTAATCATTGTTTCTGATAAATGATTACTGGGGTATATAAATAAACTAGCATGTTTTGAAATGATTTACACTAAGTCAATATGCAGCTCGTAACGATGATTATGGACCTGTATTGGGACATAGGCTTCTAGGCTATTGACACCATAAATCCCAAGAAAAATTGGCTTCTGTTGCACCCACGTTATTAAGGGTGAGTGAGTTGGGTTTGATTCCATACATGTTTATACACTGATATACAGCACTACAACATGCCAATACATGTACACTGCTTCCTTGGTCCTGTGGTTCGAGTGAACGTTGGTGGTTTGCATGATTCGGAAAGACACTAACAGATGGTACTTTCAGAAAGTGGTCGAATGTAACATATATTTGGGACCAGACTTACTCAGTAAAATACATATTCCAGAAAGTTTAGTGTTAGATAGGATAGGATTCAACCCACAGGCAAAAAAACTCCCCAGCACACAAAGTCAGCGATCTAACCCACTCAGCCACCACAGCCTCCGCAAAAAGTCTGACAACGGGTTGCCTACACCACGTAATTTTGTGTAAAATATAAATTGGCACAGCTCCCATCTCCGAAAGTTGTGAATAAACAATTTCATTTAGAAAATGACCAAATGTATCATTTGTTATATTTGGGAATACATTTTCTTAAATAATTGTAATTCCAAACATAACGTATGCTTCATTTGACCAATTTCTATTGCGCCCGACATTTGTCGGGAGGACCACTAGAACAACACACATAGATACACGCAACGTCACTGTACATCACTGAACGTCACTGTACGTCCCTGTACGTCAATGTACGTCACTGTACAAGAACAAGAACAGTGAAAGCGACGATACCCAATTGTATTTCACCACATCGTAATCTAGTTGTTTGTTTGTTGTTTAACGCCGCACCCAGCAATATCCTAGCTATGTGGCGGCGGTCTGTAAATAATCGAGTCTGGACCAGACAATCCAGTGATCAACATCATGAGCATCGATCTACGCAACTGGAATATCATGACCTGTGGAAACCAAACCAGCTTGTCTTACCACCTGATCCCACGTAAGCTTGTGTTATCGTTAGTGGTGAACTGGTGCCGACAAACCAGTCAGGTCGGATCCCGGATTCGAAACACATGTACGCTAAGGGTCACGAATAAGTGCTACTAATAAAAAAGGACATCTTACACTGAGGACGGAGTGTAGCCTGAACACTGTACGAGGATCTTCGTTGTCCTCTATGAGGGAGATCTCACGGTTGCCGTCGATGCAGAGGTAGCGTCGTGTCGTCATGTGCCGCAGTCGTATCTGCTGTTCCCACCGTATCACTTCACCTACAAGACAAGCGTTATGTCAGAGGGCGAATGCGCACTCACACAATGATGAAGTGATATGAATCATTACTACCATTACTCACAAAACACTGTCAACACAACAACATTGTTTCCGAAGTAAAGTGACTTGAACTGGACAATAGAATTCAAAGACTCATTCCATAATATAACTTACAATTTAGTGAAAAACATATTTTTTTCATTTTTTAAAAACTGCCCCACCCCCTCTCTTATGGGCTGTGGTCCACAATGAGAAACACATAAAACCACGGATATCTAAGACACCGGCTGACAGACTGTAAGTCAGGCACTTCATCTGTTCGCATAACGCTATTGGAAGAAGAACACAACGGGACTAAAATATACTGACACTAAGTGGAGCCATCCTAATAGAAAAAATGTCAATATTATACTTTTATGTTACCATTCTCCCGTTCTTAAGATATACAGTTTGTTGGCGATTGTGCAGTTTATTATGATTGTGTTGGTGTATTGTGGGAGAACACTGAGGCAGTGTTTCAGGCTTCAGGCGATATAGCATTCAGTTGTAATAATATGTCAGATCAAAGTCTTCAACAGAACACCATACCTATAGAATTCGTAAGAAAACGATGTTCTCGCCACATTATATCCCGACAGCCTGCATCAGCTCGGCCAATAAACAACATTTAATCTGCACTTGTCAATCTGTGTACGTATCCTGTTGGGTTTGTTCTACCCAGTCACTACGTTTTATTACTGGCCAAATTAGAAAGGAAGTATTTGATAATCAATCGTAATTACTTGGCTTGATTTATACATTAGCTCGCGAACTGATGGTTCCTTTGTTCCCAGTGTTGGAACAAAGACACAAACAAGATGTGGTGAAAGGATATTCAAGTTCATGTAATGGTCCGACACCAAACAATTCACTACTGTTGTTTCTCATTGTTGTTCAGCGCGTTTATGCTCGAGTCTACATGCACGGATATTGAACAAATTATTGTTACAGTATCTCTGAGAAATTGTTCTTATCATTATAGAAACCATCAATGTACCACTGTTCCCAATCGACATATCAAGACAATGTTTCCTCATGAACTTACCATTGCCCCAACCATTTCTGCCATCTTATCACTGAGAGACCTACTGTTGTCCTTGACGAGAGTGAAGCGCCTGATCCACCTTAACTGACAACTATAAGAAACATTCCCGTCATCTTATCACTGAGAGACCTACTGCTGTCATCTTGACAAGAGTGAAGCGCCTGATCCACCTTAACTTACAACAATAACAAACATTCCCCGTCATCTTCCTGTGAAGCATCTGGTAGTGACAAGTACTGCCGACACCTTCCCACTGACCAAAATATCCCTACCGTCAAAGGAGGGGGCTTTTCCCACAAATAACCATTGCAGTGAGTGAGTTTAGTTTTACGCCGCACTCAGCCATTTTCCAGCTTTATGGCGGCGGTCTGTAAATAATCGAGTCTGGACCAGACAACCCAGATCTTCATGGGAAATAACCATTGGAGCACTTGATCCAGCTGATCTTACTACTTTAACAAAATGTTCCCAATCAACTTGCCATTGAAAACTGTTGCCGTTGTAGTACCTTTTAGAAAACTGTCTCTACCATTTTCCCATTGAGCAGCTGTTCCCATCATCTTGCCATTGAGACAACTGTCGTCACATCTTACCATTGACACAAATGTCGTCACAATCATACAATTGAGACAACTGTCATCACATCTTACCATTGAGACAACTGTCGTCACAATCATACAATTGAGACAACTGCCGTCACATCTTACCATTGAGACAACTGTCGTCACAATCATACAATTGAGACAACTGCCGTCACATCTTACCATTGAGACAACTGTCGTCACAATCATACAATTGAGACAACTGTCATCACATCTTACCATTGAGACAACTGTCGTCACCATCCTACAGTTGAGACAACTGTCGTCACCATCATACAATTGAGACAACTGTCGTCACCATCTTACCATTAAGACAACTGTCCCAATTGAGACAACTGCCACCATCTCTTACCATTGAGACAACTGTCGTCACCACAATCATACCATTGAGACAACTGTCACCATCTCCATTGAGACAACTGTCGTCACCATCTTACCATTGAGACAACTGTCGTCACCATCTTACCATTGAGACAACTGTCGTCACCATCTTACCATTAAGACAACTGTCCCACCATCTTACCATTGAGACAACTGTCCCCACCATCTTACCATTGAGACAACTGTCGTCACCATCTTACCATTGAGACAACTGTCCCCACCATCTTACCATTGAGACAACTGTCGTCACCATCTTACCATTGAGACAACTGTCGTCACCATCTTACCATTGAGACAACTGTCGTCACCATCTTACCATTGAGACAACTGTCCCCACCATCTTACCATTAAGACAACTGTCCCCACCATCTTACCATTGAGACAACTGTCCCCACCATCTTACCATTGAGACAACTGTCCCCACCATCTTACCATTGAGACAACTGTCCCCACCATCTTACCATTGAGACAACTGTCCCCACCATCTTACCATTGAGACAACTGTCCCCACCATCTTACCATTGAGACAACTGTCCCCACCATCTTACCATTGAGACAACTGTCCCCACCATCTTACCACTGAGACAACTGTCCCCACCATCTTACCATTGAGACAACTGTCCCCACCATCTTACCATTGAGACAACTGTCCCACCATCTTACCACTGAGACAACTGTCCCCACCATCTTACCACCACTGAGACAACTGTCAACTGTCACCATCATCTTACCATTGGGACAAGACTGTCCCACCATCTTACCACTTGAGACAACTGTCCCCACCATCTTACCACTTGAGACAACTGTCCCCACCATCTTACCATTGAGACAACTGTCCCCACCATCTTACCATTGAGACAACTGTCGTCACCATCTTACCATTGAGACAACTGTCCCCACCATCTTACCATCTTCCCACCTTACCATTGAGACAACTGTCCCCACCATCTTACCATTGAGACAACTGTCCCCACCATCTTACCATTGAGACAACTGTCCCCCATCTTACCATCTTACAACTGTCCCCACTATCTTATCATGAGACAACTGTCGTCAGACCATTGAGACAACTGTCCCCACCATCTTACCATGTCCCCACCATCTGAGACAACTGTCCATCATCTTACCATTGAGACAACTGTCCATCTTACCAGAGACAACTGTCCCACTTACCATCTTACCACCATCTTACCACTGAGACAACTGTCCCCATCTTACCATCTTACCATTAGCCATCTTACCACTGAGACAACTGTCGTCACCATCTTACCATTGAGACAACTGTCCCCACCATCTTACCACTGAGACAACTGTCGTCACCATCTTACCATTGAGACAACTGTCCCCACCATCTTACCACTGTGATGACAACTGTCACCATCTTACCATTGAGACAACTGTCCCACCATCTTACCATTGAGACAACTGTCGTCACCATCTTACCATTGAGACAACTGTCCCCACCATCTTACCATTGAGACAACTGTCCCCACCATCTTACCATTGAGACAACTGTCCCCACCATATCTTACTGTCCCCACCATCTTACCATTGAGACAACTGTCCCCACCATCTTACCATTGAGACAACTGTCCCCACCATCTTACCATTGAGACAACTGTCCCCACCATCTTACCATTGAGACAACTGTCCCCACCATCTTACCATTGAGACAACTGTCCCCACCATCTTACCATTGAGAGACAACTGTCCCCACCATCTTACCATTGAGACAACTGTCCCCACCATCTTACCATTGAGACAACTGTCCACCATCTTACCATTGAGACAACCATCTTACAACTGTCCATCTTACCATGAGACAACTGTCCCCACCATCTTACCATTGAGACAACTGTCCCCACCATCTTACCATTGAGACAACTGTCCCCACCATCTTACCACCCATCTTACCATTGAGACAACTGTCCCCACCATCCATCAGCTTACCCATTTACCACTGAGACAACTGTCCCCACCATCTTCCCACCACTTACATTGAGACAACTGTCCCCACCATCTTACATTGAGACAACTGTCCCCACCATCTTACCATGGAGACAACTGTCCCATCACCATCTGTACCATTTGAGACAACTGTCCCCACCATCTTACCATTGAGACAACTGTCCCCACCATCTTACCACTGAGACAACTGTCCCCACCATCTTACCATTGAGACAACTGTCCCCACCATCTTACCATTGAGACAACTGTCCCATCTTACCATTAAGACCCCATCTTACCATTACCATGGAGACAACTCTTACCACTGAGACAACTGTCCCCACCATCTTACCATTGAGACAACTGTCCCCACCATCTTACCATTGAGACAACTGTCCCCACCATCTTACCATTGAGACAACTGTCCCCACCATCTTACCATTGAGACAACTGTCCCTCCCACCATCTTACCATTGAGACAACTGTCCCCACCATCTTACCATTAAGACAACTGTCCAACCATCTTACCATTAAGACAACTGTCTTCCCCACCTTACCATGGAGACAACTGTCCCCACCATCTTACCATTGAGACAACTGTCCCCACCATCTTACCATTAAGACAACTGTCTTCCCCACCTTACCATTGAGACAACTGTCCCCACCATCTTACCATTGAGACAACTGTTTTCAGCCTCGATCTGCCAGAAGGTATTGCCCGAGGAGGGAGGCGAGAGTGTCCGAGGCTTATGCTGGTCCATCACTCTGATGCGGAAATGGACTGGAAGAATCACATCACACAACTTGCTGATTGTAATTCAAATAAATCAAGTGAGATACATATTCTGCAGGTAATGCTCGCTCATTACCTCGGACATTCTTCATTATAATACTTATTTTAAGGGTAAGTATAAGTATTTCCACCTTTTCGGTGATTGATATATCTAGACTACTACTGTGTTTGCATCATCTAGCCGACTTATATCTGTACCATCTTCCTCGTTCATCTTGCTGCTCTGACATGTGTAATAACCCTCGCACAAACACACTGAAATGAACCAGCATCCCAGACTCTTGCTACTATGGTAGCTGCTCGTGAAATTGACAAATTTTCACATTGATTCAGTTTGCTACGAAAATTGAATATTATTTGTTGCTGGAAAGTCCCATTTGTCATAGTCGTCTTGTCAATGAGGTCTTCATACAATGGTTTATACCACATGACCTTTGTGCCAAGGGTGCTTCCTTGAGATTACATTGTCAAACTTAACCAAAATAGAGGTTACATGCGCAGATTAAAGTGTCTAGAAACAATTCGGAGCATTGTAAAAACTAGTCTATAAATACATACCATCCTCGGTTACCTCTTCGCCAAATAATCCCTCGGCGACTAAATACGCCTCCAGTTCTTTGTGGAACAGGCGTATGGCACATCCTCCCTGTAATAAAGGAACAATACACGTGCAAATATGCTTTCACAGTTATAGTTTTAATTTAATTACAAATATTCTGTCTTTAATTCTTAAAGAAATATCCTACAGTGAAAGGTATCTTAAGAGAAGTATGTGAATGGTTATATACCGGCTATATGTAGTGAGCTGCTTACAGCGCCGTGGTTGATATAAGAGCATGCATGCATATATGTTTTATGGTATCGATCACATAGACTGTGAGGGGTAGCACTGAGCACACGGGTGGACACGGAGTCGGGCAAGGCTCCCCCAGTTGGTCTAGACTTGTGAGTAAAGAGCAACCTGTTACAGACAACTACTGGTTAGGTTAGACGTGATGCTGTTAGAGACATGTAGTTTTGGTTATGGTACAGTATGACACACAGGGGAGTACATGATGTACATTTGGTGAGCAGCACATGGGGTTGACAGACGTAGGACGAAGGTCTTCCAGATCCATTAAGAGATTCTGCTGGGTATTAGTTCACCTATCACGCACATCTTAAAATTTCATATTTTTAATTTAAGATACAAACACCACTTAAATAATTAACATTTCCACCTTTAATAATAACTGTAATCTAATATCTAATGTTACAAAAATATTACATGCAGTATGAATACTTTTATGAAGTACTTCTCAGACCCTTTTCATATTTCATAAAACGTGTTATTATTTGTTATTATTTGGTTTCAAAATATTAGTTGGTGTGTGCGTGACAGGAGAGAGATTGTACAGTAGAGAGAGGGTTAGCCGACACCAGGAGATAGGCTACATGACCCAGGCCTATAAACGATTGTTTACGAGTTCAGGTCCCAAGTGAAAGAGCCGTGACGTGGACGTGTGGACGGACAAACATATTGACATGTACTGAGCAGAACATATAGTAGTATACCCATAACATCTACCTTGACGTATTTGGGAATTGTACAAATCCCTCGCTGCAAATAAAATCATCGGAGTACTATCTGAATATGAACACTAGCTCTCACATACAATAGTGCATATGCATTCATAGAAAACAATTAAGACAAAGTAGAAGCCTCGTTTTCTCTTTATCTACATAAGAAATCAATAGAAAAGCGATCAGATGTAAAATACGAGCATAATCTACTTCCTCGGCCGTCTCGGTTACATTTGATGTAATAACGTTAACCTAACCGCAGAGAGGAATTCCTGGCCAGCGGGTACATAACCTTATACAGGCTAAATACGGCTGTATTCCAAGACTGATTACATATCTAGTTCAACTAGGATTGGCTGGGAGATGGTGTGGATACGCACTTTGACAAACAAGTCGAGTTCTGGATTTTCTTTGCAGAAACGGACGAGGGTAAATCCGGTTCGCTCGACCCCAAGGTTCAGTTCCGATCTGTGGAGGAATAGATTGATGCATGAGGACCTTAATCCGTAATATTCTGTAGTTAGTTACAGTAAGACATATCAGGCAGGGGTTCAAAAATACCCTCGCCCGACACCCGGGACAAGTCAGTTTTCATTTCGGGCAATCAAATAATGGTATCTTACTTGTCCGTGGGCTACTAGATAATTTCCACTTATGGTTTCAAACTGCAAATAAACTTGGATATAATTTCATATCTGCTCAAAATGTAGCTATTAAATTTCGCAATGATAATAAAGCAGAGTTATCTTTCTTTGCTATTTATCACTTTTCAATAAATAGTCCAGTAAACATTAACATCAAATATCATGTTGATATATTCTTTCATAATTACATCAGCATGATTATTTCATAAAATTTAAAAAAAGTGGAAAATTAGTCAGGACATGTTTTTTTCTTTCTAAAATCAGTCGCATGATATATACTGCTTAACATTTGTATAGTCAATGAATCTAGATCTGAAAGCATGCCATGAAGGTTTATGTTGATACCAGTGTGAGAAATAGCCACTGGTCCGCTAGCCTGTGGCTAATAAAAATCCAGTCAGGCCAGTAAATGTCCACAGTCACTGGCAAGACTGGCTAGTGAATTTTCATGGGGTCATCCCTCCGACTTGTTACGTTATGACACACTTTTAAATCATGCAAGATTATGGCCTGATTAATATTCCTCATTTTATCAGCTTCTTGGTGAAACCCATGTCTACATTAAAATTTCGGGCTGGTGAATTATTTTGTGGCTAGTAACTTTCAGGCATTGCTAGCCCGACTAGCTGGCAAAATTTCGCATACTGGTTGATACCTTTCCAGTACAAGCTACATTCATGAAGGCATTATAGAGAATCATACACGACGGTCATGAGCAACACGTGGTGTAACGATTAGTACACAATTAGCAGATCTGCAGGATATATAGTATCACGTCAGTTTAGACATTTTAGGATGTAAAATGCAGATGTGTACTGATTTTAGGATATCTAATGTTTTTATAGCTCATTTTATAGCTACCATTCAACATTGGGTTAAGATCAACTCCCTCAGATCATAAGAGTGTATGATAAATATCTACACAATATGATCTCTTGGACATAAATGGTGATTACCTCTATACCCCCAACAACGAAAAACGATATTGAAGTAAATTCTCGTGATTAGATACGTCAACATTTATGTCACAGACTGCTTATTTAATTATTAACACACAAACAACCGAAACAACGACACAAACCCAACTGTCATCAGTCAGAAAAGAAACAATAGTCTCTAAATATGGGCTAACTTTAAAAATACTTTATTGTTTACTGAAACATGGGAAAAACAATTGCTTATTAAACCATTGGAATCCCACTTAATCGCTTGCAATGTATTTGCCCTTAAATACACATGTTTATATATACATTTAAGGCAAATCGAGATATCGGACAGGGTATTGTGTGGTAGGACGCACGCATGCATGCACACACACACACACACACACACACACACACACACACACACAGAGAGAGAGAGAGAGAGAGAGAGAGAGAGAGAGAGAGAGACACACACACACAGACACACACACACACACACAGACACACAGACACACACACACACACAGACACAGACACAGACACAGAGAGAGAATATGTTGATCCCTCGCTTGCATTTGGTGTTTGCCTCTTATGCGTCACATAGACATCCCAGGAATGGACTTTCCATCCAACCGACGATGATCTTGTTATTGATACACTCGTTGAACCACATGAGATGATTACACAATAGATTGTCTGAACACTAAGTGGTGGACTGCCATCGATTATGTATCAATAACTAACTTGATGATAGCCAGTAGGTTATTGGACGTGTTAGCAGTTCATTGACGTAACCAATTATTTTGTAGTCACCCTCGTTGGATACTAACTGATACATTTCAGTCGCAGACGATGGCATTGCGATAATTAGTGAGGGAATATTTATCCAAAAACAGATTCCGATCACGAGAGAACAACGGTTATCTGTCTGCAATGTCCATCGCAGTGTAGAGTGCACAGCAAATAATGGTGATTACAGTGTCCATCCATATATAATGAAATGGTTACAGTGTCCATCCATATATAATGAAATGGTTACAGTCCATCCATATATAATGAAATGGTTACAGTGTCCATCCATATATAATGACATGGTTACAGTCCATCCACATATAATGAAATGGTTACAGAATCCATCCATATATAATGAAATGGTTACAGTGTCCATCCATATACAATGAAATGTTACAGTCCATCCATATATAATGAAATGGTTACAGTCCATCCATATATAATGAAATGGATACAGTCCATCCATATATAATGAAATGGTTGCAGTCCATCCATATATAATGAAATGGTTACAGTCCATCCATATATAATGAAATGGTTACAGTGTCCATCCATATATAATGAAATGGTTACAGTCCATCCATATATAATAAAATGGTTACAGTGTCCATCCATATATAATGAAATGGTTACAGTGTCCATCCATATATAATGAAATGGTTACAGTGTCATCCATATATAATGAAATGGTTACAGTCCATCCATATATAATGAAATGGTTACAGTGTACATCTATATATAATGAAATGGTTACATTCCATCCATATATAATGAAATGGTTACAGTGTCCATCCATATATAATGAAATGGTTACAGTCCATCCATATATATGAAATGGTTACAGTGTTCATCCATATATAATGAAATGGTTACAGTGCCCATCCATATATATGAAATTCTTAAAGTGTCCATCTATATATAATGAAATGGTTACAGTCCATCCATATATAATGAAATGGTTACAGTGTTCATCAATATATTATGAAATGGTTACAGTGTCCATCCATATATATGAAATGGTTACAGTCCATCCATATATAATGAAATGGTTACAGTGTCCATCCATATATAATGAAATGGATACAGTGTCCATCCATATATAATGAAATGGTTACAGTCCATCCATATATAATGAAATGGTTACAGTCCATCCATATATAATGAAATGGTTACAGTCCATCCATATATAATGAAATGGTTACAGTGACCATCCATATATAATGAAATGGTTACAGTGTCCATCCATATATAATGAAATGGTTACAGTGTCCATCCAGTGTCAACTGCATGAAGCCAGCGAGCTGTAAGTAGGATGTTTGTTTGACTGGAGACTGACACGACTGCCCTTCATGTCGGATATATGTTGAGATGGTTAATTTGGTTATCCAGTCACTTTTGTTAAGTAATTTACTTCCAGGGACCGTGAGAAGACGTTTAGTTAAGCGGTATTGTTTACTTATTAGTTAACAGGACTCTAATAGTGATAATTAATGAAGAAATTTGCCGGGACCAAAGAAAAGTGTTTACTTATCAGGTCTGTTTAGTTAAGTGGTCTTTACTTAGGCGGTTTCCACTGTATAATGAAATGGTTACAGTCCATCCATATATAATGAAATGGATACAGTCCATCCATATATAATGGAATGGTTACAGTGACCATCCATATATAATGAAATGGTTACAGTGTCCATCCATATATAATGAAATGGTTACAGTGTCCATCCATATATAATGACATGGTTACAGTCCATCCACATATAATGAAATGGATACAGTGTCTATCCATATTTAATGAGATAGTTACATTATCCTTCAGTTTATGGTGAGATGGTTACAGTGTCTGTGATATTGTGAAGACGTTACAGAGTCCATCACTATATGGTGAGATGGTTACAGCGTTCATCACAATATGATGACATGGTTAGAGTGTTAATCACAATATGATTACATCGTTACAGTGTCCATCATGATATTGTGAAGACGTTACAGTGTTCATCACTATGTAATGCGGGGAATACAATACAATTACGCAGGACTTTTCTGTGTAGTTCTTTGATTTCAAGGCTTGCCAGGCGAAACATCTGGTCCGGTGGTTATGTAGTTTACCACTTGGATGAATACATTACTTAGTCTTGCATTATTTCTTTTCGATAAATGGTCTATTAAAAATCAATTAAATGTGTAGTCAAACGTAATTCAGACAAAATAACCATCGCTGGACGCGAAGAACACAATTTGGCCACCTGAAGATGTTACCTGGATACACCGTCCATTATTAAAAGGATTGTCGGGTACAAGAGATACCACTATACAGTAGTTCTGATGGATTCGATGTGCATGGCTGTAGTGCTCTTCACACACTGTAATGCTAACTGGGCGTGTAGTTGACAATATACGGTGCAATGGCTTGTGACAGAACCGTAAGCTGACAATAAAACCGGCAATTCAGCACTGTCACAAACCCTCGTGTACATCAGTCACAGATGCATTACCGTACAGCTACGCATCATTTAGTTTAACTGCCAAATTTGATTGTTCTGATCGTTTGAAGCAGCTACGGAATCTAAGTCATAAAATGAAGATTTCGCTTGTTGATGGATATATAGATGCAAATATTAGCAGTTCCACGTCATGATCAGTGGCGGTAGCTGTCACAATGCCCATAGGGCATCTGGTGATGTACTGGTAAAACGTCATTGATCCAAGTATATAGCTGCTTTTACTGGAATTTTATTGGTTGTAAATGGACATAACTCGCCTTTGTTCCCAATTCCCGATATGATCCATTCGAAATTAGTTCTATTAATGGCTGAATATTTTAAGTTTCAATTGATATGCAGGCATGTGAAAAGTTCAAAAATATATCTCATTATCGCGTGAGACATTAAAAGATGCCGTGAGAACGAATTTGAGCGCAGTTAATAAGAGTGCTTCTTCCGATGAAATAATCTGGTCGAAATATTATTTATGTGAATGCGTGGATTTCATGAGTTTAACATAAAAGGTGTTTTTTTTTCCAAACTACACCAGACTGGTTTTCCTCTTGACGAAAACTAGGTTGGGTAGAGACGTGATCAGGTCACCTTGAGATGAAAAACACAATGTTTTGAAGACCTATCTTATGAGTGAGCGGGTGAGTTATGAACAGTATTCCAGTTATATCTCGGCGTGCCTGCTTGATCTGGGAGGAAATCCCGAAGTAATCAGTAAAACCTAGAGTGAGTGAGTTAACATTTACAGTCACATCGGCAATATTTCAGCCATATCGTGACTAAAACAAGTTTATATTCGCTATAAATACATGTAAATTATAAAAAGTTTGTCAACAAAGGACAGTTAAACAACTTTACAGATTATCACAATTATGAATATAAAACTACATGTAGTATGTAAATTTAAAATATTTTAACTACAGAAAACTTAACAATGTAAAAAACAGGTTATAGATTGCCAACAGCTGAAGGTAGATCACCATACTAGGGGCCATGGGTAAAACCTAGAAAGATAATATGGTGAGTCATGATTCCAACTCATATGTTTCTTGCGTACCCAAGGGACGCGACTGTGCGTAGTGAACGGCAGAGTCCTCTGGGCCACCGTTAGCCCGACTGGTATTGGTATTGCACAACGTATCAAAGAGTCAGTGATTATTGCGAGCTGAATCATCAGTAATCGCTTCTAAGACGGCGAATCCTGCTTCTTTAATATACGTGTTGGCCTATCACACATGTCAGTGGTGTTGACAGAATCGTCCATATGAACTCTTCTAACAAACAACAAAACTGTCGTTTTCCACCATAAAATCTAATGGTGCAGTTTATGTCTAAGACTTAATCAACATTGGCTCTAACGATCCTTTCCTTATTTGTTATTTCCGGGCCAGCTTTGAGCCAATCTTTAATTTCAGAAACCCACGGCCATCTTAGTGCTGCTTCAAACAACGGAGAGTCAGATCTTCAGGGCGAGGTGTCGTGATTCATTGACCATGATATAACCAGTTAAACCAAATACTGCAGGGATCTGACTTGCAAAGGATGTAGACTCAAGGGACGTGTTCAAAGGTTGTCAAACACTATCACTTTATATGGAATGATTGACCGATAAACAAAACGACCTCGTTAGGTATTTCGCTCTTGATGGCTATCCTGAATCTGACATGGTTTCTACAAAGAAGCGCTTGCCTTCTTGACTTTAGGATGTAACTCTTTGAGAAAGTAGATCCACGCGAATAATTGCCTCTGACATTGATTGAAGAAATCAGTCTAAATATAGAACTAGCGTTATTGTCGATATCAATTTTGGAGTTCACTTCTGACATAATGGCTCACATTCATCATCCTGTCCTAACTAGGTTTGTAGAGACGTAACAGTTTCCGACGGGCTGACCGAGGGACAAGACGTTCCTGACTTGGTAATAGGGCGGACAATGTACCCATCAGCGTCTTTCGATATGTTTTGGGACCTACTTTGTGGACATGAAACTTCTTTTGAGGGTTTGAGTTTGTGGGCTAACTGTACAACCATGTCAGAGTCAGAGAAGTATCACAATAAAACTACTATACTGGGTTCCGATAGCTGGTGTGAGGCAGACCTGAACTTTGTCACCATGACACAACCTGGAACCTTGAATAATGAAAAGGACGAACCGTTAGGAGGAAACAATTGCAATCCCGGAATATTGTCGAGCCCTTGATAGGCAGGTAAATACCGTTAACCTAGATCTGCAGGTGTTATACAATAGGGAGTCATATTTCGTCCTGCATTGACAGGCTGAATTCAGTTTAGGGGTCATGTTTCGTCCTCAAATTACAGGTGATTAGGAGACAAGTTTAGAATTGCATGAAAGGTGAGATATACTGTGAGAATAGAAGTGACACAGTAAGAATTCAAGTTTAGACAAATATTGGAGAGGCTATACATTCGGGAATAATGTCTATTCCAATAAGAGAAGTTACACAAATGGGAATTATGTCTATTCCAATAAGAGAAGTTACACAAATGGGAATTATGTCTATTCCAAAAAGGGAAGTTACACAAATGGGCTTTATGTCTATTCCAATAAAGGAAGCTATACAATAGGGAATAATGTCTTTTACAATAAGGGAAGGTATACGGCAGGGAATACTGTTTAGACTTTCATAGGCATGAGTAATGCATTGGGGAATTAGGTTTAGACTTTCATAGGCATGAGTAATGCAGTAGGGAATTATGTTCAGAATTTTACGTCATGATTTTTGCAGTAGGGAATATGTTTAGACTTCACGGGCATGATCAGTTATACAGTTAGGAATAATGTTAAGACTTCACGGACATGAGTTATACAGTAAGGAATAATGTTCAGACTTCACGGACATGAGTAATGCAGTAGGGAATAATGTTAAGACTTCACGGACATGAGTTATACAGTAAGGAATACTGTTCAGACTTCACGGACATGAGTTATACAGTAAGGAATAATGTTCAGACTTCACGGACATGAGTAATGCAGTAAGGAATAATGTTCAGACTTCACGGGCATGAGTTATGCAGTAGGGGATCATGTTTAGACTTTCACGGGAATTTCAAGATAAACAGAAGGTAGCCATGTGACGACCTACCCGAAGCTGGCGACATCGATCTGGAAGGGCATGCTGGCATGGAAGTAATGGCCGGGGGACTTGATACTCTCGAAACATATCTGGTCGTAGATTTGTACCTGGAAAACACATGTGACAAACAGTATTCATACTATTTACTGGGATACTGACTTACCAACTTTAGGAGATAAACATACTGGGCAAACATACTCAATACTGTAGAGATCCAGTACTGGGTATTCTTATGCACTGACGTTTTATAGTAAGTGTAGAGCTTGGAAGATTTAACATCTACGTACTCTGAACAGTATACGGATTCTATTTGTTCTGTTGGAAATGTATTGTGACATGTAGAGATTGCATTCTGTACCCTTTAACTGCAATATTACTTTCAGCTACCCAGCGAGAATGGTTCGAATCCAACATTTATCTGTATTAAACCGAATCCAAGTACACTTAAACTTTTTTAAACCCAATTTTATCAATCGGATGGTTGTAAGTATAGCATGGACCCCATGTGTGACATCTGACAACTTGCAATGTTTAACTGTAGTGTAACGACAGCCAAGATAAGGAACATCCTGAAGTAGTGTAGCAATGTTCATGCTCTATACACCGTAAATACTGTATATTCTCCTTTTGCATTTTCCTGTATCCGTCTGTGAGTGCACAATCGGACCTCAATGTTTGGCTTGTGTTTCTATATGCAGAGGTGACTGGTATATATGACTGTGGATTTGAGTCATATTTCAATGGAGGTGCGTTGTTTTAGATGAGTAGATGAGTTGTTGTACTGTACGGGTGAGATGTTTTACTTTGGAGGTGTGAGGTTGTGTGACTTTGTTGATTGTATTGTATTACTGTGGAAATGAGACGTGTCACTGTGGAGGTGAGCCGTATTACTATTGGGATGAGGTGTTTCAAGGTGGATTTGAGTTGTGTCTCTTTGGAGGCAAATTGTATTTTACTTTAGAGGTGAGCTAACACTATGGGTGTGAGTTATCACTGTAGAGATGAGCCGTTTTACTGTGGAGGTTGAGCCGTTTTACTGTGGAGGTTGAGCCGTTTTACTGTGGAGGTTGAGCCGTTTTACTGTGGAGGTTGAGCCGTTTCACTGTGGATTTTGAGACGTTTTCATGTGGAGGTTGAGACGTTTTACTGTGGAGGTTGAGACGTTGTACTGTGGAGGTTGAGACGTTTTACTGTGGAGGTTGAGACGTTGTTGAGACGTTTTACTGTGGAGGTTGAGACGTTGTACTGTGGAGGTTGAGCCGTTTTAATGTGGAGGTTGAGACGTTTTAATGTGGAGGTTGAGACGTTGTACTGTGGAGGTTGAGACGTTGTACTGTGGAGGTTGAGCCGTTTTAATGTGGAGGTTGAGCCGTTTCACTGTGGAGGTTGAGACGTTTTAATGTGGAGGTTTTCATGTGGAGGTTGAGACGTTTTAATGAGGTTGAGACGTTGTACTGTGGAGGTTGAGACGTTTTACTGTGAGAGACGTTGTACTGTGGAGGTTGAGCCGTTTTAATGTGGAAGTTGAGCCGTTTTAATGTGGAGGTTGAGACGTTTTAATGTGGAGGTTGAGACGTTGTACTGTGGAGGTTGAGACGTTTTAATGTGGAGGTTGAGACGTTGTACTGTGGAGGTTGAGCCGTTTTAATGTGGAGGTGGAGACGTTTTAATGTGGAGGTTGAGACGTTTTAATGTGGAGGTTGAGCCGTTTTACTGTTGAGGTTGAGACGTTTTAATGTGGAGGTTGAGACGTTTTAATGTGGAGGTTGAGACGTTTTAATGTGGAGGTTGAGCCGTTTTACTGTGGAGGTTGAGACGTTTTCATGTGGAGGTGGAGACGTTTTAATGTGGAGCTTGAGCCGTTTTAATGTGGAGGTTGAGACGTTTTAATGTGGATTTTGAGACGTTTTCATGTGGAGGTTGAGACCTTTTAATGTGGAGGTTGAGGCGTTGTACTGTGGAGGTTAAGCCGTTTTACTGTGAATTTTGAGACGTTTTACTGTGGTGGTTGAGCCGTTTTACTGTGGAGGTTGAGACGTTTTATTGTGGATTTTGAGACGTTTTCATGTGGAGGTTGAGACCTTTTAATGTGGAGGTTGAGACGTTTTAATGTGGATTTTGAGACGTTTTAATGTGGAGGTGGAGACGTTTTACTGTGGAGTCAACTTACCACTTCCCCTTCTGACTTGACCTTGTATTGAGGTAGGATGCGGAATTGGGCATTTTTGGCGTTGAAGTCTTGTAACATGATCTGTAAAAGAGGCACCGGTTATAATGAGCCGATTGTAATTAAAATTGTCATTGTAACATAATATGGAAATGACATATTTTTCATATCATGTCATTGTTAGAATAATTCGTTTTCGTTCACGTAAGTAATGTAAGGAACCCTTACACTTAAGTAACTTAAGGAGAGAGAAAGAGAGAGAGAGAGAGAGAGAGAGAGAGAGAGAGAGAGAGAGAGAGAGATATATATATATATATATATATATACATACAGAGATACACACACATACATACATACATACTCATACAGAAACACACATACAAACACACAGATACACAATTACACAGAGAAACGCACAGACACATAGACACACATACGAACAAACAGCCATACACCCAGACATACAGACACATACAAACACACAGACATAGTGGTACACACAGACACACACACATATACACATACACCCAGACATACAGACACATACAAACACACAGACATAGAGGTACACACATACAAACACACAGACATAGAGGTACACACAGACACATATATACACATACACCCAGACATACAGACACATACAAACACACAGACATAGAGGTACACACAGACACACACATATATACACATACACCCAGACATACAGACACATACAAACACACAGACATAGAGGTACACACAGACACACACACATATACACATACACCCAGACATACAGACACATACAAACACACAGACATAGAGGTACACACAGACACACACATATATACACATACACACAGACACATACAGACACATGCATACAAATATAGACTCACGCAGACACAGTCAGACAAACACACATAGCATATTCATCAGTTACTATCCCTTATTTATTCACGATACCCCCACGAATGCAGAGGTGTTCTCCTCAATTGCCCAGACAGGAAATGTCGTATTTGTCGACTTACTGTCACAAGTAATATTACCCAGTAATATTGTCCTCACTGTTATGTAGTTTAGTTCAGATAGCAATGCATCCATGTTTATCACGTTACAAAAAAACCAAATCGCAGCAACCCAGACTTTTTGATGCACCCCAGATGACTGCTATCACAATGTCGAAATGGGTCTGCGCAATTTTAATTCAGAAAATGAATCCAAAATCGGATTAGCATCGATCCTAATTTCGAACGTTCCCAAACGAGATGCGGTTCAGCGTTATGGGATGTTACGGGGGAATATCAAGCTGATTAAGAAGTGTTATTAAAGCTGAGATTCAGACCCCAGTATCTCATTTCCCCTGGGGGAGCGAAAAGTCACCAGGCCCACTTCTAATACGACGCTCCCATCACTGATCATCCCGCTCATTAGATTACCCTAATCACTTCCTGGTTAGGCTGGCTCCTAGTCACCACTACCAGCAGTTGTTTAAACAACACATGTAGGGGAGATTCTTTCGGATTAAGTGTGTGATACCTGTGACTGTATCGGGGGCAGTGTTTATTTTCCGAGTCTGACAGTGGGGAGAAGGTGCATGTGTGTCTGACAGACACTCCACACATCCGATTCGCCACCCAGTGAATGTTTTACTATCAATCAATATTCTCCGTGGGTCGGCGACTTTGATGTCGTCTATAAATAGCCCCACCAGCTTACATTTATTATTGCTGTTTTGCCCTCGTGTTAGAAGACCCAAGCACATGACTTTTGATAACGCTGAAAAAACATCCCAGGTTTGAACAACGGAGGGGGCCGGTAGACACAATTAGTTTTCAAAGTGATATTTCCGTTGCTTTGGGGAAAACGAATTAAGAATTCATACAGATAATTCTTTAATGTCCCATAGAAACATCTATGAATTATGTCTTTGAGCTGTGTGTAGCATATTGAAAACTTCAAATGAGGTCGTTAGTTTGTTAATTGTATGCCACCTTGTACTCCAGTGCATTCTGGGCGTTTACATATTTTTCAGAAAACTTTGGCATGGAAATTAAGACAAATATTCGAAATGTTTCATGCTAGCATCGCAAGATTAGATCGTTGCTGAGTCGTAATGTTTTCTGCTCTATTATCTTCTTCAAAGAAATGTGTTGGAGATGGTGACGATAGGATGTTGATGCAAGAGAGGAATGCCTCATCACGTGACTGTATCCATCATGGGGCTGGTTGATACACATGTAATCTGTCCGACTGGGCAACTGTGCTGGGGAGCTCTGGTGATAACGGACCCTTTTCGATTGGGATTCAAAGGATCGACGGACTATAAGGCAGTGACTCTGCATTATTTAAAAAGCACGATGTATTTGGCAGTCTAAGTATGTTATAACATACTTTCTTACCCGCTTAGCACATGCTCCAATTGGTGCTGCACTTTTTCAGTAAAGTACAGATTCTAGTACTTTTGTTGGGTTGAGTCCCAGTCGGAATTCGAACCCACACTCTCAGAACAGGCACCTAATCGCCAGAACGCGGCATTGGGCATTCAAGCATTTTACCTGCTAGTTCAATTTTATGTGTATCATGGAATGTTTATTTCTATTCTTATATTTACGATTTATTCCTTTTTTTCTAATTGTTTTTGTTGTTTAACGCCGCACACAGCAATATGTCTGATATACGACGGTAACTCTGGACCAGACACACCAATGATTGATATCATAAACAGCGTTCCACGTCACCTGGTATGATCACGTGCTATCGGCCAAGTTACCGAGCCTCATCTCATGACCCACGTTACTGGCGTATGTCACTGGGCACCTTCTAACGCAGATCCAGAAAATGTAGAGATACCGCAATAATATATATAGAGAGTCGAAAAACGCTTGTATAACATAGGAAATCCGTGCTAAACCTAGAGTCCATTGTACGATTCCGACCATTTCATATGCATGTGTTTATGAACCCCCATAGAACATTGATGCTACCAGGTGTTGGGGAAGCGGGGAGGGTCTCCTGCCCCGCCTCATCCTCCCCATCTGTGTAACGCACGTCATCCCCGCTAGGAACACCGCTGAGCCACACACACCACACCCCTCCCTGTTCCATACACTATAGATATGCCTATAGATAACGTTGTTCATGGATATATAGTCCTGTACCTACCATCATGTTGTTTTTGTCCCGCTGACTGGTCTGTGATGTACACATGTGGATGTACTTGTTGGTGAACGTGTGTTTCAGCTGAAACAAACGCGGAAACAAATCAGTTTCATGAAGAAACCTATGTTCAATGGTATAATATTTACAAACTGAATGAATAACAACTTCTTTTATTTCATAAGTGTGACGTTGCAATACACATTCTTGTACCGCTGTCAAGCAGTACAACGTCGAACTTACGAAATAAAAGAAGTTGTTATTCATATAGTGTGTCAATATTGTACTTCCAACTTCTAAAATGCCACTGAAAGATGCAACGGTATAAGTAGCAATTCAGCTATATTTACTACCCAGTCTTTCACATCGCCATAGTTTCTCTGTCAAGACACTACAGTTTAGAAACTATGGCGATCAACGAATCTGGGGTATATATAAAGCTATTTAGTGTAGTAACACAATGTACTGCTTCCTTCCGTCGCTGAGGACATTACAATGCTTCCATTTCTTTCAAAATCCGGTGTACATAGTTACAAAGATCTGGTCATGCAGGGGAGGAAATAGTTTAAAGACAGCACCCCCAGTTGAAGAAATGCACTGATTTGTCTGGACAGTCTGCAGGGGGACCATGAACTAATCTGAGACCAAGTATGTTTGAATTTTGGGTTTAAATTAAAGCCGCAAAATCATGTTAGTGAAAATATAGAAAGAACTTCTAAATCCCTGATCCATGGTTCGATTTCGACCGTGTCATGACCACGTGTTTATGAGTCACTAACAAATAATGATTATACCAGATGTAGGGATTATACCAGATGTTGGGGGAAAGGTGAACGTATCCTGCCCACCTGTGGTACACACCACCTCATGTGTACTTTGATTTCCGTGTTGGATCAAAATTTAAGCTTTTACCCATTCTATGCTACGATGTGACAGACAAATTTTTAAAGTGTTTTAATTTATACCACCGTCTAATGAAAAATATGCGATATGAATGAAAAACGAAAAGCGACCATGAAACAAATGGAAAATAAATATAACATGTCACGTCAAAGGAACCCTATATATTTTAAAGTACATAAAACAATAAAATATATTTATATAGTGTCTGTTTTTTATATCACACCTTTATCACACATGCCTTTAAATAGCCCATACTGACAGCATCCATTAAAATGTAAATCTTATCGCCTCTGATAAACACAATTCGCTGCGTTGGTTTTTCCAGTCTGTTGTCTAGTTGCCGTTAGGAGGCAAGATGAAAGAAAGCAATATATCTGAGCACAATCGATGGCTTTTGTATCAAATACGTGTAAACAAGCCAGCTCAACGGAGGTCGTTCACATTGAGAGAAACGATGTCTTTGTACAGTCTTTGCTCTAAGAATCACCAGTCTTTTACTTGAAAGAAAGCAGTAACGTTTTGTTCAATGGGAGCCCTAAAGGCAGTTTATATCTCTTTATTCAGCGTCTTATTGAATCTTTACCAGAGATACATCTCGACTTCATTGTCAGACGTTTGTCTAAGTGTATAGAAGTGATTAATTGGTGTGAATAAAGTTTGTAATGACAGTTAAAGTACACCAAACTTCACCTATAACGCTGTCTTTATACAGATACGTGCTTCGCCCGGAGTTAATGGCTAACTGAATATTACCAACAAAACCCCGCGGACAAAACCTGCCACCGAGGAACACATTGCTCACCTATTTTTTGTCACATTACGGCATCTTCATCTTGTCCTGCTAGTCATTTCATTATAGGCTCAGTAAGGTGTTTATCAGTAATAGTGATAAACTGGTATTTAATTGTAATACATTACCTGGACTATTTCGCCGTATCGCACTTTTTTGCCCAGTTGTCTCTTCTGCTCGGCGGCATTGTCTGCATTCTCGGCCTCCGCGGCGTGCTACAGTGGAACAACATCATACAGGTAAGGTGATGTTTGACACAACATCCTTTTGAGGTGTATCAAAGAATGAAAACATAAGTGAATGCCTCTGATAAAGAAATATTAGTAATTGCATAAAGCAATCATTTGAAACACTGCCCCGATTCAATACGACCTCATATCAAAAACAAAATGTATAAGCTACATGTACATAACCTGTGAACGTGTAAATGGGATGGGTTTACAGCCATTTTGCATGATATATAATTGATGTTAAGGTCAGTACCTCTGATACAAGAACATTAGTAATTGCAGAAACCAAAACACTGTCCTGACACGGTCTGATTAATGTGGGAGCAGATCCCGAAGTGGTGTAGACGTTTGCTGCTTTTGTAAAACCTATGAGCACGGTTTGATGTGGTATATTATCAAAGGTGAATCTGGGATTTGGATACTAGTACACGACAAACGAATCCTGGCACGGCTAAGGTAGACAACTCTTTACCACGAATTCTGCCGTCTTAGATTACCATATTAAGGATCACTGTGTGTTGAAACTAAGTGAATAGGAACTCGATAGTTACATATTTCTATGCTCTTTACACAATACGTACCTGCATGAAATAATCGCAGTAATCAACCTTCTTTTCTAATGTTGTGCTTCATTCAATGGAATAATTGCGATCTTTTAATAGCGGATATTCTCTATAAGCCAGGTTTGTAACCTTAATATGTGTACGTTACTGAACGCCCTAAACTACCCAAATTGAATCATTAATCCTATTCCACTAACATTATATTTTCCTAACATGTAGAAATATTCCAGGTTTGTGGAATGATCACACATAATCACAGCCCCTTCGTTGCCACTCACAATCACTCGACACTTTGATGTAGCGCTCAGAGTGATAGCTCCCCCTCCCCAAGGGTCGTATCACCTCGCGCCTCTTTAAACAGTATTCCAGTTATAACACGGCGTGGCAGCTTGTTGTTCGAGGAGAGTCTGACCCCTGGGTCTGAACCACGTCAGTGTCTGTCTGTACCACGGTGCCAGTGTCTGTTTCTGTCCGCGTCTGAATCTGTGTCTGTCAGTGATTGTTTTGTTGTTTAATCCCACAGCCAGCAATATTGCAGCTTGTGACAGTCAGTAAATATACAGTATAGATAGAAATCCAACCATTGATGTTACTAGCATCGATCCACGCTGTGGAGTACGATATACCTAATCACCGATCATGATAATACTAATATAGTATATAGTATGGTTCTATACAGGTTTTTTCTCCATGCCAAATGTAAGCTGAAAGCGCACCAAATTCAGTGGGAGAGTTCATCGGCATATGAAAGTTAAAGGTGTGTTTTCAAACCAGACTTACAGATCGGAAGAGACTGAAGATTTAACATCTATAGGGACACAGTTCCACTCATGTGCTGCTGCAAAAGCAAAATAACGATGACCATTACGAACTGTGTCAACTTTTGGAACACGTGTAAACGTGGCGGCCCAACACACCTACAGGAAATGAGTGAGTTTGTTTAGTTTTACGCCGCTTTTAGCAATGTTCCAGCAATATCACGGCAGGGGACACCAGAAATGGGCTTCACACACTGTACAAATGCGGGGAATCGAACCCGGGTCTTCGGCGTAACGAGCGAACGCTTTAACCATGAGGCTACCCCATCGACCAGTAGCATGCATTGATTGGGTAGGAAAAAGATGAGTTTTCAGAGCATGGAAACACGAGCAAGGCCTAGGGGGTACGGGGGAGGTGTTCGTGTACGTGTGCGTGTGTGTGGTTTGGTGACGAGTCACGTTTTTTGGCTTCTCCGTACAGACTAAAGACGTCGTGTTCATAGACGTGGTGGGGTATTTTATGGTGGAAGCTGCATAAGGGAAGTGGACAGGTTTCGTGCCGAGAATGTAATGATGTGGGCCGCCATCTCCCGTATCGGTAGACCAGACCACCTAACGGCACAACGTTACACAGATGAAATTCTTCGCCCACACGTCCTTCCCTTTAACGTCAAGGAAACGTCATTTTTCAACACGACCCTCGACCGCACACGGCATGACTGACAACGGCTTTTTTTAGGTACCACAAGATCCAAATACTGCCATGTCCCTCAAAGTCTCCAGATCTAAACCAGACCGAACATTATGGGATGCTGTTGATCAACGTCTGCGATCACGTCAGCAACTGCCACAGAACCTCCCGTAGTTGGCAGGAAGACTGAGTGAACATTCCTCACGCTACAATTCGTAATCTGATTTGTTCCATGTGGTGACGATGTCAGGCAGTTCTGGACTCCTGTGGGGGCCATGGAACAGATGACTTCACCTTGACATTCGATGGTTCCATGTGTACCATGATGAACCCCGGTTAGTAGCAATGACTTGTGCCAAATGTGAACAGTGTATTGTGATCTTTTGGCTAGTTATATGATACATTAGTATGCATATGAAAACAACGTTTGCGTTTCTTTTTTTGTAGAGTATGTATAATGACATTTTTTTTGCCATTTAGTCACCACGAATGTCAATAGGTTACTGGGGGCATCATCTTACCTGGAGTTCCTTGTGTAGTTAATATCAGTGTTAACGTCTCTATTAGTGTCTAATAGTGTCCCAATGTCTGTTAGTATCTTTAGTGTCAGTGTCAGATCGGGTCCTACTGTCCGTTTCGCAGTGTTTGCGTCTACCAGTGCATTCGAAATCTCGGTGTCGGTCAATGTCGACTGTTCTCTGTTTTTGTCTGCCCGTGGTGCGGCATTACACAAAACATACTACCCGTCCGCCTCCACAGTGACCTACCTTGGCCTGTGCCAGGAGTCCCTTCTCCTCTGTACTCTCCGGATTGGCTGACGCCTGGGCGAGCCATTTCCTGAGCTTCTTGTTTAACTTGTACCTGTTCTGTATACAGATCTGGAACACCACCGCTGTGGGAAAGAGGGTACATTAATCAGTGTGAATGAGTGAGTGAGTGAGTCGACAAGGTTTTTTACATTACACATATTATTCGCCATTTCATTAGTGGAATCAAGTAGTTATTCATGATGTGAATAAGTGTCGTCACCATTCTCGTTATAATATCATTGTCATCATCATCATCATCATCATCATCATCATCATCATCATCATCATAAGTGATAATATTATTGTAATAGTATTGCTAAATAATGCCCCATGGGGCAAATTAACATGAGATAAACGGTCATTTCATTCGACGAGTTGGTTGAAGGAAAGCGAGGAACCCTCATGAGATTCAGCTTCTACTTCCATGAACTATTTCATTTTCGCAGCACGGCCTTGACCTACTATCACACATTCATCTGTCCGCGAGAACAATTGACAAGAAGACTCACTATCGCTGCCACATATTTGTGAGCGATGTGCATTTAGAGTTATCACCCTTTACATCTTGACGTTACAGCCAACGCCATATATGATGCATTTGAACAATAACTGCCCTGTTTTTCTGCCACCCATCCAGGCGCCGGGCGCCAAAAATATGAAGAACTCTGTCATCACGACAAGCTGGACATTATCAGGATTATATGAGAAGACTGTTTGTAAGGTTATTTGATTAGAGGCTAGATACGGAGGTTGAGGAACATATGCGTGAGAGACGTATGGATGGGATTTCTAAACAGACTGATAGGATTATGATTTTATTTCATATAGCATATTACTTGTCTTTTTATGTTCTTTGCTCGATAGATCCGGTGTATAATCAGATTAAAATATACGATACTGGCGTTATAACGACTTAAATACACTTTTATCGACGGATCAATTTCGGGTAGATTTCCCATAGGACATAACGATATATCATCGACCGCCGGGAGATGTAGAGGCCGTCTCAGATGCTGATGCTGATGGTGAGACATCCTTTTCTTCTCTGAGAGAAATAGAGTGATGGAAATTTGATGTCACTGGGTTCGAACCGGACTGATTGTCGGAGGACGTTGGCTATTGCTACCAAATGGCGATCACCCGTTATCGCCTTGACCAGACAATCCTGAGATAGGCCTTGAGCATCGCAGCTGGGATGAGTGACGAGCCTGACCACGTGTCGTTCGAACACAAACGATACGGGATGCATTCTATATTGTACAGTAGACCACCTCTGTGGTATACACAGAAAGTCGACGGCATACCAAAAGACATTAAAATATGGTACTTGTTACCTTGCTTGATGCCCAGCATTAAGCGATACAACTAAGGCAGGCACGAAATCAATATACTGCGTCTCAGTAGATGCCCATGTTGAACTGCAGAGCGTTTTCACTGGCATTGTAAAACCGGACTTGTAAATGCAACTACACGCACGCACGCACGCACGCATGCACGTCTTTATGTACTTTACTATAATTCAGTTTCACTCCACCTCGCTGTCTCGATAATGTACAGGCATCACATTTTCTTGGATATGGCCAATATCATGGTTACTAGAGTAAGAAATAGCAGCTGAATGTAATGAACGTGCATCACCCAGCACTCCAATGACATATCGGGTCCTGTATACACCACATTACGTTCTCTCATTGGACGAGCGCCTTCAACTGAGCTTTAAATACATAAAATGTATGACACATCGGTAAAATAGCTTCATCTGTCTCGTTTCATGTATATAAACCGGGCGGTTGTGCGCTCAGGCCGATATAACTACACTAGTTCCGCATGATTCTTGGGCGCCCTGGCAGGGGCGTTCGTCAGATCTTGTCATCAACTCGTCCATAAATAGCCAGCAAAACCACATCAAATACGTCCTTCCAAGATTCAGGATCTACCGAGTGAGACAAATTTCTTAATTTCTTTAACTTGATGTCCGTGTATTTTTTAGCTGTCTCCTACAGTAAACATCCATTCATGCAGATTTGGTAAGGCTTTTGATTGGCAGATGTGACGCCACTCAGTTCCTTTCCGGCTATGCATATCTATCTATAGACCGGCTCCTCGTCAAACGCTGTGATTGTATTGGGGAGCCTTGCCCTCGCTGGCTGCAGTACCAATAATCTCATCTATTGGGATGTCTTAGTTTAAAGACACGAGCAAAGAGGGCACATTATCAAATACTGCGATTACTGTACCAGTATAGATATGTCCCTAATGTGATATACATTTGTTCAACATGCTTAATGGGTAAAGCGCTTTGAAAGATTACACGCCTTTGGGGGAGCTACTTCTTAATACGTTCTGTCAGCAAGGGGAAATGCATGCTCTACTTTAAAGCTCTCTAGAAAACAGTTTTGTAAACACTTTTAAAGTCTTTTATTTGAACAGTGAGCTTCTTCCGCTAATTAGTTACAGATTAATCTAGACTCTGTAGAAAAATGGCGCATTCCAAATCCGATCTAGCATGAGAGCCAACAGTTTTCTTGTACGCGGCATCAGCACACTCATGCTTCTGATGTCGTACTGTAACAATGGCTGCGTCTCCATGCAGTCCCGTTACAGACGGTGGCAAGAGGCCAAGTCATCCCACTCAGCGTTTTTGGAAAGTCTTTGTTTACGTAGCCACCCACACGCATTGTTAACATTGTACTGAAACTATTGTTTTCATTACCGCTGTTTCTGTTAACAACAATTAGTAATGAAAATAAATAGGAAGCACATTAGGGAAGGAGAAGTAGCCATCTGAGTTATCTTTCAATAAGAAAGGTTTTCTTATCTTTTGTTTTCAAATGATCGACAATACGTTTAAGTTATCATTGACAGACCGAATGTTTTCAGTTTGGTTTCAACAACATACTCTCGATCTTTACTTACACTGTATAAGTGGCGGCGATATACAAATACTACAAGACGTCAACGCCAGAGAATGTACAGGCGCGATTATCAGATAAAACAGGTTCCATTACCTCAGAGGCCAAAATAGCATTGACAATTACATGGATGAATCACTGAAAATCAGCGATGACACAGGGTAAATATGTCCTCCTTTAACTGTAGCGCTCGTACTATTCAATATGTGTAATTAATGGCTTTGTTTTTTTAAGTTGGTTTTCTAGTTTGGGTTTGGTATTTCAGTATATGTCATGACATCGTCTATTGAAGTGCCTTACCGTTTGGGTTTGGTATTTCAGTATATGTCATGACATCGTCTATTGAAGTGGCTTACCGTTTGGGTTTGTAATTTCAGTATATGTCATGACATCGTCTATTAAAGTGCCTTACCGTTTGGGTTTGGAATTTCAGTATATGTCATGACATCGTCTATTGAAGTGCCTTACCGTTTGGGTTTGGTATTTTCGATGGTCTGTCCCGGTCTTGGTTGTTGTAGATGTTGATCGAGCTGTGACTGGAACTGGAATGGTAAACAATCATCATATGAATACATTAATAAATATATTATATTTCTGAATGAACTAAATAAAATATTTGGAGAAATGAATTATATTGAAAATGGGTAGTACAAGGTATTATTAATTTGCGAATACCATAATGACATCTGCCCATTTCAACTGTGGTAAACCACATGGGGACATTCAGCACGCTCTTTAGTGAAAATGCGACCCTGCACGTGTGCGGTGTCACGTGACCCCAATTTTATGTGACTTACATTACCACCAACGCGTGTGCAGAATTTGCACGTTAACGATCCCTGAGAGATACACAATGCTCATGCCACGCCTTGTAAATAGTGAACTACTGTCTACTGTGCAATGAGATGCAGTAGACGGACACTTCACAACCTGATGACACGTGTACATCAAACGGGTCTGAGTGACCCAGGTGAGAACGGCCACGTGTGACGTCACATGCTGACGACAATCAAATTCGGCTACTTCATTTGCCTAATCATTTTACAACCGCAACGTCAACCAGTAACGCACTGTTAAGAGGTCGCGTAACTGGCCAGACCCTACTCAACCGCTTGCGCGCTGCCCATCTTCTTGCCCGGAAGGTCGCGGGTTCGATCCCCGACCGCGTCATACCAAAAGACGTTAAAATATGGTACTTGTTGGTCCCTGCCTGGCGCTCGGCATTACTGGGTACAGCAAAGACTGGTCGGCTTGGAGTCAGTATAATGTGTCTGAGTGGGGTATTCATGCTTCACTGCAGCATGGTATCTCAGTGAGCTAGCACTATAAAACCAGCTTCAGTCTGGGCTAGTGCAAGCAGCCGCACCTACACATAAACACGCATGCACGTCGTCATATGAGCGAAATATTCTCCAGCGCGACGTTAAACCCAATTTCACCTCACCTCACCTCTTGCCCGACGTCCTTATGTTGGGCCTATTATGACAAAGGTAAACCGTAATGAACGTCTACGCTGGGCACAGTTACACCTGCAGATGGCTACATCTACTGCAAAATGCGGATGTAGGCGTCATGGAGTGGCCATCGACATCACCTGACCTCAATCCCATCAAACACGTATGGCATGCTCTTGGAAGAAGACTTCGTGTCTTAAGGGCACAATCCCAGAATGTTCAAGAGCTGGGTGACATGTTGGTACAGCAATGGCGCAGGTTGCGTAATGCTGTGTTAGGCAGTCAATGTGACAACGTTGCTTTGCTGTTGTGAATACGGGAAAGGGGCATACGCGGTACTGAACAAACTCCAATACAGATGGCTAGTCCCTGTGAAATGAAGTGACCCCGACGTGCAACTGTCGACTATGGAGGGTGAACCAAGCGCACCTTAATGCTTAATCCTGTTTTAGTGAACATTCATTACGTCCATAAACCCGATTTATCATTTATCCACCAGTAACACACTTTGTTTTTATGGGTATGTTTGGGACATAAAGTAACACTGTGAAGTTCCATTTTTGTTTAGTAGACAATGTTTACCATCAAAATGAGTATTTCTACATGAATCATACTAGGCCTACCCCAAGTGTTTCTACATGAATCATACTAGGCCTACCCCAAGTGTTTCTACATGAATCATACTAGGCCTACCCCAAGTGTTTCATGAATCATACTAGGCCTACCCCAAGTGTTTCTACATGAATCATACTAGGCCTTGTTTACCCCAAGTGTTTCTACATGAATCATACTAGGCCTACCCCAAGTGTTTCTACATGAATCATACTAGGCCTACCCCAAGTGTTTCTACATGAATCATACTAGGCCTACCCCAAGTGTTTCTACATGAATCATACTAGGCCTACCCCAAGTGTTTCTACATGAATCATACTAGGCCTACCCCAAGTGTTTCTACATGAATCATACTGGGCCTACCCCAAGTGTTTCGAATCATACTACCCCAAGTGTTTCTACATGAATCATACTAGGCCTACCCCAAGTGTTTCTACATGAATCATACTAGGCCTACCCCAAGTGTTTCTACATGAATCATACTGGTCCTACCCCAAGTGTTTCGGAGACTTAATCACGTTCAATGTAATCAGTAATGTAAAATCTTAACGCTGGGGAACAAGTTTCAACCGAAACTGTAGTCTATCTCACAGTCCCTGAACCACATTATTTGTCCTATTGCCTAATCCCCTGCAATACTAAAGGCCCAAATGAAGCAAGCCTAGATTTCCCAGGTTCAACTCACTGGAGTTCCTATTCAATTTAAATGGGTTTATTTGTTACTATCAAAATTGTATATATTCAGGGACTAAGCGTTAGTTTACCCAAACTTGTACTGTATTTATTTGTTAGTCTGTTCTTTAACACCACACTCAGCAATGTTCCAACTGTGTAATAGCTGCTGACCAGACCAAACAAGACAGTGACTGATTCTCTGAGAACCGGCCCGCGCTGTTGGTGTACGACAAAACGCAATCAAACAAGTCATTGAATCGAGTACCCGACCCATTAAGTTGTCACGGACAAAGGTGAGTTACTGAGGGCTTATCCCACGCCGGAATTAATTCATTGTAGGTAGATCTTTCATGCTGATCGGATGACGTCAAATGTGACCCCAGACCTGCCGGCGTCACACAAACTGTGACACAAAATGTCAACCAGCCAATTAATTAATCAATTGTAGATGAGGTCACGTGAATCAGAGCCTGACAGAATGCAAAGTTAGCAATATTCCAATATGTTGAAACAAGGAATTCGTGGGGAATCAAACCAAAGAGATCGATGTTACCAGCACATTTTGTGACCTGTGAGCTACGCATATCGCCGACCTGGTTCATGTCAAGGCGCCTCACTCTCCAAACTAACCATCGTAAAAGGCCATAGTGGACATGGTAATTAGCGGCATGTGATTTACATATTTCAGTCATATATTCAATGTGGCAATCGTGGATTTCCGCTCTGTCTGCTAAATACAGGTCTATCGAGATACCGCAACAAGGCGTCTTAAGACGATGGAAGTGTACAGTCATGTGCAATCACGTCTCCAAATGCTTCGTCTGCGTTTGATGAGAAACAGTATATAATTGGGAACTGAAATTAGACATTTTTATGTGAGCCGCATGTGAGAAAGACCAGCACCTAAATACGACTTTCAAATCGAAGCTCATCTGAACTTCGCTTCATTGAACAAGGAAGTGCAGAAGGGTTATAAATAGAAAGTCTCATTTGGGAAACCTTTGATAAAATACATTATTGGCATAATGACATTGAAAATAGAACTGTTCTCTCCTTTTTCATATTCTCTGATGTAGGTAAACCCTTCTCGCACCCTCTTGATGAATTATGTCTAATCGCTGGAAAAGAGGCCAAACAATGCTATCAATAGCTCGGATGCCGTTCAAAATCTTGACGTCGGGGGGCATAGGAGTTTCTCGGTCCCTGACGAAATCCCTGGGCATGCAATCCATTATTTTATCGTTTTACACTCCTGGGTATGAACGAATTTTACACAGCTCGCTTTATGAAGTCACGAGAGGCTTCTAGAATTGTAGCCAATCAATGGTCCACTTTCCATTCAGTGCGGGCCATACTGGCATTTCCTTCATATTGTCTGCGGACAAAGGAGGTCATTGCCTCTAAAGAGGGTTGTGTTCCCGTCCCGAAGAAGATTTGAGCTGGATTTTCTATTTGACCATGGAAACTTTTTTCATCAAAGATGTTTTACGTTAACCCAAGAAATATTCATGAAACACTAGTACGAACATTATTCTGAAGTGATGAAATATCTTCCCAGAGACGGATGCAGTAGTTTTCATGATAAAATCTGTACTTTTAATCTGTTACTTGGATTAAAATGTAAAAATGGCATCGATGTTTTGACATGTTGTTAGTGCGTCTCGGCCTACTTGTCAGTTACTTCAAGATGATTTTGGTGAAGGAATAAGTAGGCAAGTATACATCTTATGGCGGAACAGTTTGTGACGCTTCTGCTGGCCAGTGTGAAATATGCCAATAAGACATTCGTTGAATAGCTTTCGATTAAATAATGGCTTACACGAAGCGCCTGTTTCCACACACTTGTGCATGCTCAAAGCGCTAACACATAATAACCCAAGCTGTCTGTTAGAAGCTAGAAGGTTTTAGTCACATGACCTATCCCACCGGGTACCCATTTTCTGCTGGGTGAACAGAGTCAATTTTAACAAAGTCACTTGCCTAAGGTGAGACCATATGGATCACATGTGCTTCGTTGTGGGGCAGGACTGAAGTTCTAGAAACTCTCAGGAGTCAAGCTGCAAAACATGGTCACCCTTATAAGGACTCTCCGCACCCAACGTTGCTTAACTTCAACTGATTTGGTCTTGGTACACCACACTGTGTGTGATTGAAACAGAAAACAGGCAGCTTGTTTTACACTTGATATACCAATATGGTTGTATGGCGGTGATCTTTGTGTCTTAATTCTTCAAAGAATACTACATGGATAGCCCGCGTACTTTAAGTTTTATTCATGATATAAATCACATCAAATACACACGTGACTGAATTAGGTTTTGATGGTCAAAACTGTAATTACTGATGCGCATGGAAGAGACACATTGGGATTGGGGTAATTGAACTCAGCTGTCATGTGAACCTGAGAGTAAGCCATCGTGATCACTCGATGTCACATGTTTTACACTAATGGTTAATGAATTCGAAATGTTCTGCTCCGTTGGTTATAGCCTGATGTGTAGTTGTGTGAGGTGAAGCGGTTGTGTATGACCTGAAAAGCCAATAGAGTATTGTAGAACCATATGGTTTAAATCCCACAAACACTAAACAACCGATCAACCGACGGTCAGCTACGAGAGGAACACACTCACGGAACGTTGTTCTTTTCTATGTCAATATCCTATTGCCCTGAAAACCGAGTTTATCCCATCACCTCTGATCCGTGGCACAATAATTCTCTCCCCCTTATTGGTAAAATAAACACATTGCCTTATCGGGGCGAGAGTCAGGGCGGTATTAACAGCGTGGCAAAGTAGAGTTCA